AGTACAACAAAAGAGCATACCTATTAAATCGCATATATATATATATATATATCAACATATGTGTAACTCCATCTATTGAAAAAATTCTGCATTATTAATCAGTACGGGTTAGTAATGCAGAACTCTATGTACTGGTTAGTAATGTGGAATTTTTCTATACCGGTTAATAATAAGGAATTTATCTGTGTTAAAAAACAAAATTCAGCCAAAACCGGTTTGGCTCAGTGGATAGAGTGTCGGCCTTCAGACTGAAGGGTCCTGGGTTCAATTCTGGTCAGGGGCACATGCCTGAGTTGCAGGTTCAATCCCCAATGAGGGGCATGCAGGAGGCAGCCCATCAATGATCCTCTCTCATCATTGATGTTTCTATCTTTCTCTCCCTCTCCTTTTCTCTCTAAAATCAATAAAAACATAATAATAATAATAAGAAGAAGAATATCTATTTCTCATGAAGAGTCTCAAGCAGGTATTCATTGTTATCAAAGGAGATGACAGGTCTGGGCCTTGAAGCAATAGGCTATACCTTATAGTCTAGATGTGAATGAGCTATCTCATCTAGGTTTGTGCAAGTCCACTCCGTGATACTAATATTCCCACCAGGACAAAATCGCCTAACCATGCATTTCTCAGAACCTATCCCCTTGGTTATGTTAAGCGACACGTGACTGTATTTGTAGAAAAGCAAGGTGGAGTTAACAGTTGAAGAGGTATTTATGAGTTAACAGCCGAGGGTGTATATATTACTGCTTGTCCTCCTGTGTTCCCCTAAGAGGGACTCCAAATCCGCCATACCTTGCTCTGAGTGATGAAGAAATGAGGAGACCCAGATGCTGATTCCAACGCCATGGCCTGGGAAGTCCCTCAGCCCCCGTCTCTAGAGTCGCCAGTTCTGAAATTCTAAACATTAGAGCATGGGGGTGGAAGGTGATTAGTAAACCTGAAAACAACCTCGATCCGCCCTGGAGTTGAACAAAACAAAACCAAGGGACAGAAGCATTGCGAGTCCACCAAGTTCCAGTGGAGCAACAATAAATGCATCCCCCATACTCCTCACTCCTGGGCAACCGGGACGATGCTTCTTCGACATGACTGCGTTCTGCCTGCCTTCTTCCAATGCGGAGTTCGGCTTGTGGGTCAGCCTGAAGTGCAGAGGTTTGGACTGGGCAACAAGAGCTCTCTCCCTTCATTGAACCCTAAACCTATTTGGCATGTATTCCCAGAAGAGACTCTGAAAGGCACAGAAAGCAGAAGGCTATGTAGTCACAGTACTATGGTAAGCCGGCCTAGAACACCCCCTGCCTATGTCCTGAGGCCGGTCTCAGTGGGGTCCCTTGAGCGGATGTCCACCTGAGGCTCTTTCCCTGACCTGGCCTTCCCACCAAGCCCACTTAGGAACCTGAGGTCTTGGGGAGGCTGCATTCCCCAATAAGGGCACGATGAGGTTCTGAGAGCTAGTGGAACCAGAGCCTCGGAGACTTCATGTGACCGCTAGGGGGCTCTCGGTCTTTGGTGGCTGCTGCTGCCCTCTTGTGACCAGAGAAGAGACTGGCAGGAAAGAAGTTGCAAAAGAGAGCCTTCCTAGGGAGACATGTTAACAACAGTTATCATTTTAAAATAACATTATAGCAATATTTATGGCTACATGTTAGTTAACATTTTGACTTGTGTGCTTACCAGCCTGTGCCCAGCACTCTTCTAAAGTGCTTGACATGTATTGCTTTATTTAATTCACACACTTGCCTATAATATAAGCACTATTAGTATCTCCATTTTGACGATGAGAAAACTAAGCACAAGAAAGTTTAAGGAAGTTGCCATGGTCACACTGCAGATCAGAATTCTCAGTCTAAAGAGTCTGGCTTCAGAAATGTTAGGGGCAGAAATAAAATATTGGGGAGTAGCTATTAATTATAAGAATAATAAATCTGTTAACCATGATTGTTTCACTCTGATCGAAGAAACATGATCTGGATGCAGCACATCCTCTCCATTTGAGAGCTACCTATTATCATCTACCTAATAAAAGAGTGATATGCTAATTGACCATACCTTCATGACAGCCACCAGCCAATCAGGAGTGAGTATACAAATTAACCCAACAAAGGTGGCAGTGGGGGTGGGGGTGCGGGAGGGGCTGGATGCTCTGGGCCTCTGAGCATCGTAGGAAGGCCAGGGAAAGGAAGGCCCATTCTGGCACCAATCTTCGTGCATCGGGTTTCTAGTAGAAAGATTAATAACCTTGCTTCTGAAACAGGAGCGCCAGCTCTTTGCAAGCCCCCAGACTTCATTGCCAGTAATAAGTAACCATTATACCCATTTTTATTCCTTTTGCCTACTTCCCATGTAATCTTTGTCCTTGAACTCCCTATAAGTAGCTGGCTTATGGGGGAGTTTGCAGAGCAGATTTTTGTGGATGACCTGCTGCTCTCCCATGCTGCCAGCATTATTGGAGTAGATGCTCAGATCTGATTTAACCCTGTCCCTGCTTAATTGGAGCAAGTAGTGACAGGCAGCCTGGACCCATTGGTTGTCCGGTTTCAGAACCTCTTTGTAAACAATTCTGAAACTATGTCCCATTTTTTAGATTGCCAGGTAACTGCCAGGCTGCTCGGTTACATTACAATTTCAGATAAACAACAAATAATTTGTTAGCATAAGTATATTCCATGAAATATTTGGGTCATACTTAATACCAACAAATCATGTGTTGTTTGTCTGAAATTATAATTTAACTGGGTGTCTTGCATTTTTATTTACTAAATCCGGCACCTTTTTCTCTGTCAGAGGCCATCTCCTATATAACCTCACTTAATCCTCCCAGAAAGCGTCTCAGGTGCCCCAGTGCAGAGCGGGGGGCCTGAACCCATGTTCTCCAGTAAAAACTGGTGCATGAGCCGAAACCGGTTTGGCTCAGTGGATGGAGCGTCGGCCTGCGGACTGAAGGGTCCCAGTTTGATTCTGGTCAAGAGTCAAGGGCATGTACCTTGGTTGTGGGCACAGCCCCAGTAGGGGATGTGCAGGAGGCAGCTGATCAATGTTTCTCTCTCATCGATGTTTCTAACACTCTCTCCCTCTCCCTTCCTCTCTATAAAAAAATCAATACAATATTTTTTTAAAAAAAAACGGTGCATGTTTTCCACGTTAACAGGAGAGAAAAATAAGGAGCAAGGATTGCCCCTCGGAAACCTCCCTTCCTAGCGCGTCCTCAGCCCTGCTCTGATCTGTGGAAGAGCTGCAGGCACCTCCTTATGCAGGAAAAACAGGGACGTGCTCCCTGGGCTGGAGCAGTGGCGGAGGAACGGAGCGGGCGCTCTAGCTCCGGTGCCCCCTCCGGAGCAGGAGGGAGACCGCTCCGGGGCCCTGGGGAGCTGGCTGAGGTTGGAGTAGCCGCCTCCTCTGCGGCCCCTGACGCTCCTCCCCACGGCTGTTCACCTGCTGCTCCGGGCTCAGCCGGCAGCACAGAGCCTGGCTGCAGAGGCTGCATCGCCCGCGGCTAAATCGGGCCTGGCAGCCGAAAGGCCGCGGAGGGAATCTAGGAAACAGGGACTGGGGAGGGAGCCTCCCTTATCTCCCCGCTGCCTGTCGGGAGCGCGGCACTTCTGTCCAGAGGGAACACCCTCTGCATTTTTCTCTCTTGACTCTGCCCATCTGCTCCCACCCCACATACCTGTGCCCTTCCTTCCCCGCAGATAGTCACAGCCCGCTGGCTGGCCCTGCCCGGCCCGGCCGGCTGACCCGAACAAGGCAGCAGTCAAGGGAGTTTCTGGGCTGGGACCCCTCTGGGGTGAAGGCTGGGGTGCCCTGCTGGTATGTGCCCCGACAGGTTTTTCTCTATCGGCCTGAAATCAGCCTGGAGCCTGTCTGACCTGCCCCCCCAGGGAGCCGGAGCCAGGCAGAGGCAGAGGCACAGAGCCAGGTCAGAAGCCGGCCTTGGAGCCTGGGCTGCGATGGGCCCACCGGCCCCTCTGGGGGAGCTGGGCACAAAGCCGCCTGTGTCCGCTGAGCGGCGAGGCCAGCACAGTTCTCCTGGGGGCTGGCGGGGGGCCGGGTTCCCCAGGAGAGATGGTCCATCGGGAGGGAGGAGGCGTTGGCTTGTGGGACCCAGTACAGCCTGGTCCTCTCCCACGTTTGGGAGGGGCCGGAGCCCGGCCGCAGCTGGGCTGGGCTGCTGGGGAGGCCTTCTGACTGGCTGCTCCACCTGACGGTACACGCCCCCCTCTCCTCTACCAGGCCACACAGAAGCCGGTGCCCACACGGGCACACACACCACCAGGCTGTGACGACACCCACCTCCCCCCCCCCAGCTCCTCTGGGTAAGCGCCAGGCCTGGGCCCCCAGGAGGAGGGTGGGGTGGGGTGGGGTGGAGTGGAGAAGGGGCCTGAGGATCTCTTGGGGGCGGGAGAGGTGAGTTTTCCTTTCCCACCTGCTCCCCTGTCCAGGCACCCAGGTCCCCAGAGGAACACAAACACCCATCAGTTCAGACAGTGCACCTGCTGATCTAGAGGCCCCTTGCCGGAGGCTCTGAGGGGACGGGCGGGCGGACAGCAGGTGGGCAGCTCGGTGGGCTGGGGCCGGAGCAGGGGTGCTGCCGTCAGAAGTTAGCTCCCACCCTACCTACGTGCTTACTGCCCCGGGGACGCCCGCCCAGCAGGGCACGGAGGCCAGGGGACTGGGGCCTCCGAAGGGGGTCATCCACCTCAGGCCAACGGCTGGGAGCCGGGGGGGCCAGCCCTGGAGTCAGGGAGGGTTCATCCTGACCCACACCTGTTTCCTGGAGGAGGGCGAGAGGTGGGGGAAGTGGGGGCTCCCTCTCACCCCTCCACTTGGGCTCCCAAACCTGCCGAGCAGGTCCAGATTCTCTTTTTCTGCAACAAGGAACATGGGGAGGCAAGGGGAGCCCAGGTCTCGGGGCCGAGGGGTCACAGAGAGGCAGGGGGCGGGGCCGGCCGGCCGGAAGGTCCCCTCAGGCGGGCGCTGTTTTCCAGGCGGCCAGCTGCACCATGTCGGTGAGCAGCGAGAAGATGGGGTTCTCCCTGACCCAGGAGATCCTCAGCCACCTGGTCCTTGCCAACAAGGTAGGGGCTGCCGGGACTGTAGGCACCATTTGACTTGATCAACTCAAGGTGTGAGGGGGCTGGGACCAGGGGAACAGGCCAGGCCTCGGGGCCAGGCCAAGGGGGAGGCCACGGGCACCCCTGTGATGCCTCCTTGCTCTTCAGACTGCAGCGTGGGGGACGCTGGGCACCCTCAGGACCTTCCTGAGCTTCAGCGTGGACAAGGACGTGCAGAGGCTGCTGAGGGCCATCGCAGGCCAAGGTGAGCCCCTTCCCCCTGTGCCTTGGGCGTTAGGGGTTGGAAGCCGGTCTGTATGCCGGGGAAGGGCGAGCAGGGAGGAACTGACGAGCTCGATAAACGTCTGTGGAATGCCTTAATTCCTGAATGCCAAGTGCCATGGCAGGTGTGTCAGCGCCATCCTCACACCCCGTGAGCTGTCTCATTATCTCCATTGTGCAGATGAGGAAACCGGGCTCAGGGAGGTGAGGACACCTCCCCCAGGTCTCCCAGCTCAGAATGGCAGAGCTTAAATCCTAATCCAACTCTGCTGATTCCCGAAAGCCTTTTATTTCCCCACCACCCAGGCCACCTTTGCCTAAATCTGGGTAGGATTTGCCTGCCATTTGGCATCTCATTTGCATTTTCTTTTAAAAATGTTTTTATTGATTTTTTTTTTTTTTAAGAGAGGGAGAGAGAAATAGAAACATCAATGTGAAAGAAACATCGATTGGCTGCCTCCTGCACAACCTCCCCCTCCAACCCACTCCCCACAGAGGATCCAGCCCACACGTGCCCTGACCAGGAATTGAACTGGCAGCCTCTTGGTTCCTGGGTCGATGCTCAGCCACTGAGCCACACTGGCCGGGCTGCTGCTGCTGCTTCTTCTTCTCCTCCTTCTTTAATATATTTTATTGATTTTTCACAGAGAGGAAGGGAGAGGGATAGAGAGAAACATTGATGAGAGAGAAACATTGATCAGCTGCCTCTTGTACACCCGCCACTGGAGATGTGCCCGCAACCAAGACACATGTCCCCAACCAGAATCAAACCTGGGACCTTCCAGTCCGCAGGCTGATGCTCTATCCACTGAGCCAAACCGATTTCAGCCTGCATCTTCTTTTGAAACCAGGTGAAAGTGGGGGTGATAGGACCCCTGCCCCTGTTCTTCCAGCCCTTTCCGGGACCTTGTTCTATGTCCTCCTGGGGAGGCGTGAGGGACTCCCAACCCTGTAAGGACCCTGATGGGGTCTTCCCAGCCCTTCTCTCGGTTCAGGGGTGGACCGCGCCGCCATTGTGGACGTGCTGACCAACCGGAGCCGAGAGCAAAGGCAGCTCATCGCTCAAGCCTTCCAGGAGCGCACCCAGCAGGTGAGACCCCTGGGGCTTCCCGGGAGGGAGCCGGGCGCGGGGGTGAGGAGTCCCTGGGAGACTTGGGGTACACCATAGCAGGCCGGGCCCTGCCCCCTGGTTAAATGGGGTGGTGCTTCAGGCCTGAGATAAAAACCAGCCAAACATCCCCCAACCCCCCCACATGTCTGGGGCCCCCCTCACACCGCTCCTCTGCCACTCCCGGGTAGGACCTGCTGAAGTCCCTGCAGGCGGCGCTCTCGGGCCACCTCGAGAGGATCGTGGTGGCTCTGCTGCAGCCGGCAGCCCGCGTGGACGCTCAGGACCTGAGGACGGCCCTGAAGGTACCGGGACGGGGGCTGGGCAGGGAGGTCACCCCGGAGGGAGGAGAAGGTGCATGACCTGCCAGCTGCCCTCTTGGGAGGAACAGGCCTGGCAGAGGCCTGTGTGAATGTCCCCGCCTGACCCTCGGGAGGAATGTGCTCGGCACCTGCTCGCTGCGCCCTAAGGACACAGCCCCGTCTCAGAGCGGCCTCCCCATCTCTCGTAGGACTCGGGTTCCGCTGAGGACGTGGCGGTGGAGATCCTGGCCACGCGCACCCCTCCCCAGCTGCAGGAGTGCCTGGCCGCCTACAAACACGGTGAGAGCGAGAGGGAGGGGGTGCCAGGAGCTGAGGTCCGCCCTCCCCTTCCTGCACTCAGTCCGGGAGGGAGGGCGGGCGGGCGAGCCTTCCGGAGTCTGTCTGCCCGGGGAGTCTGTCTGCCCCCGTTCTGTTCCCTGGGGATCTCGCCTCCCTCCTGCCCCCACCCAGGGCTCCGGCTCCCCAGGAGACAGCCCGATGGGATCAGGAAAGAAAGGAGCAGTGATGAGCCGCCTTAGTCTGGGGCTCCAGGGCAGATGTCGGGGTAATGGCCACGTCGGGCAGTAGGACAGTCCCAAGGGGAGCTGTGTCATCTCCGCAGCCCCGAGCTCATTCTGCCGCCATGCAGCCGGGGAAGGTGGGGTGCTCTCTGAATCATGGGTGTCACCTCTCGGGCTCCTGGCTGCCGGCCTCAACCACTAATTGGGAACTAGCTTCTTCTCATCCTCATCTTAGCCGAAACCCCTTCTTTTCTTTCCCCGATTTTCCTTGGATGTCCAGTCTTGGCCTATCTCTCTCTTTAAAAAAATTTTAAAAAAATATATATGTGTGTGTGTGTGTGTACATATATATACATACACACACATATATAAAATATGTATATGTAGCCATAACCAGTTTGGCTTGGTTGGATAGAGCATCTGCCTGCAGACTGAAGGGTCTCGGGTTTGATTCTGGTCAAGGACATGTACCTTGGTTGCAGGCACATCCCCAGTGGGAGGTGTGCAAGAGGCAGCTGATTAATGTTTCTCTCTCGCTGATGTTTCTGACTCTCTATCCCTCTCCCTCTCTGTAAAAACTCAATTTTATAGATATAGATATAGATATAGATATAGATATAGATATAGATATAGATATAGATATAGATTTCAGAGAAGAAGGGAAAGGGAGAAAGAGACAGAAACACCCATGATGAGAGAGAACCATCAATCAGCTGCCTCTTGTACACCCTCTACTGGGGCCGAGCCCGCAACCCAGGTGTGTGCCCTGACCAGGAACCAAACTGTGATCTGGTTCATAGGTCGATGCTCAACCACTGAGCCACATCAGCTGAGCTTGGCCTATCTCTTAATCCTTCCTACCTTTCTCCCTAATTGCTTCTGTTTTTCTCTATCCTCACTTTCCTGATCTTTTCCTTTTGTTTCTTTCTTTTTTTTTTTTTTTAATATATTTTATTGATTTTTTACAAAGAGGAAGGGAGAGAGATAGAGAGCTAGAAACATCGATGAGAGAGAAACATCGACCAGCTGCCTCTTGCACACCCACTACCGGGGATGTGCCCACAACCAATGTACATGCCCTTCACCGAAATCGAACCTGGGACCTTTCAGTCTGCAGACCAATGCTCTACCACTGAGCCAAACCTGCTTCGGCCTGATCTTTTCCTTTTGTGATGTCCTACCTCTCACATCACTCTCCGTACCTCCAGTGAGGGGCCGGGCCCTCACCATCTTGCCTCACCCTACGGGTTTCCTTATCTCCTCTTCACTGCCTGGCGACCACGGCAACCACGGGTGCCTCCTGCCTGCAGGAGGTTGGCACCTGCAGCTGAGACCGTGCCTTAGAGCGTGATTCCACAGCACCTGGGCGCTCACAGCTCAGGGGTGTTTTCAGGGTGGCCAGGCCGGTGCGCCTGCCTCCCATCCTGGGGACTGGCAGCCACTGAGCTGCTGGGAGCAGGGCTGGCAGGGCTGGCCGGGCACAGGGGCCAGGCATGCGACAGGTCCTAGAGGCATCCCCCTGGGGAAGATCAGGAGGACTCAGAGAGCTCCTGACCCCCACCCCAGATTTCCACGTGGAGGCAGAGGAGGATATTCAATCCGAGACCAGCGGCACCCTGCGGGACCTGCTCCTGGCCCTGGCCAAGGTGAGGGGCTGACTGGCATGGAAAGGGAGTCACACCATCTGAGGCGGGGGGGGGGGGGAGGACCTGTGGGGACAGAGTTGTTTTGATGTGATGGACAAGAGAGGGCTTTGTGGGGGAACTAGGGCTGGGTTGCTGACCTGGAGATAAGAAGCTGTCCCTCGAAGAGTCCTCCTGAGAGCGTTTCTCCTCCTAGGGGGGCCGAGAGAGCTACTCGGAAATCATCGACTATAACCTGGCAGAGCAGGACGTCCAGGTGAGCAGGGGCTGAGGAGTTGGCACAGTCCCGCACCTGAGACACCTCCTCTGTCATATCTTAGTGCCAGCAGCAGCCTGTGTACCCTCGTGTCCTACAGGCCTGTCCTTGCCTGGGGAAGGAGCCCTTGGTGGCGTGATGGGGGCGTGGGGTGTCAGGTGGTGTCGCATCTGAAACCTTCCCTCCTCTAACCTCTGGTTCCTGACCTCACTGGCATTTGGGCTGGGGGACCCTCCCCAGGCTCTCCCTCGGGGATTATTCATTCCTTCCGTGCCAGAATTCCCCCAAACGGGGGATGGAGCTGTGAGGGCAGAACCCCTCTTATAGTCTTGGCCCCGCCCCCTTTTTAAATATGTTTTTATTGATTTTAGAGAGGAAGGGAGAGAAAGAGGGAGAAACATCAATGATGAGAGAATCATTGATCAGCTGCTTCCTGCACACACCATACTGAGGATGGAGCCTGCAGCCTGGGCTTGTGCCCTGACTGGGAATCAAGCTGTGACCTCCTGGTCCATAGGTCAACGCTCAACCACTGAGCCACCCTAGCCCCTTATCCCATTTCCACCATCATTGTGATGGATTCTGGGGACATTGTAACCGTGGCTCTGCAGCCCCCAACCAATGATCCTGATTTACCCCCTACCCCCAGGCCCTGAAGCAGGCGGAAGGACCCAGCACAGAAGGAACATGGGTCCTTATCCTCACCCAGAGAAATCCCGAGCACCTCGTCCGAGGTACACACGAGCCCTCTGTCTCCCCCGCCTGCTCTAAAGATGAGTCTTGCCTGAGGAAGGTGAGGGAGCTCATCCTTCCCTGTGATCACCAGCGTTTATCTTTCTAACCACCTCCTCCTCACCCACAAGTGTTTGATCAGTATCAGCGGCGCACTGGGCATGAGTTGGAGCACACCGTCCGGAACCGTTTCCATGGAGATGCCCAGACGGCTCTGCTCAGCCTAGGTAGGGGCCAGCTCGGGCCGCGTGGGTGGAGGGAGCTCCGTGGGACTGGAGCTTCCTCCCTCCATCTCTCCCCTCTTGCTTCCAGCCTCGGTGATCAGGAACACGGCGCTGTACTTTGCCGATAAACTTCACCAAGCCCTTCAGGTAAGGGGGACCCTCCTTTCCTCTTCTGCCTTGGGGCCAAAAGCTGGACCTCCGGGGCAAGAGAGAGGACGTTGCACGTTGCTGCTAATGCAACAATTTCGTATTTACTTTATTTCCTTTACAAACTTACAGCAGCTCTCGGGTTTGCAAGCTGTCTTGTCAAGAGTGCAGGCGTGAGCTGTGGTTAGAGCTAAGTTAGTTGACCCTAACGGGCACTCAAGCTAACGGTTTGGCCTGACTAATGTCCAGGTGGCCACATATCGATATGACTTTGTTCTGGAAGACAGTGCCGCGTCCAGTTTCAGTCCTTGCCAGAACGGTGATGGTTGCAACACCAGCAAGAATAACGGCAAGAGCCCGCATTTCGTAGGCGTTCACTGTGCACCAGGGCTTCTGCTGAACACACTGCACTCATGTCAGTTCATCCCCGTTTTATAGATGATAGACTGAAACAGAGAGGTTCAGTGCCTTGTCCAAGGTCACACAGCCGTGAAGTTATCTATTCTCCTTACAAAAGACAAAACGGTCCTGTAGGACATTGAACTGTCACATGCCAACTCCTCCTCTATACCACAGGTGTTGGTCTATACAGTCCCACCCGGGTTACTGAGTTTGTATAAATTGAATTTTTTACATATTGACGATAAGACCCTCCCTCCACCACCAAAAAGATGACAACTCACTAAAGACCTAGATGATGGTTAGCATTTTTAAGTAATAAAGTATATTAAAATTAAGGTATTTACATTGCTTTATTAGACTTACTGCTAGTGCACACTAAATAGGCTACTACATATGTAAACATTTTTACTATGAACTGGGAAACCAAACAGGTTGTGTGACTGGCTTTATTCTGACACTCGCTTTAGGATGGTAGTGTGGGACCAAACCCACAGTACCTCCAAGGTGAGCCTGTGCTATAAGCCACACCATAAGGGCACTAGGACCACCTTTGTCCACGCTGCCAGACTTTGTTCTATGTTATTCATAACTAAGGTAGTGACTTTGGTTTGAGTAATTTCATGAGCAGAATCTAGTCATCTAGTCATTTTGCTCATTGAGTCAGGTCCCCCAAAGCTATAAATAAAAAAAATCCTCTAGCCGAAACCTGTTTGGCTCAGTGGTAGAGCGTCGGTCTGCGGACTGAAGGGTCCCAGGTTCGATTCCGGTCAGGGGCATGTACCTTGGTTGCGGGCACATCCGCGGTGGGGGATGTGCAAGAGGCAGCTGGTCGATGTTTCTCTCTCATCGACATTTCAAGCTCTCTCTCTCTCTCCCTTCCTCTCTGTAAAAAAAATCAATAAAATATATTTAAAAAAAAAACATTTAAAAGGTGAAGAATATAAAAACAGCTACTATTTTGGCAAATGGAATAGTCTTCTATATGCTGGTTGAGAAACGATCATGCCTTGTTGACAGCTACTCCAAAGACAGTACCAACAACAAACGAAGCCAGAACATACAAACACTTGTTTGATCGTCTAGAGATTTCCATTTTGACAGTAGGTTATTATTCTGACCCAATAAAGCTTGTATTATTATAGTGAGTCAGCACTGAGATTCATCTGAAGAGTTGTGGTTATCTCATTTGCGTCATAAAAGCAAATTGTATTCCAGCAGTGAATAATTATAATGTATGCATTTGGATTACAGGACACACATTCTTGAATATAAATGCTAGGTTTATCTTAGAAGAGTCAAAAAATAATACAGGCCCATTTTTCTGAAAAAAAAAAAAAATTTTTTTTTCAGAAAACTCCTAAAAAGTTTGCCAATTGGATGCCAAGTACTTTCTCTAGTATCAAGACTAGGTTTATGCCCTGGTCGGTTTGGCTCGGTGGATAGAGCATCGGCATGTGGACTTAGGGGTCCCGGGTTCGATTGTGGTCAGGGGCATGTGCCTTGGTTGCGGGCACATCCCCAGTGGGAGGTGTGCAGGAGGCGGCTGATTGGTGATTCTCTTTCATCGATGTTTCTGGCTCTCTGTCCCTCTCTCTTCCTCTCTGTGAAAAATCAATAAAATATATATTAAAAAAAACAAACAAACTAGGTTTATGTGTGGAAGGTACTTGTATACCTGTGGGAATATTCAGTTAATGAGTGACTCTTGACCAAATTCTACAACTTTGGAGTAAACAAGAGTTGGAAGAACGGATACTGGGGAGCAATTACAATCTTTTTTTAAAAAGAAATTTTATTGCTCAGAACCTTCCTTCCTTGGGCAAAGGCAGGAGTTTTGGAAACCAATCTTTGGGACAGAGTCAGAGGCAAGAGGTGGAGGAAAGAGTTTGGCAGCAATTACAACCTTGATCACGATACAAAACTGATGACACGTGATATTTAAAATAAAGTAGCCATCAGGCCCCCTGACAATCAGGAAATGAGTCCAAATGAAATATAGCATCTTTTTACCTCATCATTTAAGAGTCCCATGCTCTACCAACTGAGCTAGCCGGGCAGATTTTTTACCTCATCATTTAAAAAAAAAAAAAATTATATATATATATATATATATATATATATATATATATATATATATATTTTTTTTTTTTTTTTTTTTTTTTTTTTTTACAGAGAGGATGGGAGAGGGAGAGAGAGTTAGAAACATCGATGAGAGAGAAACATTGATCAACTGCCTCCTGCACGCCCCCCACTGGAGATGTGCTCACAACCAAGGTACATGCCCTTGACTGGAATCAAACCCGGGACCTTTCAGTCCTCAGGCTGACGCTCTATCCACTGAGCCAAACCGGTTAGGGCTCATCATTTTCTTTTGTTTCTTCATGGGAGATCTGTGGGGATGGCATGAGTGTGGGTTGCAGGCATTTCTGGGAAGGATCCATGTGAGTCAAGGGACTGAGCGAACTGGGAAAAGGAGGGTCGTAGCAAACGGTGACAGCACCAGTGAGCAGCTCAGAACACAATCAGGACATTTGCAACCAAAAATGTTTATTTAGCAATCTCTTGTGATAACACAGTCCTTATAATCGATTGTCATTCATGACTTGATCAGGTTTTGTACCTCTTGTTATTTCTAAATGGGACCCTCCACTACCTTCTTTAACCAAAAAACAGGAGGCCGGGTGCAGATGCAGGAAGAAGACAGTGATGCTTAACCCCAGGGGTCCAACCAGGAGGAACTGACGTGTAGAGATGGGGCAGGGAGATGGCCCTGGTGGGCCCAGATCAGAACCAGAAGTCCAGTTGGCTCTGTTCCCGGTCAGAGCCCCAACACCTGGGCTTGGGGGTAGGGTGGCGTATCCTCCGTGGACACTCACCCCTTGGGAGTTAAAGACCGTCTTCCTGGCTCTCATGCAGGAAGTCTCTATAGGCAGCGAGTCTTTCCTGTCTTTTGAGTGCCTGCCTTTGGAGCTGCCCACGAAGGACCGACCGAGCTCTGGGGGAACCAGGCTCTAAGCTGGGGGCCTGGCCAGGAAAGACGGGGAAGGAAAGAACGGTACCCCAGCCTCTGCCGGAGCCCGGTCTTTCCTGCTGGGCCATCTCCCATGAGGATGGGCAAAGAGATAACCTCACCTCCACTGTTTAGGATAATATTCCAAAACATCTAATCCTTATTCTTTGAGAGTCTCACTGCCATCCCTTCCCCCTCCCATTCTGCTTCTCCTCTTAGGAAACTGAGCCCAATTACCGAGTCCTGACGCGCATCCTTATCTCTAGAAGTGAGACTGACCTCCTGAGCATCCGAGCCGAGTTCAGAAAGAAGTTTGGGAGGTCCCTCTACTCATCCCTGCAGGTGAGAGCTCCGCCCCTCCCTTCCCCGCTGAGCGTGTGCCCCGGAGAAGCAAGCATAAGACTCTGGGCACCAGACACGTCCTGGATCGGCACGAGGGAGGGGCAGGGTCCTGGGCCGCAGTGGTGGTAGGTCTTCCTAATGTGTAATTCTCTCGTCTGCAGGACACCGTGAAAGGGGACTGCCGACCCGCCCTACTGGCCCTGTGCAGGGCCGAAGACCTTTGAGCCCCCCTTCCCCTTTCACCCCCACATGACGTTCAAGGATCTGAGTCCCGTGTTTGGCTGAGCCTGCAGGAGACTCCAAATAGGATAACCCCTCCCTGAGCATTCCGTGTCCCAGCTTCTTGTGGAGGCTGGGACTTGGAGTTTTCCTTTTAAATCCCTCCGTTTTCCTCATCTCAGAGTGGTCGCTGCACCTGGACCGCCTGGTTCTGTCTCAGGTGTGGGTTAACGGGACCTCCCTGCCCTGCTCCTTCTTCCCATGCCCTGGGCAGAACATCGCATCCACACTGGGAGTTTTTTTTGTTTTTAACTAATTTCATTCTTGTTTGTGTTCCCTGATTGAAGTTTGGGTGGAGCAGGACATGGGGCTGGGAGGAGGCCTTGAAGTTGAAGTGCATTTGGTTATTCAACAGGAATCCTGTTTTGGACTTGAGAGCTTTAGTTATCAACAACCCCCCTCCCTTAGGGTTTCTCTCCCCTCCACACACACCCTCCCCCCATTATTCTCTCTTCCCCAGGAAATTTTAGGCAAAATAATTGAGAAACAGGAACCTGAACAAGGTCAGAAATGGTCAGAGGTGGCAAAGGACCATCTGTGTAAAACTGGGAGGCAAGCCGAGGATCAAGCTGCCTCTTGCCTGCCTGGGAAGTCTCTCGGGTTATCAGGGGACACGGTCCCCAAATTCATGGGTCCGAAGGGGGACTTGGAAACCCACCTCCAAATCAGAGGTCTGTTCCCTTAAGAAGGACTATCAAAAACAAGAGAAACACACACCACAGAGGAAAACGCAGGCTCTGGTGCCCCCTGCTGGCTCATTTAGATATGACAGGCAACCCCCCCTCACACCTCTACCCACTTTGCATTCCTCAATTGGGTCAAATACTCAACCACTTGACCCCTTTGCTATGGGGTGAGAGGCAAACAACAGATCTCAGGAGACCGTTTTTATTTCCAAACCCTTAGGAGGGCGTTACAAATAATGGAGATAGAAACCCAAACCAAATCCTGAAACAGAGGCGGACGGACCTGCGGGATGGCCCGAAGGACCCCACCCCGTCACGGGGGAAGTAGGGGAGATGCAGTCTAGGCAGGGACCTCCCCCCCCGGAGCCTGAGTCTGTGTATTAGTGTGATATCCTGGGGAAAGGGGAGCTGGGGATCAGAAAGCCTCACCCCAGCGGCCCCCCTGTTGCCCTGGGGGACGTGGAGGAAGAGAAGGCCGCGGTGAGCGAGCAAGGACGTCACTGAGTCTGACCTTGACCTTTCCTTCCTGCTCGGACCCCCCCAGCAGTCCATAAATAAGTTACCCTGCACATCTCAGGGGTTGACCTGGGGGAGCCAGCAAACTGGTCAGGGCCTCGGAGAGAGGAGGCAAGGCAGCCGGGCCCCGGGCACCGAGCGCTACAGGAGGACGCAGTCGGACTCCGGCTTGGGCCTCCGCCGCCGCTCCCCGGCCGGGCGTCCCGAGGGCGCTCCTCTCCCCTGTACGGGATTAACAAGGGGTCACCCATCAGCCTGGGAAGAGCCCGCGGACAGAGGTTCTAGATGGAAGGAGGCCAGCATGGGGAGGGGCTGGGGGGGAGGAGAGGGAGAGAGGAAGGGACCCAGGGGAGAGGGCCAGAGAGGAGAAGGCACCCCCCCCCCCAGGCACACCTTGAAGAGGCAATCGCAGGAAGAGCAATAGCCAATCTCTGGGCGGGAGAAGCAGGGCTGGGACCCTGGGGGGGTGGGAGCTTGGAGGAACCGCAAGCGCCAAGGACAGGGGCCAAGGACAGGGGCCGGCAGCTCACCTGTGGCGACGGGGCCCGCGCCGGCACCGGCTGGACCGCCTGCTGCTGCTGGTACTCCTCCTGCTGCAGCTGCTGGGCCAGCTCCAGGTCGCTGAGGCCCTGTGGCTGCTGCTGCTGCTGCAGGGACAAGGCGATCAGGTAGTCCTGGGAGAGGGGAGAGGACAGGGCTGTGAGGTGGGCCTGCGGGCTAGTGTTAGGTTCCCAAACCAGTTTTCCCTCCTCTTCCCACTTCTCCTGGTTCCTCCTCCTCCGGAGCAAACCACACAGCCAAGGACAGTCTCTGTGGGGCCAGAGAACGGCCACCCCGGCGTGGCGATGGCCCGCACGTGGGGAACAGGAAAGGGACAGAGGTGTCATGTTATCCTCGCTAGAGGATGCCCGGCCGGCAGCTCACAGGCCGGCAGAGGGGTCCCTCCCCGAAGCGCCGCACACCTGGTCCACCTGCCGCTGCTTCTCCGGGGAGCCGCTGCCCCCTTCGGCGCCCGGCCCCTTGCCCAGCGAGTGGCTCAGGTGGAAGTCGGCGTCGCAGAAGCAGCTGTCTCCGTCCACGTTGTGCAGGCTCTCCCACACCACCTGCTCCTCCTGGAGGAAGCCCTGGTCGGTGACCAGCAGGTACAAGTGGCTCTGCGGGGAGAGGGCGGGGCTCGTTAGCGGGACAGGGGATCCAGAGGCAGCGGACGGCCCCGGGGACCATTTGAACCGAGGGGGGTGCCAGCTGGAACCTGTCGGTGTGAGCCGCGGGTCTCTTCTGAGTCTGAGAGGCTGAGGGGAGAGGGAAGAGACGTTTGAGTGGACCGTCAGCTGGGTGAGAGCCTGGCCATCCCTGTGGTCAAGCATGGAGTCCTCAGAGCTGGGATCCTGCTTCCCATCCAGGGGTCGGCAAACTCATTCGTCCGCAGAGCCGAATAGCAACAGGACGACGACTGAAATTTCTTTGGAGAGCCACATTTTTTTAAACTTAAACTTCTTCTAACGCCACGTCTTCAAAATAGACTCGCCCAGGCCGTGGTGTTTTGTGGAAGAGCCACACCCAAGGGGCCAAAGAGCCGCATGTAGCTCGAGAGCCGCAGTTTGCCGAACACGGCCCCCAGGCTCACCTGATGGCTGTGCGGGGAAACCCTTTGAGAACCAAGGGCCGCTCCCTCTTCTACTCAGTTCCTAGAGAGCCAAAACAATTCCTGACGTGGGAAGACTTTGGTACTGTTGAAAAATTCCCTTCCTGCCGAGACCGGTTTGGCTCAATGGATAGAGCGTCGGCTTGGGGACTGAAGGACCCGGGTTCGATTCCGGTCAAGGGCATGTACCTTGGTTGCAGGCATATCCCCAGTGGGGGGTGTGCAAGAGGCAGCTAATCGATTACTCTCTCTCATCGATGTTTCTGACTCTCTGTCTCTCTCCCTTCCTCTCTGTACAAAATCAATAAAATATATTTAAAAAAAAAAAAAAATTCCCTTCCTGACTCTTTGCCATTGATGGCAGGCTCACTCCTATGGCTTGCTCTGGCCGGTGAGATGTTAGCAGAAATGACATGTGTCACTCCCAGGCGGAAGCACTACCAGCCAGTGTGCGGAGTCCCTCCTGCATTTCAGGTGAAGACTGTTTTGTCAGCCCGAGACCCAGAGTGAAGATGAGCCCTGACCGGTGTGGCTCAGTGGATAGAGCATCGGCCTGCGGATTGAGGGGTCCCGGGTTCGATTCCGGTCAAGGGCACATCCCCAATAAGGGGTGTGCAAGAGGCAGCTGATGGATGTTTTTCTCTCATCGATGTTTCTAACTCTCTATCCCTCTCCCTTCTGCTCTGTAAAAAAAAAATCAATAAAATATATTAAAAAAAAAAAACAGAGTGAAGATGAGGCGAGCAGTCTGCAGCGATAAACCTTGGTTGTAGGAGACCACGGGACTTCAGGGGTCATTTGTTATCAGAGCTTAACTTGCCCCGTCCAGACAGAAACACACCCAGGGGAAACAGGCATGAGGAAACCAACAGCACGCCAACCCTCCCCCGCCCGAGGCCCCACACCTTGTGCTTCGTCATGGTGCTGAAGTGGTTGTTTCGGAAAAAGACGCTAAGTTCGCCCTCCTTGGCAGCTGCGGTCAGCTCGCACAGTCCGTGGTAGGTCAGCTGGGCCGCAGTGGTCTCCAGGAACTGCTCTGCGATCAGGCCTGCCGGAGCGCATAAGAAGCGGGGGTGGGGCCTTGGCTTAAATCCCAAGCCCACAGAAGGAGGACCAGCCAGAAAGTCCCTGTCCAAAGGCCTGGAAATGGTCCCACTTTCCGAAATCTCTTCCCTGAAGCCTGGCTGCAGTCATTCACTCATTCATTCAATACACAGTTGCTGAGCAGCTACCTCACTCCCACCAGGCACTGCACTAGGGCAGTGGTCAGCAAACTCACTAGTCAACAAAGCCAAATATCAACAGTACAACGATGGAAATTTCTTTTGAGCCCTGACGGGTTTGGCTCAGTGGATAGAGCGTCGGCTGCGGACTCAAGGGTCCCAGGTTCGATTTCACTCAAGGGCATGTACCTTGGTTGCGGGCACATCCCCAGTAGGGGGTGTGCAGGAGGCAGCTGATTGATAGTTCTCTCTCATCGATGTTTCTAACTCTGTATCCCTCTCCCTTCCTCTCTGTAAAAATCAATAAAATATTTTTTTAAAGTATCAATAAATAAAAATTTAAAAAATGATTTAACAAAATATATTTTATTGATTTTTTACAGAGAGGAAGGGAGAGGGATGGAGAGCTATAAACATCGATGGGAGAGAAACATCGACCAGCTGCCTCTTGCACACCCCCTACTGGGGATGTGCTGGCAACCAACTTACATGCCGTTGACCAGAAATGAACCTGGGACCTTTCAGTCCGCAGACCGATGCTCTATCCACTGAGCCAAACCAGTTTCAGCAAAGAAATTTCCTTTGAGAACCGAGAACCAACTTCTGTACGCGGGCCACGAAGTTTCAATAACAACCTGGGCAATTGCCCGCACATGATATTTTGTGGAAGAGCCACACTCAAGTGGCCAAAGAGCCGCAGGTGGCTTGAGAGCCGCAGTTTGCCGACGACCACAGCACTAGGGGGACTAATGTGTTCCCCAAACTGGCTTTCTAGTGGGATGGGGGGAGGGGGGGGAGGGGAGATAGACAACGAACAATAAATCCAAGTAGCCATCGTACCTCCACGTCAGGCCCACAGAAAAGAAGGGGGAGCTCACCTTCTGTCACCAGGTTGGTGTCGCTGGAGTGCTTGCAGGTGATGATCTTCTCTACCAGCTGATTGTAGCTCAGTTTCCCAACCGCACGCACAGCCTCGGGACTCTGCACGGGCCATGGGGTGGGGTAATAAGAGAAAAAAACAATTGAGATCTTTTTAGGAAGGAAATGAACTGCAACCCTAGGACCAAAGGTTCCTGAAACCTTTGCTGTCTCAATAACTGCCTACGATTTGCTTGTATTTGAATGTTACAAACAACTTTTTAAAGTTCAAGGAACTCTCTAGTGGGTCCTGCCTCTAAACCGGATTCCCTCCAAAGCCAATCTAATCCCTACACCCCTAACCCCTACCTCGCTAACCCCCAGCCCATACAACGATGCTTCTCTGTGGCTTGAGCTGGATAAGAGTCTCATCTGGGCCCTCTCAGCCTCACCTGAGGATCGACGAGCCAGCCGTGGTACAGAGGGATCCCCAGGAGGTCGAAGATACTGCACTCCGGTGTGTACTCAAAGTCTGAGACCCCTGTGAACCGCACATTGACATCCAGGCCGGTGGCCAGTTTAGGCAGCACGGTCATTGCGTCGTCCACATTCTGGGGGTAGAAAAAAAATCGGTGGACATATTAAATAATGAACACATTGCATATCTTTATTGATTTTTTAAAATATACTTTATTGATTTTTTTCACAGAGAGGAAAGGAGAGGGATAGAGAGTTAGAAACATCGATGAAAGAGAAACATTGATCAGCTGCCTCCTGCACACTCCCCACTGGGGATGTGCCCGCAATCAAGGTACATGTCCTTGACGGGAATTGAACCTGGGACCTTTCAGTCCGCAGGCCAACGCTCTATCCACTGAGCCAAACCGGTTTCGGCTCTTTATTGATTTTTAAAAATATTTTTTAATTGACTTCAGAGAGGAAGGGGGGAGAGAGAGAGAGAGAGAGAGAGAGAGAGAGAAACATCAATGATGAGAGAGAATCATTCATAGGCTACCTCCTGCATGCCCCCCACTGGGGGGATCAAGCCCGCAACCTGGGCTTGATCAGGAATCGAACTGTGACCTCCTGATTCATAGTCAATGCTCAATCAATGAGCCACACTGGTTGGGCGATTTTTATTTTTAGTGAGAGAAGGAAGAGGGAGAGAGAGAAGCATAAATGTAAGAGCAAAACATGGATTGGCTACCTACTGCATCTCTCCCTTCCCCCCACCCCCCAAGAAAACCCAGACACATGCCACAACCTGGAATTGAACCTGCAACCCTTCAGTGCCCAACCCACTGAACCACACCAGCCAGGGCAGCACACTATGAAACTTACGTATCTCAATGAAGCTGGAGGGGGAGGGAGAGAACATGACTGTCTAGCCCCTCCTCTCCTCCCCTCCATTTCAGTCCCACCCCCAGAAGTAAAATATTTAATCTTGTTGCTGTTCTCCCCAGGTTCTCTCCCAAGCCATTCTCCCTCCCCTCAACCCTTCTTTATCTTATGTAGATAAACTTGTTTTCTAGGACAGATTTACCTCCTCTTCCTCCTGCAGAAAAAAGTCATAGTTCAAGGAAGGGACCCTCTTGAGAAGCAGCAGGAAGGCTGCACACCGCTTTGTCCGCAGACCTTTTCGCTCACCTGCTGAAAATTAAGCTGAAGTCCCTCCGACTTCTCCTGGGGCTTGATGGACAGGAGGCAGTCTCCTGCAAGACAGGATTCCTGGTCAGTCTCCCCCACCCATTGCCCTCAGAGCAGCTTCCTCTTCTCCTGAGAATGGGTGGGGGTAATGTCGCCAAACCACTGATTTCCAGAGCTGGAAAGGACCTTGGATTCGAATCCTGGCCTTTCATGCCCCAGAGGAGGAAATCAGCTCACAAAGGCGAAGGGCCTGCCCGAGGGTCACAAGGGAAAGCTTCGGTTCGTCTCCTGACACCCTGACACCTTCACCCTCCCTGACCCGTCAGAGCCCCGAATGAGTGGACGGTGCTTGTACTTCCGTGTGATTCCTCTTCGAGGCCCGCTCACTCACCGAGATGGGCCATGAGCTCATCTGACGTGATCACTTCCTTCTGAGGGGGCAGCTTCACCTGGAGGCAGAGAGCGACCAGAGGGTCAGCATTGCTGCTTCCCTCCACGGGGCACCTCGGGAGAAGCCCACGGGAGGGAGGGGGGAGGGCAGGGGCTGTCCGGCGGTAGGGTATGGCGGAAAGAAAGAAGCTTACAAGGCAAGCAAGGGAGTGAATGTGCAACACTGCAAGGCATGCCCATTTGCTAGAGAGTAGAAGATAACAGGAGGAGGACAGAGAACTGCCTTTTTTGTTTTGTTCCTTTTTATGAACATGTTTCATTTGTTCAAGCTGGAGAAATAGGAAGAGTAGTTTTGACTGGCTTGTGGAAATCAAGGAAGTGGTTCAGGGAAGAGACCCTCCTCAGCGTTTTCTGAGCCGCTCCCCACCCCAACCCCAAACCCTCTTACCTTCCACTGAAGGAAGAGGATGTTCATGATGGCGAGGAGAGGGCAGGGGCCGTTCGTGCTCTGGGTGATGATGGGCGTCCGCTCTCCCTTCCAGGGGATCCACTTCACACAGTAGAAATCCAGCTCCAGCTGCTGGGCCCTGGGGGACTGGGGGAGCTCCTGGGGCCCCGAGCTCGCACCCGCTGTCTCTGCCTCATGCTGTGTCCTGTGGGCTGGCCCTGGCCGGTCTGAGCTAGTGTCAGGTGGAGGGGACTCAAGATTATCCTGGCCCTGGACTGGCAGTGACCCGTGATCTACTGGCTCCTGTCCTCCAGCTGCCCCATCAGCATCCCTGGCGGATCCGGTAGCATCTCCGGCTGCCCCATCAGCATCCCTGGCTGCTCCAGAAGCATCTCCGGCTGCCCCATCAGCATCCCTGGCTGCTCCAGAAGCATCTCCGGCCGCCCCATCAGCATCCCTGGCTGCTCCAGAAGCATCTCCGGCCGCCCCATCAGCATCCCTGGCTGCTCCAGTAGCATCTCGGGCCGCCCCATTAGCATTTCCGGCATCCTGGTCCCGGGGGTGCTCATCTGGTCCCGCTAGGACCTCGTGGTTTTCAGGACTGACTGCTTCTGCAGCCTTGGCCTTGCCAGAGACTGGACGCTCAGGGGGTTGATGGTGCTCCATGGTCAGAAGAGGGGCACCAAAGGACTCTGCAGTCCGCAGGAAGTTGCCTAATCTAGGCTTGATGTGCAAAAGAGAGACTGATCCAGTGAGAAGGCAATCATCGGGCCCAGGAAGGTCTCGGAAGAGGAGTGCGGCGTGGGAGGCGGGACAGTGTCTGCGGCCGCTCCTGGCTACGGAGCAGCGTCTGGGTCAGTCCGCGGGGTAAACAGGAGAGCGGCCCAGGCTGCGCCCCTCCACCTCTAACTGGCTGGGACCGGAGTGCGCAGGGCTTTCCGGTCGGGGAGGGACGGTTCCAGTGAGATGACTGAAGACATTGGGTGGAATCAGCTTCCCTGGAACAGATAAGGACAGGAATGCAGAAAAGACAGAAGAAAGGAGAAAGACCGAAGGGAAAGAGATGGAGAAGGAAATGTTAAAACTGCACCAATGGTGCCTGGCCAGTGTGATCAAGGGTTAGAGCGTCAGCCCTCATACCAAAGGGTTGCAGGTTCGATCCCCAGCCCCAGTCGGATAGGTTGCGTGCGGAAGACAACCAATAGATCTGTTGCTCTCACGTAGTGTTTCTTTCTCTCTCTCTCTCTCACTCTCTCTCTCTCTCTCTCTCTCTCTCTCTCTCTCTCTCTCTCTCTCTCTCTCTCTCTCTCCCCCTTCTTCTCCTCCTCCCTTCCTCTCTCTCTCCTCCTCTCTTCCTCTCTCTCTCCTTTTCTTCTTTGCTCCACCTCTCCCTCCTTCTCCCTGCCTCCCTTTCTCCCTTTCCTTCCCTTCCTCCCTTCCTCCCTTTCTCTCTAAAAACCAATGGAAAAAATATCCTTGGGCGAGGATTGACAATAAAACTAGACTAATAGTTAACACAGTGATCTTTAGTGATCTCACCCTGTAGCAGGCATCACCTTGGTAGCTCCCAGCCTAGCCAGGACCAAGGCAATTCCCCTGCCCTACACCAAACCCCACCCTTGGCTGTTCTTGGATCGATCATCCTGAGCACACACAATTAAATGTGTCTGAAGTGCCCTTAGGACTGCCTTCTCTGCCTCATCCCACGGGCGGCCAGGTGAACAGCCACATGGCGCTTGGGATGAAGAGTAGAGAGAGATGCAGAGCCAGGATCGTGCCCCTAAAGACGAAACTCGGCTGAGAAAGGGCTCCGCTGAACTTGACACAATCTCACACCAGAACAAAAAGGTCTTGGGAGGGGCTTCCTGTGGCCAGAGAGGGAAATGGAGGCCGTAGGGACTTGAACTGTGCAGATAAATAACTTCAGGTTTGGAGTACAAAGCCCCACTCCTACCCCCCCACCCCCAGCCCCGCCAGCGCCCCCCAGTTCTCCAGTAAGCTTCTCTGGAGGTGAGATGCCAACTTCTCACCAGCTCCTCTTTGCTTCCCAACCTGTCTTAACCCAAAGATACTCTCTCGCCACTGTTTATACGGAATATAAAAATGACTATCGATTTACATACAAAGTACTCCCTCTACATTCATTCATGTGTGCGTGTGCTCTGTCTGTTCCCATCTAGGTCATTTTAGATGTGAGCGCTGGACCTGTTTTACCTGCTCTCTATCAGCACTAAGCATCAAGTTCAGCAGGAACAGACCTTTAATTAATGCTGTGGACCATAAACAATAAAAAGCCACAAACGGTGCCTTCTGGGAAACATGCTCCCCCTCACCCCTGACTCAGGGTAAAAAAAAGGCGAGAAATGAAGCTTGTCCTGCCCGGTTAGAGCATGTTCCCAATATGTTACAGGGTTCGAGCCTCAGTCAGGGAACATACAAGAATCAACCAATGAATGCAAAATTAAGGGGAACAACAAAGTGATGTTTAATCTATCTATCTCCCCATCTCTTGCTCTCCCTCCTCCCTTCCTCTTGCTCCCTAAACTCAATTTTTTTTTTTTTTTTTTTTTTTTTTTTTTTTTAAATATATTTTATTGATTTTATACAGAGAGGAAGGGAGAGAGATAGAGAATCAGAAACATCGATAAGACAGAGTCATCGATCAGCTGCCTCTTGCACCCCCCCCTACTGGGGATATGCCCGCAACCAGGGTACATGCCCTTGACCGGAATCGAACCCGGGACCTTTCAGTCCCCAAGCCGACGCTCTATCCATTGAGCCAAACCGGTCCCGGCTAAACTCAATTTTTTAAAAAAATATATTTTATTGATTTTTTACAGAGAGGAAGAGAGAGGGATAGAGAGTTAGAAACATCGATGAGAGAGAATCATCGATCAGCTGCCTCTTGCACACCCCCTACTGGGGATGTGCCCGCAACCATGTTACATGCCCTTGACCGGAATCGAACCCGGGACCCTTCAGCCTGCAGGCTGATGCTCTATCCATTGAACCAAACCGGTATCGGCTCAATTTTTTTTTTTTTAAAGCAAGAAATCAAACTTGTCAGAAATCTTCTCTTTGGCTTCTTCCTAATTTTTTATTTTTTTTATTTTTATTTTTTATTTTTTTTGGCTTCTTCCTAATTTGAGACTATGCTTCCTTCGTGCAATCCTGCAGGAATTTAGGGTAAGGGTCAGTAAGGCCTGGGAGAGGAAGATGAGGAGCATAAAAGTTAAGGAAATAAGCCTAGTCACCCAAATTGATCATCCTCCTGACTCAAACATAATTTATGCGAGCTGTCTCTCATCTGCATGTTGTTCATTTAGAATCAGAGCAGGAAAAAAAAAAAATGCCTACAGGCCTGACACTTTGTTTTTCTTTCTCTCCTTCTTTCCTCCCTCCCTTCCCAGATGACACTTGGGATGAGCCTGGGAAGCAGGAACCAGAGCCTGGGGAAGTTAAAACAGCTTGTAGGAAAGCTGTCCAGTGCCAGATCAATAATGACGTGGGGGTTGGGGCAGCTAGTTGGCGAAGGGGATGAGCCCAAACAAACAGGAGCTGGACACCGGGGCCAGCTGGGTCACAGACAAACTGGGCAAAGCAAAGTGGGCTCAGCCTTACGGGGCGGGGCAGGAAGTGGATGGAGCATTTCCACTCGGTGGGGTGGGTGCACACCTGGTGGGGTGGGCATGGAGGGTTTCAGAGCAGGGAAGGATGGGGGCACGGGGGAGGGGAGTGTACCCAAACAAATCAGGGTTCCATTCTTTCCCTCTTTTCTCCATTCAAGCCCTACATGCTCTCTCCAGCAGGAATTCTCTTCTGGCTGTGGGTGAGGGAGTTAAAATAGCCCTGGCTCCTCCCTAGCAGTGGCAGTCAGTTGCCAAAAGTTGGAAGAAGCCTATATAACATGGGTAAAGGAAGCTTCAGTAAGACATGCACCCTCCTCCCCCATCCCAGGAACGTCCCCCTCTCCCTGCATGTCCCTTACTGTCCCACTCCGGTATCCTTCTCAGCCTGACCCAAATCTTCAAGCCACGAAGGGTTTAAAATTTCCCCTCTGAGTAAGTCAGCCACCACCACGGTGCGTGCTCGCAATGGAGCGGGGGGAAGGTCTCCTTAAAAGAAAAATAAAAGGAACCAAGCAGCATCCCTTTGACATGTTCTCCCTGCCTTCCTCCTCCCCCAATCCACACCTGTAGAGACCAGGGGTGGAGGGACAGTCAGTGTCCCCTCCCCGGAGCCGGAGAGGGAGAAGAGCAGTGGGAGTAGAAGAGGAGGTGAAGGACGGGGACAAAACAAAGTTTTTACCTTCAAGAAGGCTGTTCCCGGACAGAGAAGGAGGGCTCAGCTCCGACAATTCGATGAGGCGCCGCCACCGTCCCAGCTGCCTTCCCAACTGTCAACGCCACAGCTTATCCAGGTTTACGAGCAGCGGCCGTCCTGCTGGGTCCTGGCCACTTCCGGACCCACGCCCAGGACCGACGGGAGGAGGGTGAGAGCAGGTAGGGGTGCAGCCCAGGTGCTCCCCTGTGGCTCCAAGCGTGTCTTCAGGATTCCCGAGTTGCCAAATCCCCGATGAGAGCGATTCGGGCCCTGACTCCAAGCCGGTTTTCAAAGGGAAGTTTGAGGTTTTCCTTTTTTCATCCTTCTCTCTTTTCTTCCCATGGGGACAAAGAAAAATTAGTCAAGGGCAGGCTCCTTGGAGGAGGAGGGGCCTGCCCAGCACCGGAGAGTTTCCATCAGGGCTTTCCGACCCGGTCAGCAGCTTGGTGATCAGCAGCGAGGGAGAGAGAAACAAGGAGAGAAAAACAACAGACCCTTTCTCCTCCCTCCGCCTGCCTCTGGAAGGGACGGAGCGCTTGTGCCTCTCTGGTGAGAAGAGGGAAGAGCAAGTGCCCTCCCTGGCTGAGCGGGGAAGAGCAGGCTGGACAGCAGCAGCGTGCTGGATGTGGGCTTCCTCCCCGGTGAAGCAGTCCTTTGCTCTGGATCCACAGAAGCAGTGCCAAAGAGCAAGTTATTTGCATGTTCTGTCATTTAAATGTTTAAAAACACTGCTCCTTTCCAAGTCCTCCCTCTGTCGTCTTTGCAGTCTGGAAATGAAATTGGCGGGGCTGTGCCCCCGGTGGTCCCGGGGACAAGCCGGTGTGGAAGAACGCCCAGGCCCAGGGGAGAAGGGTGCAGCAGGGAGAGAACCTGCTGAGCGAGAGGCGATCCAGTGTCCCTGGGCTCTGTTCCTGGTTCCCACCACAGGCCTCCACTCACCCCAGGCACCTCCTCTCCCTTCCTCGCTTGGGGAGCAGGAGAAGCTGGTGTCAGTCTGGAGGCAGGAGATAAAGGGATGGATTAAGAAAGGAGGGAACATCCGATGATGAGAACACATTTATGTGCAGCGCTCTGCACTGCTGTGGGGCTGGAAGGTGGCAGTTAAAGGAGGTTGGGGACCGAACTCTACATTCTGAAGGGTCCTCCAAACTCTACTTACAGGGTTGCCATAAAGATTATAGGATGAAATGTCAAGCAACTCTGAAGGCTGAAAGGGCAGTTGGCACAATTAGGGAGGCAGGGAGCAAATAACACAGGTTCCAACGGTTCAGGAAAAAGAATGAGGAGACATTTCAGAGACGATTAAAAATAGGCCCCAGTGTTGTAAAGAGAGAAGCAGCAGGAGTTGGCAAGAAATTATAGGTATTAAGAAGAGGGTCCAACGATTATTCTAATGCTTTTGTAAAATGGACCATCACAATGTTGGTGACAATGGGTCCGTTTGCTACAGGGAGAGAATTTGAGAAAGGAAGACGAAGAAGAGCTGTTTTGCCACGTGTAATTTAAGATGTCAACCGGAGGCTCGGTGTAATAGATGGAAAGATATACTATTCTTAGTTTGACTCGAAAGGGGAAGTTCAGATGTCACAAAGATAGGTTACCGTGGCACATGTACGTTGTGTGCCAAATGAGTGATCTCAGAAAAATTCTCCTTCCCTCAATTCTTGGGGCCATTTCGGAGCTTCTGGACTACATTTCCCAAGACGCCCCGCGCCAGGCCCCGCTGGGCGCCGCCGGAAAGGTGTCCTGTGAGACTCCGAGCGTAGAACTCCGCCTCCGCCGCTGGAGGGGGGGGGGGGGGCGGGGCGACGTCGGACTCTCGGAGCGTCCGATGACGCACTTCCTCCCGGCGCCGGGGGCCGAATCGCCGTGTGGCGAGTTCGAGTCCCGCCTCCTGACTCTCGCCACTTAATCCCTGAGTCCGGGGCGGGGCGCATTCAGCGAGTAACCTCTCCTCGGCAAGGGGCGGTGGCACACGTTGTTGGGCTTCACCATGGAGGACTACCTGCAGGGTTGTCGAGCTGCTCTGCAGGTAACGGACCCCTGGCTGTGATCGTAGGGAACGGAACATGGGGTCTAGGAGGGAGGACGGAGATGTGGGGTCTGAGGAGGGTCTCTGTGGAAGGAACGGGGAATGGTGGGGTGGGGACTGCTTGGGGCCTGAGCAGTGGTCAGTGAGAATCTAGTCTTGGGTGTGGAAATGGTGCCCAGGCTCCCAGTTTTGGACCCCCTGCTTCTAGGGTCTCCCCGAGAGCGGGAAGGGAGGAGTCGTGGGTCTGGTCCTGGGTCTGAGCTTCTGAACGCGGCCGCCTGGGGCAGTGCCGTCAAAGGGTCCAGGGCTGTGCCGCCGCCAGGGGTGCCCCCGAGATGCTCCTTGTCCCCGTTGAACCCTTCCGTTCTACGGTAACGAGGCCTCCTTGGCCCCCTGGCCTCCAGGGGAACCTGTGCCCGTGGCTTTATTGCCTTGGAAGGGCGGGTTCTTGCTGGCACTCCTGACTCGTCCTAGAGGCGAGGTGGTCGTGGGGTTTTTCTGTTTTTAAGATAAACATACACAATATATCTCTGTGGACCGCCACCTGCTTGCATCCCTTTGCCTCCAGTTTTCTTCTTCTTTGGCCTGAAGGCACACAGATTACATTAAAAAAAAAAAAAAAAAAAAAAAAAAACCACGCCTGGGAGATAAGCACCAAGTGTGTTTGGAATCAAAACTATAAGCATGACTTGAATGCTTTGTGGCTTATTTTGGGTACGCTCTGAGCCGGCTGGAATCTCCCAGCCCTGCAGCATTAGGCTGCTCTCCCCAGTTACAGCAAAAGCTGGCCAGAGAGAGGCTCCAGGAGGTCACTTGGACCCCTTACTTGAACCTACCCCCCCACCCCCTGTAGAAACCTAGACAGATGGGTGACTGTTGCTTCCCTTTCTTCAGTATCTTTAGATCTGAAAAGACCCCTGAGCGATAGATTCTGGTCTTTAACAGAACCTAAAAGTCACCTGATTCTGCCTGCAGACTCAGCTCCTGGTATAAATGAATGTCCTTACCTGAAGAATAGGAGTGAAGTTTAATTTGAACAACGATTAAACTTGTGAAAACAATATTGGGGAAAGTTGTTCTAATGCAAATTTGAATCAATTCATTTTGGTTACTTCCAATTTCCACCACTGACCTAGAGTCTTTGTGGCTCTTTTCTGAGTGCTGAGCGGTTGTATCCCCATCTCCCCACGCTGCCCGCCCTGCAATAACCCATATCGTGTTGGTAAAGAGCCCTTGGAATTGAAACCTCACCAAGAAGCGTTTCATTGCTTGCTTCTATTACTACAGCATCTACTCTCCAGATCATCCCTTCCCCTTCCAGATTATCAGTATATCCTCTACAGCGGCATGAAGCTGGCAATAACGGAATTTTTCTAATGTTACTGGTATCCTGACCTTATCTGCCTGCAATCATCCTTCAAGGAGCAAGACCTAGATCTTAATTTTTTTCCTCGAACTTGGGAAGGTGTGGTTGTGTCTTAGCGCTCTCATCATCACACAGCCTTGCCTGGGCCAGGAGAAATGAGAAAATTAGACTAGAAAAATGAGTGGATGATGAACTAGGGTCGGATATATCAGGCTGACACCAGTAGCTTAGATTGCTTTTAATTACAGAATTTGTACATTGTGAATATTTTAAAATACAATATGGATACGAAATGAAAAAGATCTTTTTTCTTCTCCCCATGTAATAACCCAAAGGCTGCCCTTGTTTCTTATGTAAGGGAAGTATGAGTTAACCCTGGCCCGTGTGACTCAGTTGGTTGGAGGGTCGCCCGTACACCAAAAGGTGGCAGGCTCAATTCCTGGTCAGGGCACGAACCCAGGTTGCGGGCTCGATCCCAGGTCAAGGAGCATGCAGGAGGCAACCCATCGATGTTTCTCTCTCTCCCTCCCTCTCTCAAAAATCCATACCAATCTTTAAAAGTAAAAAGAAAGTATTGATTTAGAGACACTTAAACTATAGTTTAACTTTTAGGGAATTGTGAATGCTTACTTTTACGTACAATAGCAGTGGCCGATAACGCAGACAACTCTCTTGTTGATACCATTTTTTTTTTAGCATTCGATACCAGAGAGATTTTCTACAGTCTCTGCCACAATGACACCCGTGTGCTCCCTTTAAAAGAAATCCCCACTCCTGCCAAGTGGGGAAACATTTTTGCTTCAGGGTGGGGCTGCATTCGAGGTTAGGTGTTCAGCCAGCAGCCTGCGGGGAATCTGTGTTGTCTGTGCTTCTCCAGCAGGAGGCAGGAACCAGGAGTGGCTGGCTCTCCTTAGGAATTTATAGTCCTGGCACCAGAACTAGTCCCGTTTTCTCTGCTGGGAGGGCTTCTCTGTCTCTGGCTCCCCTCCCTCTCCCCGCCGCTAACCTCATCTCATCCCTCATCGACTATTCTGTGGAGTAGGCATCGCACCATATTCAGCTTCAGAAGGGGAGTGTTTTGCTTTGCCAGCCCTGGAACCCATCTCTCTCCCCCCACTGAGGCCACAGCCGACGTCAGGATATAACATTTCAGTAGTGGGTTTTTTTGTGTGTGTTTTGTTTTTAAGAAAAAAAGAAAAAAAGTTTATATTTACTTGTGGCTCTCAGACTGTGTTTTCTCCATTGGCAGCTTAGGTTTCCTCATGCTCTAAGTATAGCTATGTTTGCCCCGAAGCTCCCCCCACCGCGGTCAGAAAACGGAGGCTGGCTGGCTGGTGCTGACAGCTGCCGGGGATAGGGGTGAGGATAAAGAGTTGCACGTGTTGGTGTTTTTTTTGTTTTTTTTTTCTAAATGAGGAGGAGAATGTTGCTTTATAAGTTGGGCTACTATACACCTGCTCTGCCCAGGACAGTCTTAGTTTATTCTGACATAATCATTCATTGCAACCCCCTTTCCTCTTAAAAAAAAAAAAAAAAGTGTCCCAGTTTGAACAACAAAGTATATGGTCCCCTAGCTTGTAAGCTGAGTCAGGGATTTGGGATGCATCCATGAAAAGGTGGTGAGCTCCTAAACGCAGGAGTCGGGTTCCACGTGAGAGCCTCCCGTTGGCAGGGGGGTTAGAGGAAGAGGGGTGCTCCGGTCTGGGTGTCGGGAATGCCTCATGGAGACAGGGGGTGTGCAGACGGCCTGATGGACAGGGCGGGGCAGAGGAGGAGATGGAGGAGAGCTCATCTTTACTGCGACAGACTGGGCACTTAATGTGTTGTCTCATTTAATGCTCATTTCCACTTCATGGAACTGATCACAGGATTCTCTTAATTTTTATTTTATTTTATTTTATTATTTATTTATTTTTATTTTTAACATTTGAAATATATTTTATTGATTTTGTACAGAGAGGAAGGGAGAGAGTTAGAAACATCGGTGAGAGAGAGTCATCGATCAGCTGCCTCTTGCACACCCCCTACTGGGGATATGCCCGCAACCAAGGCACATGCCCTTGACAGGAATCGAACCCGGGACCTTTCAGTCCCCAAGCCGACGCTCTATCCATTGAGCCAAACCGGTTTCGGCAATTTTTATTTTATTTTAAAAATATATATATTTTATTGATTTTTTTTTCTTTTCCTCAGAGAAGAAGGGAGAGGGATAGAGAGAAATATCCATGAGAGAGAATCATTGATCAACTGCCTCCTGCACACCCCCCACTGGGGATGTGCCCACAACCAAGGTACCAATGCCCTTGACCGGAATCAAACCCGGGACCCTTCAGTCCAGACACCGATGCTCTATCCACTGAGCCAAACCAGTCAGGGCTATCATCTTAACTTTTTAAAATGAAAACAGCGAGGCTTAGGGAGGCCAGGGTCCCACAGCAAGTAAGAAAAGCAGAGCTGAGATTCAACCCGTCTGTGGTCTTTTCAAATGGCAGCTTGCTATTCCAGGCGGAGCAGAGCAAGTGGTGCAAAGGGCAGAGCTGGGAATGTGCACAGTGGTTTTCAGAGGCTAACAGACCAATCAGACTGGGGCGGGGGGTGTTGACAGGGGAAAGGAAGCCACCCCCTCCCTTGGCCATTCCTGCTCCGAGATTAGCTACAAGTTCCAGAATATTCCTTTTGTATCAGTTCCTTTGGGGTGCTGTCTGAACTTGGCTGCGTGCAAGGGGTTGGTTATTAGTCTTCCTCTGGAAATCGTTTTTCCTCACCTCGGCCATGACGTTGTATGTAGTCCCTGCTTTCTGCTTTGCTGCTTCGCCTTCTCTCCATCCTGAAGCTCTGACTGACCCTGATTCCTCTGCCTTTGTGTGTGTGTGTTTTGTTTTTTTTGGTGTTTTTTTTTTTTTTACAGAGAGGAAGGGAGAGGGATAGAGAGTTAGAAACAGATGAGAGCCCTAACCGGTTTAGCTCAGTGGATAGAGCGTTGGTCTGCGGACTGAAAGGTCCCAGGTTCGATTCCGGTCAATGGCATGTACCTTGGTTGCGGGCACATCCCCATTAGGGGGTGTGCAAGAGGCAGCTGATGGATGATTTTCTCTCATTGATGTTTCTAACTCTCTATCCCTCTCTCTTCCTCTCTGTAAAAAATTAATAAAATATATTAAAAAAAAAAAAAAAGAAAGAAAGAAACAGATGAGAGAGAAACATCGATCAGCTGCCTCCTGCACACCTCCTCCTGCGGATGTGCCTGCAACCAAGGTACATGCCCTTCACCGGAATCGAACCCGGGACCTTTCAGTCTGCAGGCCAATACTCTCTATCCACTGAGCCAAACCGGTTAGGGCATGATTCCTCTGCCTTTGAAATGAAGCAGCAGAGGGCCTCTCTGTGCCCAGCAATGGGTGTTCCCTTTGCTCTGCCTTTTTTTTAAATTTTTTTTTTTTTAAGAGAGACATTGATGTGAGAGAGAAACTTCTATCAGCTGCCTCCCATCATCCATGCCCTGAACTGGGACTTGAACCCACAATCTTTGGTGTTCAAGATGACACTCCCAACTCACTGAGCCTGAGCCGCCCGGCCAGGGCCCCTTGCTCTGCCTTTTCTCTGTTCCTCTTACGTTCTGCTCCAGGGCCAGGGCCATATGGCCGCTTGTGTTTATGTAGATCCCTCAGAGAACACTGTGCCCCTGACCGGCCCAGTGAGCAGTTATCTGGGCAGCCACTTATCTCAAGTGCTTTGTTGTCACTCTGGGCCACCGCCATCTGGGCAGTTCATGGTGCCAGAGAAAACAGGGACCTTCTCTGGTGTCAGGAGGAGGGATCACAAGTCAGAAAAGTTCCTCCAGCACTGGGCTAGGGTTCTCATATCGCGTTGGGAAAGAGTGTGATATTGAAAAGACTCTGCCATGCTGTTTGGCATGAATGGGCCTTGGCTGCCACGCTGTTGAATTAGGCTTAAATAAATGGGCACAGGGGGGACTCTCAGGCAAACTTTCCCCAGACACCCTGTGCCCAAAATCTTGACAGATGATCCCATGCCTTTTGTACTTCTCACTCGGGGTGGGAATAGGAGGTGGGAAAGAGGGGAGTTTAAAAACAGGAACTTGCCAAAACCGGCTTGGCTCAGTGGATAGAGCGTTGGCCTGTAGACTGAAAGGTCCCAAGTTCGATTCCGGTCAAGGGCATGTACCTTGGTTGCGGGCACAGCCCCAGTGGCACATCTCCCTTCCTCTCTGTGAAAAAGCAATAAAATATATTTAAAAAAAAATAAAAATAAATAAAATAAAAACAGTAACTTAGTTACGAGATCAATTTATACCACTAGAAGTTTTCTAAAATGTTCTCTTTCTGGGAGAATGGTGTGGAGGGGTGTGTGTGGGTGGGTGGGTGTGGTAATAGCCAATACAGGGAAGATGACTAGATTCTTTTCCCCCCCCTAAAGTTAACTACTTGATAACTGCTCCTTGTTATGTTTCACTTCTTTGAATTCCTGTCCCACTTTTATAAACTCTTCCATCTAGCAAATCTTCCCTGATAGAAGCCAGAATGTGTGGATTTTTACCTTTCTATAACGCAGTAGTTCTTATATAGGGAGTAATTTTTTAAAAAAATATATTTTTTATTGATTATAGAGAGGGAGAGAGAGAGACAGAAACATCAATGGTGAGAGATAATCATTGATTGGCTGCCTCCTGCACACCCCACACAGGGGATTGAGCCTGCAACCCGGGCATGTGCCCCGACCAGGAATTGAACCGTGATCTGGTTCATAGGTTGATGCTCAACCACTGAGCCATGCTGGCCAGGTGCCTAGGAGTGGTTTTTGCTCCCAGGAAATATTTGGCAAGTCTGGAGACATTTTTGATTGTCATGACTGGGGGTGCTAAGGCATCTTTCTAATGGTTAGAATCCAGAGATGCTGCCAGACATCCCACAAGGCATAGGACAGCCCCCACCACAAAGAATTACCAGTGCAAAATGCCAGCAGTGCTGAGATTAAGAAACTCTGCTGTAATTAGTGCTTCTCATTTGTTCTTATCCCTTCGTTCCTCAGAAGCAGGTTGAGAGAGAAGTTCAAAAGCAAATTAGTAAGACAGAATTCTTGTGCCCTAAGCTGACTCATAGACTTTATGGTCTCATTCCATCTGGCTGAATGTTCACACCTATAATGAAATCATCACTCTTAAAATACCTATCTCTTCAGTTTGTTTTGAGGATTAAATGATTAGTTTGTGCACATAAGCAATAGAACAGTGCATGGCACACTCTAAATGTCTCAGAACTAAACCAAATCCCAGTCTCTGCTGTTGTGGGCAATGTAGATTTTAGTGTATTTTCTTTCTTTTTAATTAATTAATTTATTTATTTATTTCAGAGAGAAAGGGAGAGAGAGAGAAACATCAATGATGAGAATCATTGATTGGCTGCCTCCAGCATGTCACCTACTGGGGATCAAGCCCACAACACAGGCATGTGCCCTTGGCCAGAATCGAACCTGGGGCCCTTCAGTCAGCAGGCCAACGCTCTATGGACTAAGCCATACCAGCTAGGGCTTAATGTATTTTCTTTTTTTCTTTTTCTTTTTTTTAATATATTTTTTTGATTTTGTACAGAGAGGAAGGGAGACAGATACAGAGTCAGAAACATCGATGAGAGAGTCATCGATCAGCTGCCTCTTGCACACCCCTCACCGGGGATACGCCCGCAACCAAGGTACATGCCCTTGACCGGAATCGAACCCGGGACCCTTTAGTCCCCAAGCCGACGCTCTATCCATTGAGCCAAACTGGTCCCGGCTTAATGTATTTTCTTTAAAACTCTGATAGCTAGGGAAACAAGGTTAATAATAACCATCCCTACCCAGTTCTTACCAGCAGCTGGACCATTCAAAGTGTCAAGTAAAAGTTCTCCGGCAGCCACTGTGCATGCTTTAAGCTACACCTACTGGGAAAGCGGCCTGTTTCTCTGGTTGAAGTGTTGGTTGTGTCTGGTTATCATGGAGGTTCCTTGGGGAAGTTTTTATGGACAACTAGATAATGGACTAGATTTTATTTTTTGAAGTATTAAGGATTCTTTTCCCTCTTTTGAAAATGGGGGGTGGGAAATAAACCACGGCTTAAATACTCGTACATCAGCTTACCTTTGACTTCTCAAGGGCCCAAAGCAGCATCAGAAGTCAGAATTATTTGCTGCTGGCTTTTTGTAAATCAACAGTCAGGGACACAGTGTAGCGGAGAGAAAAGAGCACTTTCCCACTAACTGGATCTGTGTGGAATGCTCAAAGCTTTGCCAAAGCACAGACGTCAGCCCTAACTGGTTTGGCTCAGTGGATAGAGCATCAGCCTGCAGACTCAAGGGTCCCAGGTTTGATTCCGGTCAAGGGTACCTTGGTTGTGGGCACATCCCCAGTAGGGGTGTGTAGGAGGCAGCTGATTATGTTTCTCCCTAACTCTCCCTCTCCTTTCCTCTCTGTAAAAAATCAATAAAAATATATTTAAAAACAAACAAAAACCTCTCAGCCAATGTCCTCATCCGTGAAATGAGGACCCATAAGATCAACCTGCTCGCCAGGACCGGCTTGGCTCAGTGGATAGAGCGTCGGCCTGTGGGCTGAAAGGTCCCGGGTTCGATTCCGGTCAAGGGCATGTACCTTGTTTGTGGGCACATCCCCGGTGGGGGGTGTGCAGGAGGCAGCTGATCGATGATTCTCTCTCATTGATGTTTCTAACTCTCTATCCCTCTTTCTTTCTCTCTGTGAAAAATCAAAAAAATATATTTAAAAAAAGAAAAAAGATCAACCTGCTCGGTTGGAATCAGAGAGAGGATGTGTGTAAGCCCTACATGTGTGTAAGGCAAATGGAGACGCGTAGATGCTTCTGCTAGTTTCCCGTTCTCCTTCCAGGAGTCCCAGCCGCTGCATGTCGTGCTGGGAAATGAAGCCTGTGACTTGGACTCCATGGTGTCCGCTCTCGCCTTGGCTTTTTACCTGGCAAAGGTGAGTACTTAGGAACAGAATCTCTTAGAATGAAAAGATTTGGATTCAAGATTCAGCTCTGCTGCTTAACACCATCTAGTCTTGGGTAAGTTAAATCCCTTAACTTTTCCGAGTCTCGTGTCGCCATCTGTAAAGCCTGAAATAATGTCGGTGTTGGTGTGAGGATCCAATGAGTAAATGTATGTTGAAGAATGTGTACACAGGGAGCATTTGAGATCTTGCTTCCTGGCAGTTGTCATCCGTTTGGCTCAAACTCATAAAATTTCAAAAATAGAATGTGTAAACCATAAAATATTCCAACAGTTTATTCTTGAGCAACGTGGGTATCCATGATCTAATGAGTATGCCTCAGTCTACGTCAGCTCTTGAAGACTGATAATCCCTTCTCTGCAGCATCTAGAACTAGCTCTTTTTCATGACTTTTCTTGTGTGTGTGTGTGTGTGTGTGTGTGTTTAAATACATTTTTATTGATTTCAGAGGGGAAGGAAGGAGAGATAGAAGCATTCATTATGAGAGAGAATCATGGATTGGCTGCCTCCCACAAGCCCCTCACTGGGAACCCACAACCCAGGCATGTGCCCTTGACTGAAATCAAACCCGGGACCCCCTAGTTTGCAGGCTGATGCTCTATCCACTGAGCCAAACCAGCTAGGGCATGAGTTTTCTTGTTGACCTTCATGTTACTGCTAAATATGAGAAAGGGCAAGGATTGTCCTTTTATTTTTATTGACTTGGTGTTTTGGCTTCGAGAAGGGTAGTAACTCACCCAAAATCATGTCTTCCTTGGTCCCAGTTGTCTTGTTATTTTTCCTGTCTGTTCCACAACATTGCCATACCTTCTTTTCACTCTCTTCTCCAGACGACTGAGACTGAGGATGTCTTTGTTCCAGTTTTAAATATAAAACGTTCTGAGCTACCTCTGCGAGGTGACAACGTCTTCCTCCTTCAGGAGGTTCACATTCCAGAGTCCCTCTTAATTTTCCGGGATGAGATCGACCTCCACGCGCTGCATCAGGCCGGCCAACTCACCCTAATCCTTGTAGACCACCACGTCTTACCCAGGTATGTGGAAGGACGTTAAGCTGATTCTTAATCATGTGCCATGTTGAGCTCTGATGAGTAAGATATAAAGAGAGGAAGAATTTTTGCTCTTGGGAATATCACATGCTAATAGTAATTGATGGGTCCTAGTTGATACAGAAAATATTATCGCTTCTCCAGCTTTGCAAGTAGAAACTTGGAGAGTTCAAACTAAAAGATAACTAGAAATTATTTAAATATGCCTTTGGTATTATTATATTTTAAGATTTCATGGCAGATTTATTATAATAGAAGCTTTTGAATAATAATTCCAACTCTTTTTAATTTTTAAAAAGTTAGCAAAATTATTTCCTACATAAGACAGTATCTTATTAGTGTCTTTAATAAAGGTACACACCTAGAATAATTCCATCCCTAATTTAAGACTGGAAAAACTGCCAAAAAAGCCACATAAGTAAGTCTGTCTGGCTTCTGCTAGTATTAAAATGTGTGTTATTTCCTTGAGCACACTGGTTATAGCAGGACATTGACAGAGGGCAGCCTCAGGGCATCGATCCAGCTGTCCATTCACTCATCAGTAAACTTCTGTGTAGAGGATGCGGGTGAGACAGAGTCCCTGTTTCGAGAAGCTTTCAGTCAGGAAGCGGGAACTAGGCAAACTGGTCATTGTAATGGGCTTAGCGGTAAGGGATAACCATTAGGAGACAGTAGGTGCAGGAAGGATGGAGAGGTTAAATGTACTAGAGGGGAGTAGAGGGTGTCAGGAAAGGTTTCCTAACAGAGGTAACCCTGTATCTCAGTCTTGAAAGAGAACTAGCTGTTTACTTGGGAAATGGGGAGGTAAGGTCATGAGGAAAAGCATCCAGGCAGAGAGAGTGATTCATGTAAGCAAAGGCAGGCAGGCATGAACTAGCATGGTGAGTCAGGGGAACTGGAATGTGTTTTGCATGGCTGGAGCATAAAATACGAGTGAGAAATAAGACATGGAAAAAAGGTAAGACTAGAAAGGTAGACAGGCCAGATCATGGAAACCCTGCGAAAGAGATTAGACTTTATTTTAGGGCTGTGGGGAACTCTTGTTAATTATACTTATTCAGGGTCCTAACAGAATCAAATTTGCACATTCAGGCAGCATTGTGGAAGACAGCTTAGGAAGGCCTAAGATTGAAAGCAGGTGTTTGGTTAGGAAACTACTGGAATCATCCAGATGAGAGATGTTGAGGGTCTAGAATAAGGCAGTAGCAGAGGGGTGGAAAGGAAGGAATAAATAGAAATTGAGATAGAAGCCCCAGGATCGGGTGACGTGCATGGAATTTGGGTAGTAAGGGAATTAAGGGGACAGGAGCGATTTAGATGTTGGGTATCAAGGGTGTCAATCGGAAAGGCAACCTCAGAGGACATCAAATATGCGGATAAGGTATTCGTAGCAGACACTTTGCCAAAATCACGTGTACACTATTTAAAGATGACTTCCGTTATAGCATTAAAGGAAAGAATTGGAAGGAGTGAGGCAGAGGTAGAAGCAACCAGAGGTCTAAGTGTTTACCTACGGCGTCTGCATTTTTCTTCATGAGTGAGGTGGAGATTGGTTCGAAGCAGCTGGAGTACTCTTGCCTACCTTTGTTTCTCTTTTTCCCACGATGCCTTTCCCCACACAGAAGTGACGCAGCCCTAGAGGATGCAGTGGCAGAGGTGCTAGACCATCGGCCCATCGAGCAGAAGCACTGCCCTCCCTGCCATGTTTCCGTTGAGCTGGTGGGGTCCTGCACTACCCTGGTGACCGAGAGGATCCTGCAGGGGGCACCAGAGATCTTGGACAGGCAAACTGCAGCCCTTCTGCATGGTGAGGGCGGCTTGGTTGGGGCCTAACTCGGGAGTTCCTCCATTCCTATCCAAGAGAAGGGACAGTTGAAAAGTCTAGATTCTTCCAGCTTGACCATACCCTCTCAGAGCCATTCAGCCACACTGAAGGCTGGGATTCTTTCAGGGGAGCAATTAGGTATTGAAAGGCTGTGGGATACTTTGTTGGGGAATGCAGAAGGGAAGCAGGGGACAGTAGACCTAGAAACTGCCTCAGCAGCACCATAAAATGAAAAGAGGTGCCACAACATATCCCCAGTAGGGGGTGTGCAAGAGGCAGCTGATCGATGACTCTCATTGATGTTTCTAACTCTCTATCTCTCTCCCTTCCTCTCTGTATAAAATCAATAAAATATATTTTTTTTAAAAAAGAAGAAGAAAAAGAAAAGAGGTGCCACAAAAGAAGGAAACGATTCCAGTATCATTTCTGCCCATTTGTGACCTTGAGCAAATCTCTTAACCTTTCTTGTTCTCTTTTTCTTTATTTGGAAAAAAGAGAAAGAGAAAAAAGAGAGAGAGAGAATTGGATTAGACTGTCTTTACTGGTCCCTGGCTGGTGTGACTCAGTGGTAGAGCATTGGCCCATGGACCAGAGCCTTGGATTTGATTCCCAGTCAAGGGCATGTACCTGGATTGCAGGCTCATTCCCTAGCCTTTTTAGGGTATGTGCTGGAGCAACCAATCAATGTGTCTCTCTCATGTCAATGCTTTGCTCTCGCTCTCTCTTCTGCCTCCATCCCTCCCACTCTCTCTCTCTGAAAGTCAACGGAGAAAATATTCTCAGGTGAGGATTAACAACAACAACAAAAAAGAGTCTTTACTAGAATTGGGCCTACAGAGGAGAGGTCATCTTTCTCTTACTAGATCTCACAATCTCCAAGAATTGTGACTCTCGGTCTTTCTTTCTACTGTTTCCCCATTTCCCTGCCTGCATTTTAGTGTGGATTTGAGAGGTCTTACTCGGGCATAACCCTGAGTTTGCATACAGTCCCCTCTGTATTGCGACCATTTGGTTGGAGGGTTAGGTGTGTTTCCATGGTCATACATGGAGGGCCACAAGATTTCAGGTCTGTCATCTTCCTTTTCCACAGCAACAATCATCCTGGACTGTGTCAACATGGACCTTAAAATTGGAAAAGCAACCCCAAAGGACCACAAATATGTGGAGAAGCTGGAGGCCCTCTTTACAGATCTGCCCAAGAGAAATGACATCTTCGATTCTCTGCAAAAGGCGAAGTTTGATGTGTCGGGTATGAAGTGTTAAACTGACTTCTCTCCCTCCTATGTGAGAAAACAGCATCACAACACTGTCAGAGCACGGGTTATGGTTTGAGCTTTGGAGATAAATGAGGTAGCGTGTGAGTCTGATCGGGAACTAATTAGTCATTTACTGGATTGTTCTGACTGGGCTATCGGGGAAGATAGGAAGAATATAGTAAAGTCTCAGAGGTTTTCATTCTAATCAGAGAATATAGATTTATGAATAAAATATACTAAGTTGTCAGTGTGAGATCTAGATAATGGGTTAGGGAAGCAGAAGAAACAGGGTGAATATACCAAGGACAAAGGAAGAGAACAAAAATCTTACATAATTTTCCACCCAGCTACCTCCCGATAAAAAAGTAAATAAATAGCCCTGGCCAGTTTGGCTCAGTGGACAGAATGTCAACCCGTGAAAGGTTCCCGGGTTCAATTCCGATCAAGGGCACATGCCCAGGTTGTGGGCTCGGTCCCCAGTAGGGGGCATGCAGGAGCCAGCCAGTCAGTGATTCTCTCTCATCATCCTATTTAATAAAAGCCAAATATGCAGCCGAAACCGGTTTGGCTCAAAGGATAGAGTGTCGACTTGGGGACTAAAGGGTCCCAGGTTCAATTCCGGTCAAGGAAGGGCATGTACCTTGGTTGCAGGCATATCCCCAGTAGGGGATGTGCAAGAGGCAGCTGATCGATGACTCTCTCTCATCGATGTTTCTAACTATCTCTCTCCCTACCTCTATGTACAAAATCAATAAAATATATATATTTTTAAAAAGCCTAATATGCAAATCAGCAGAATAACCAGTCACTATAATGAGCACTGACCACCAGGGGGCAGATGCTCAATGCAGAAGCTGCCCGCAGGTCCCAAAGGAGGGTGCCAGTGGGGGCCCTCCACCGCCCTGCCAGTCACCCCACAGACGGTCCCTGATCGACAGCCAGGCCTAAGGACCCTCCCTGTTCACAAATTTCATGCTCCAGGCCTCTAGTAAGTACTATGTGTACCTTTCTCTCCATGTCCCTTGCTCTAAAGGTAACTTGTGACGCAGTAATTGAAGCTAATTTTTTTCATATAATTACATTTTCAGTTAACCCTTTTAATTGCCCAAAAGAAAGGCTGTGTTTTTCCTCTCCCATGACCCACCTTGATGTCTTCCCCTTCCTAGTCTTGGGACCGTGGGCTCTCATTTATTTATTTATTTTTTAAGAGAAATGGAAGCTTTTTATTTTATTTTTATTTATTTTTATTTTTTTAAATAATATATTTTATTGATTTTTTACAGAGAGGAAGGGAAATAGCGAGTTAGAAACATTGATGAGAGAGAGTCATCGATCCCAGTAGTGGGTGTACTGGGGACATGCCCAAACCTGGGACCCTTCAGTCCGCAGGCTGACGTTCTATCCACTGAGCCAAACTGGTTTCGGCTGGGCTCTCATTTTTGACTCCTATTCTCACACCTACTTTCTAGGCCTGACCACTGAGCAGATGCTGAGAAAGGACCAGAAGACCATTTTCAGACAAGGCATCAAGGTGGCCATTAGTGCAATATATATGGATCTGGAGGTAAGAGCAAGATGTAGGAGTAGATGGGAAAAGAAAACCTTCAGTTATGTGGATAACCTCGCCCCTCACTTCTGACTCTCCTCCACTTACCTTGTATCTATCCATGTTTCTCCAGCTCTGGTAACTCCCACAGTTCATTGTCTCTCACCGTTTTACTGTACTCGCCCCCCCAGTTTACCAGCCTCCACTTATGTACCCCTACAAACTATTCTCTCCACAGCGGCCAGAGAGATGCCCCTAATAGGTAACTTAGATCCTATCACCCCCTTCCTTTGCTGGCTTTTCATTGCACTGCTGATAAAATGCAAAACCTCGCTATGGTTTATAGGGCCCACCTTGGTTTGGCCCCGACTTTCTCTCTGATCTCACGCCAGCCCTGCTTCCCGCTCCCTCCCCCTCACCTCCCCGCCACAGCACGCAGCCATACTGGTTTTCTTTCTGTTCCTTGGAATCATTAAGTTCATTCCCAACTCAGAGCCTTTGTACTTGCTTTTTCCCTTTGTATAGCTGGCTCCTTCATGTCCTTCAGGTCTTAGCTCAGGAATCTCTTTTAAGAGGTTTTTCCAGCCTGGCCGGCATGGCTCAGTGGTTGAGCATCAACCTCTGAACCAGAAAGTCACAGTTTGATTCCTTATCAGGACACATGCCCAGGTTGCAGGCTAAATCCCCAGTAGGGGGCATGCAGGAGGCAGCTGATCAATGATTCTCTCCCATTGATGTTTCTATCTCTCTTCCCCTCTTCCTTTCTCAAATCAATAAAAAATACTTTTTTTTTTTTAAGTGTTTTCCTGTCCATCCTAACTAAAATAATATCCTTCCTGTTCAAAAATCTCTAACCGTTATCTTCTGTTTTCTTCCCAGCACTCACTCAACACCCTGAAATAATCATAGTTCATGGTTTCCTTGTTTTATCATCTACATTCCTCTGTTCGTTTATCAGCCCAGCCAGAGCAAGGGCCCTATTTCTTTTGTCTCTGCTATACCTGCAGCAGCTTTGACAGGGCCTGACACAAAGTGGGTGCTCAGTAAATTTTGTTGAATGGGTAAATGAATGTAACTATGATAATGGCATTTTAATTCCTAGTTCCATATTATATTGGTTTAAGTCACTCGACAGCCTGATCTGAACCCATACTCGCATAGTCTGCACAGCTTTCTACCAAATGTTATATAAAAATACTAAATAATCAAAACAAAACAGCATGACCTCTTCCCTTATGACTCATCATCTAGTTTGGGAAACAAACAAAAGAATGCAAAAGGCTTCCCAAGGACCATAATCACAGTATGAATAGACGCTTTAGAAATGCCAAGGATCGAGCCAGGACCCGTTTGGCTCAGTGGATAGAGCGTCGGCCTGCAGACTGAAGGGTCCCGGGTTTGATTCCGGTCAAGGGCATGTACCTGAGTTGCGGGCACATCCCCAGTAGGGGGTGTGCAAGAGGCAGCTGATCGATGATTCTCTCTCATCGATGTTTCTAACTATCTATTCCTCTCTGTGAAAAATCAATAAAATATATTTAAAAAAAAAAAAGAAGAAGAAGAAGAAATGCCAAGGATCGGAAACGCTGTCATTTTTCAATCCGTAAAACAGTCATGCTTGGTAGATATTTTATCCTCATGTTATAGATGAGGAAACTTAAGTCCTAGGAGGTTAATATAATTCCTTGATCATATAGCTAATAAGTAATAGAGCTGATTTTCAGATCAGTTCTGTCTGAGCCCAAAACCTGTATTCTCCCCATTGTACACACTGCCTCCGAGCACATAGACAGCAGAGTACACACCAGGTACCTTACGGAGTACAAGCCCCGTAAGCATTTTTGTTGGTGGCGACAAGGGGGCTCCAGCCCTCCCCCCTGCCCATCTCTTGTCTTCCAGGCTTTCCTGCGGAGGCCCGGCCTCACAGCAGATCTCCACGCCTTCTGCCAGGCTCACGGCGACGACGCCCTGGTCGCCATGGCCATCTTCTTCAACGCGCACAACGAGCCCGTGCGGCAGCTGGCCGTTTTCTGTCCCCACGCAGCTCTCCGGACGACAGTGAGTCTGCCTCCCCCCCGCCCGGAGGCTCTGCGGACCTCTGCCCCTCAGGCCGCCCTGCGCTGTGAAGGCCGCTCCTGGGTTCTTACGTTTACACGCAGGTCCCCTAACCTGCTTCCAGAATCTCCCCTCCCGCTTTTCCCAGTCTATGTCTAAGTGAATACCCTTAATCCTATTGTTGTTGAGAAAGAGAGATTCCAAAAACAATTAAGAGATGGAGTTCCTCCTTAGAAGAGATCTGAAAACCGGGTTAATGAGCCTGGAGTTAAACTCGATCCTTTGTTTAATCATGAACTCCTCATCCCTGAACATCAATTCTTTTCTCCCGTCCGGATTGCCCTGAAACGGGGAAACACAAGAGGAACTTTCTCTGCTACTTACCCTGCGGGGAGTGGTCACTGCAGCGCTGACTGTGGAGAAGGGACCAGGAGCAGGTTTGCTTTCTTGCCTGGTCTTCCATGTGGCCCCCTTTCCCAGCTCCTCCCCTTTCCTTTCCCCTTCTGGTTACTCATTAGCCCAGGGAAGAATTTGAAAGTGGACCTCAGGCAGTCCAGGGCCTCTGGGTTGCTTGGGCTGTGTGACTGACTGCTGAAGACCGGTCTGAATGCAGCCGGATAATCCTTTGAGCCTGTAAGAGGCTGGTCCGCCCTTTCCCACACCTCTCTCTGCCTTTGTCTTCTCCCTGAGGAAGCAAGTGTGACTTCACTCAGTGGAGGGAGTTTGTGGAAAGACTAGTGTTTAAAGGCAGATAGACGAGCTTTTCTGCCCCAGATTTGCCACTTACTTTCTCTTTGAGCCAAAGCAAGTCAGTTGACTTCTGAGCCTGTAAAGAGCATCACATTACCTCCTAATTAGTCTGATGTGATCATTAAACATAAAATATGGACAGTACATTGCTGGGCACAAAGTAAACACTCGGGGAAAGGTGGCTCCTACCAATCATGTCATAAAGGGAAAGGTACTTTGGTCTCTCCCCACCCTCCTGTATCTCTCCCCTTCTCCCAACCCCAGCCCCTGGTGCTGCTCCCTGGAGCTGTGCTGGCACTGCCATGGCCAGGCTGCCTGGTGCTGGGCAACGGGGCCTCTTCTCACCGTCAGCCCCGCCGTTTCCTCTCTCCCTCCTGTTTTAGGAACACGGTGATTCCGAACACCAGTTTTGGTGGCAGACCTAGGTCTTAGTGTCAGCTTTGCTTCATTCAAACTATGATATTAGGAAGTCACTGAATCTGTCTACGCCTTGGTTTCCTTACCTGTGAAATGAGGATAACAGTAATACCAATCTTATAAAGCAATTGTGAGGATTAAATGAGGTTGTACAGTATTGACAAATGGCCAGATTTGGCACCATGCCTGGCATACCTCCCACCCTCACTTTGATCTACTCATTTTTTCTGCCTCTGTCCTTCCCTTGACCTCAGTATAGATACGTGTCCCATACCTCAGTTGCAATGCAGGCTCGATCCCTGACTCCATCAGGGCATGTGCAGGAGGCAGCCAGTCAATGTGTCTCTCTCACATCAATGTTTCTCTCTCTCCCCCACTCCCTTGCACTCTCTAAAAAGTAATTGCGGGGGGGAGGGAAGAATCCTTGGGTGAGGATTAACTAAAAAATAAATAAATAAAATACTATGTATATTAGCTGATATGCCTTTTGTTGCAAGCAATACAGCTTAACTCTGAGTGTTTTAAAACACACACACACACACAAAACTTCTCCTCTGTAAGAGAAGCTCCCAACTTAGAAGCCTCAGCAATCTGCCTCCACAGTTTGCTTCACCACCTGAAATCCCATTTCCCCATCTTGTCGCCTCTTTAGATCTGTGGAGTCCTGGAACGGTCCCACTCTCCGGCCCTGAAGCTGACCCCTGCCCCAAGCCCTCACCCTAACCTCCAAGCCTATCTTCAAGGCAACACCCAGGTCTCTCGAAAGAAATTCCTGCCTCTGCTCCAGGAAGCCCTGTCAGCATATTTTGACTCCACGACAATCCCTTCAGGGCGCCCTGAGACTGCCAGGGAGCAGGTGGACAAGGAGTCGGACGGGGCAGGTACCTCCCTGACCCCTGGACTGAGTCAAGATGAGGAGGAGCCTCCCCTGCCCCCCACACCCATGAACAGCTTGGTGGACGAGTGCCCCCTGGATCGGGGGCTGCCTAAGCTCTCGGCCGAGGCCATCTTTGAGAAGTGCAGTCAGATCTCCCGGTCACAGTCCACCGCGGCCTTCCCATCCAAGAAGTGACTGTTGGGAGGGGAGGGGGCAGCGGGAGGGGTTGCTTGAACCACCTCGAATGCATGTTTTGAGAGGCTTCAGCAATTCTGTCTTCATTGCTCCAGGGTCAGGTGCACTTGTCCTGTTCTCGTAACTTTGGGAGGAGAAAGAAGTAAACGAAAGCAGCTGCTTTAGGAATGGCTTTCTACCTTTCCCCCCAATCTCTCCCAATCATATTCTGTTATTTAATTTAATTCTTTAGATCTGCACTGACTCCCCAGGGGTACAACGTAACTCCTATGCTGTTCCAGCTGAGGGGCACAGAAAGAATGTGCGCCCCAACAGTGCCCTCGGCGAGGCTCCTTAACAGAACCAGTATCTCTCATGGAACCAAACATCCATTGCCTCCATGTATGCATTTGTTCTCTCGTTGATTCAAGTATTGATGGATGCCTCCCCTAAGCTAGGCAGAAGATAGAGTGCTTCAGAGACTCTTATTCCAGTTTTCAGCCGTTAGATGTCCAGCTTCATGACTCACGTCTGCCCTCAATGGTGTTTGATACCGAGGCGGCTAAATTTTCTTCCTGAACTTATTGTGACTCCTTTAGGGTTGTTTGGGAGCAGGGTATGGGCCGTTCTGTTCTGCCCTGATCATGAGGCCTGGCTCTCAGTTTCTTTGGATTCCTTGTCCCAAAGCCACAGGGGACCTGAAGGAACTCCGAAGACCCCTGAGCATTCAGGAGACTCTCAGAAAGGCCTCGTGGGCACTCCTCCCAAAGGACGGCAGAATGGCCTTGACAGCTCAGCTCTGTCCCCAGCCTTAGCGGGTCTGTCAATCTCTTGTCCACGTCATTCTCTTCTTGCTCTTATGACAAGGAAACAGGGAGTCCTAACATGGACCACCACCAACTGTGTGTCTTTTGGCAAGACACTTCATCTCCAGGTCTCACGTTCCCCATCTATAAAACGAAGGATCTAGACTAGAGGTTCTGTTTTCCCTGGGAGTGCTCAGGGTCACTGGGTTGTCTGTATTTATATGTGATTGTACCAAGGGACTCGGCCTCATGTAGCATGTGCAGGGGTCTGATTCATGCCATAGTGATCCAACAGAGAGCTCCCCCCTCCCCCCTCCCTCTAACTGACTTGTTCTGCATGTGTAGTCCCCTTTTCTCTTCACACCGACCTGTTCGCCCTTGTCCTACCCAAAGCTCTGTTCCATGTAAGTTGCCAACAGTTTCACTGAGTAGTGAGGTATGTGATAGTTTTGGCATGACGTCTTCAGTGTGAAGGGGACAACAGTGTGACTTCCCTTTGAGGGACGATGTGTGTAGCCGTTGGAAGATAAAAATAGTGGTGTGATTACTGAACCAAAGGAATTTGTGTTTTGTAACTTGGGTACTTTATTTTGCATTTTGTTAAAGTATTAAATAATTTTTTTTTTTCCTGGATGGGGTCTTAGCGTCTCTTTTTACACCAACAGTCAGGCTTTTCCATCAGGTAATTGTTTTAGCCTCCTCCCTGTTTTCTCCTTCCTTCCTGTTGTATTTCATATCTTCCTTCAGCTGACTCTTGTGGGGAATAAGGAGCAACAGTCTCTTAGCGCCCCTCATCCTCAGCCTTTCATTTGTTTCTTCTAGAACCATCCTTATAATTCTGTGTCGCTGATTTTGCTTATGCTGTAAAAGGTGTAGGACCAAGATAGTCCTAAAACCAAAATGGTTTTTACCATTGCCTTAAAAAAAAAAAAAAAAAAAAAAAAAAGCAGCTACCAGATTATAAGGACTCTGGAAAGAAGAACAAATTGTCTTCCTAGAGCCCTTCATGACTGGCCATTTTTTAAAAATGTACTCTCTGCCCTGGCTGGTGTGGCTCAGTTGGTTGGAGCGTTCTATACACCAAAAGGTGGTGGGTTCGATTCCCAGTCAGGGCACATACCTAGTTACAGGTTCAGTCTACAGTTGGGGCGCATACTGAAGGCAACCAATCGATACCTCTCTCTTTCTCTCCCTCTAAAAACATCAATTAAAAAAAGAAAAGAAGAAAAGAAAATATACTCTCCTCCCCAAAGCCCGCCCCCACATAGGCATGGTTGTTCTTTTGGGCAAACCTGCTCATTGAGGAGGGAGGTGGCAAAACCTGTTTGAGAGTGAGGTTCCTCCCTTCCACACCTTCCTCCTCAGAGGCAAGACAACAAGAGCTGAGGCAGAGAAAGGGTAGAGAATTGGAGAGCTGGAGCAACCAATTCCCTGAAGACCCAAGTGTTTACCAAAGGGGTCAGATTGGTGAAGATGGGAACTCTCCAAGAGGCAGGAGAAAAGACATTGGCTCTTGGGTAAGTAACACCTCAGCTAACTTGGCTGGAAACAGAAAGTGAATATTCTTGGGACTTGCCCCACCATCCAGCTGTAGGAATTAATCTACAGAGAAGTGGCTTTGGGTAGGAAATGTTGGGATGGTATGGGAACTGGTGAACAAGGAGGAGTCGAGGATAATTCCCTATTGTGTGTTTTTGTAAAGGAAGTGTATATTTTGTGTCTGATAAATATGCCCCTATTCTCTGTGTGTTTTTCTTAAGAAGAGAAAGCTTATTTTTTTATGTTTTATTGATTTTTTACAGAGAGGAAGGGAGAGGGATAGAGAGCTAGAAACATTGATGAGAGAGAAACATCAACCAGCTGCCTTTTGCACACCCCCCACCGGGGATGTGCCCATAACCAAGGCACATGTCCTCGTCCGGAATCGAAACTGGGACCCTTCAGTCCACAGGCCGACGCTCTATCCACTGAGCCAAACCGGTGTCAGCTAATCTGTTTTCTAACCCCTATATTCCAGAATGGCTATCAGGAAAGCTGACCCAGAACTAAGTTTGGGTCCAGGTTCTCCCCAGCAGATCTCTTCCTCCTTACCTTCTTCCCCCACCCCTCCACCTAGACCATGGTTTTCCCAGCATGGTGGAGAGAAGGCAGGCCTGCCTAGGTGCCATCTTCCTGGACTTTGCCAAGTGATAGCTGGGCAGGTCTGTCGGCTTCCAGCCAGTTGTCACGTGGAATACCTCTCACCCCTACTGTGTAGGTGGAGCAGCTGCCACAGAGGTAAACACAATGAGCTTGACATCTACCCTTCCTCTGCGCCTAACCCCAGCAGTAGGGGTGATCTGGTTCCAGCGAGAGGTGAAGATGATAGAAACACCTACGAGACAAGTTCTTTTCAAGGCCTGTTCTCTGCACCTTAATTACTATGCTTCATTCCAGTGTCTCCTACCTATAATCCACCTTCCTCAGGACATTACCTAGTTTGTCTCATGATAATCTTTTATTCCGGGGGATGCGGGACTATCTTAGGGTCAGGGAGAATGCAGAAGCAGCAGGACTAGGAGCATCCGTGAGACTTGGAGAATTGGAGCTGAAGGAGGAATGGCAGGATGAAGAATTCCCTAGGTGAGGAGGTGAGAGGGAGGTTGGAAGACGGAAGTGATGGTCACAAATGGAGGGCAAGGATGGAAAATTAAATCTTGAAGGGATGGTGGGGGGAGAAGGAAAGCAGAGATGTAAAATCATGGCAGGAAGAGAGAACTGATACCTGGCTTGGTGCCTTTAGCCTATGTTTCTTCCCCCTTTTAATCTTTATTTCCCTCCAGATTGCTTTCTGAAGAGTCTGATTCTTTTGAAGATCTTGATCCTAACAGAGACTCACAGGCAGGTAGGTAAATGAGAACCTAGGCCTCAAGTTCTTGATTCTAATCCAGTGGAGGGTTATGCTGCCCTCATCCCTTTTCCGTTCTATTTCCCTTTTCCCAAATGCCCTGTGTTAGTCCTTTAGAATTCACCCCATATTATCACTTCCACTTGCAAGGAATCCTAACCAGCACACACGCATCTCCCCCTCCCCCTACCCAGGTACCCCCAGCACTTTAGCCCTGTGTGGCCAGCGCCCCATGCGTAAGCGTCTTTCTGCCCCGGAGTTACGACTGAATCTGACGAAGGGGCCTGGAGATAACGGTGCTTCTCCCATCCACTCTGTACCCACCTCTCCTGACGACAGTACTGACCTGGAAATAGATGAATTGGAGACACCTTCAGACTCTGAGAAGCTGGACAGCGGACATGAATTTGAATGGGAAGGTGAGAAAGAAACCTGAGGAACTAGCAGGTAGAAGCAGAGGCCGGTGTTAAAGCTCAGGATGGATTTAATGGGGTTGAAGGTAGAACTAATGAGGTGGGGACTGAGAGGTAAGGTCAGCAACTTGAGGATGGAAAGGTAGAACCTAGAAACCCAGTGGGAGAGGAGTCCAATGAGGAGAGGTGGGGTCCTTTGTGTATCATGAAAAACTATTGGATGACTGTCGCAGGCCATCACTGAGTTAAAATTGGAGTGATCAAGATGAATAAGATCCCTATCCTCAGAGAATTACCTGTTTGGTAAGAAATAAGCGTACCGTATGTACAAATAAGTGCAGTTAAAGGTTACGATCTGCATGTGTTCAGGGTACAATGTACGCGGAAAGAACTTCACTTCTGCCCAAGACCTCACAGAGGAGGTGACTCTGAGCAGTGGTTTAGCATGTAATTGGAGAAGCTACTAGGGCTATAGCATGACATGTTGGGAACTCAAAGGATTAAGCGTGACTGTTTAGATATTAAGGAAAACTGTTTCTTTACTCATAACACTTCTGACACCAGACGTGAGAGTTTTCCCCACATCAACCAATTCTTCAATTCTTCAACTCTCCACACACGAACAGGTATCCAGGATTCCGTTATGACACTAACTTCCCAGAGTTAGTACAGACCCCAGAGCTTAAGGGCTCAGTCCCACAAGACTGTCCCCTGCCCCCCACTTCAGACACTAGTGGCGTGTCCAGGTTGTCTCCTGTGCTCCCGACCAACTGGCTACACAAGGCCCCCTTCTCAGGTTTGATAGTTTGCTGGAATGGCTCCCTAGAACTCAGGAAAACAATTTACTTGCTAGATTACAGATTTGTTATCAGAGGAACCGCCAGGAGGAAGAGATGCGTAGGACGAGGAGTGGGCAGGGGTGTGGAGCTTCCATGCCCTCTCCAGGCACACCACCCTCCTAGCACCTCCAGGCGTTAACTAACCCAGAAGCTCTTCATGCCCCTTCTTTTTTTTTTTTTTCTTTTTTTTTTTTTTTAATATATTTTATTTATTTATTTTTTTTTACAGAGAGGAAGGAAGAGGGATAGAGAGCTAGAAACATCGATGAGAGAGAATCATCGACCAGCTGCCTCTTGCACACCCCCTACTGGGGATGTGCCCGCAACCACGGTACATGCCCTTGACCGGAATCGAAGCTGGGACCTTTCAGTCCGCAGGCCGACGCTCTATCCATTGAGCTAAACCGGTTTTGGCATGCCCCTTCTTTTTTTTGGCATTTTTAAAAATATATTTTATTGATTTTTTATAGAGAGGAAGGGAGAGGGATAGAGTCAGAAACATCTATCAGCTGCCTCCTGCACACCTCGTACTGGGGTTGTGCCCCCAACCAAGGTACATGCCCTTGACCGGAATTGAACCTGGGACCACTCAGTCCACAGGCCAACGCTCCATCCACTGAGCCCTTCATGCCCCTTCTGAGAGGCTTCCTATGGAGGCTTCGTTATGTGGACATGATTGATTAATTCACTGACCATTTGTGATTAACACAACCTCTCGCTCCTCTCTCCCCTCCCCAGAGTTCCAACCCTCTAATCACATGGATGGTTCCACAGGCAACCAGCTACTGATCCTTAGGGGCTTTCCAAAGTCACCTCGTTAATATAATTCAATCCTGTGTGTTTGAAAGGGGCTTGTTATGAATAACAAAACACCTTTTCACTTTTTTCATCAGGAGCTGTCCCCAGAGTCAGGAACAAAATAACAACAACAAAATATAATATCACTCAAATATGAGTGGCTGAGAGGTGAAGAGAGAATGACAAAAAATAGTGCTATGTGAAATAAGCAAGGTCAACTCATGGAGATCCTTGCTACCATGCTAAGGAGTTTATATTTTATCTGATAAGCAATGAGGGGGGTCATTGAATGCTTTTTAAAAAAAATATTTATTGATTTCAGAGAGGAAGGGAAAGAGATTGAGAAACAGAAACATCAATGAGAGAGAATTATTGGTTGGCTTCCTGCTGCATGCACCCTATTGGGGGGACCTAGTCCTCAACGTGGGTACAAGCCCTTGACCAGAATCGAACCTGGGTCCCTTCAGTCCACAGGCTGATGCTCTATCCACCGAGCCAAAGCGGTCAGGGCCATTGAATGCTTTTAATCAAGGGAATGACATGATTAGATTTAATTACCCTGAAAAGATTGGAAATAACCTAAGGCCTGCCCCAGTAGGATATTAATGCTAGTATGGTGCATCCATACAATGGAATACTAAGTACTAGGCAATTATTATTATTTTTAAATATATTTTATTGACTTTTTACAGAGAGGAAGAGGGAGGGATAGAAAGTTAGAAACATCGATGAGAGAGAATATCGATCAGCTGCCTTCTGCACACCCCCTACTGGGGATGTGCCCGCAACCAAGGTACATGCCCTTGACTGGTATTGAACCCGGGACCCTTCAGTCCACAGGCGGACACTCTATCCAGTGAGCCAAATCGGTTTCGGCTAGGCAATTATTTTTTAAGATGAGGCAACTATTTCTATTGTCAAGGAAAGATTTTGCAGAATTAGTGGGTATAGTATATTGCCATTTCAGTAAAGAAGGTAGGGGAGAACAAAGCTTGCTTTAGTGGTGGTGTAGAGGGTGGAATGGAGGAAAACAGACTAACAGCAGGGAGGCCACTTAGGAGGCTTGTACTAAAGCCAGCTAAAAAATGTAAAGAACCTGAACCAGAACAGCAGCAGTGGAAAGAATGTAATGGAGGTAGAGGAAAGAGGATCTGGAGTCCAAATGGCTTGAGGGCTGATTGAAAAGAAAGAGTCGTGGATGATGTACAATTTCCTCTCTCAGGAAGCTAGAGAGATGGGGTCATTCGCCAAGAAAGGAAATATGGGAGAGAAGGAAGAGCATGCCATTGAGTTGCACTTTGTGTCTGGTGATAGCAGATGATAGAGACAGACAAAGTGGAGACATCCGGTCTAGGCATGTAGGGACGTAGGTATGGAGTGAAGCGAGAAGCCTGGGTTAAAGAGGCCAATTTGGAAATCATGACCTTATTGGTAGTAACTGAAGACATGGGACTAGGTGAGCTCATCCAAGGAGAAGTGTGGAAAGAAAGAAAGAAAAAATCTAGAAAGAAACATACTGTCAAGGGCCATTGACCTGGCAGAGTGCAAGGCTGCCTCAAGACCACCGTGAGGAGAATGAGTCGCAGGAAATTGAAACCAGCAAGGGTCTGGGTGTATTGAACAAATGAGGGCTAGAGTCACGGGGGAAATTGAAGGAATGAGAAATCGGAGTAATAAACTCTAGGAATCTGGGGAAAGTACAAGATTCTGAAGGTGTGTATTTTGCCCTGTTGATCCTTCCCCATCCCTCTCTTGTAGATGAGCTACCCAAGACAGAGGGCCTGGGCGCCAGCGAGGCAGCTGAAAGGCTGGGCCAGGGTTGTATGTGGGACGTGGCTGGAGAAAACGGCCATCGCTGGAGGGTTTTCCGGACAGGGCAGAGGGAGCAGCGAGTGGACATGACTGCCATTGAGCCCTATAAGAAAGTCCTGTCTCATGGAGGTAATGGCTAGCGTTAAGTGGAGGGGTGAGAACGGTGACTTCTGGAATAAAATGCCTAAACTGGACCCTTGTTATTGGGTTCTCCGTCCTCAGAGTCCCTCAACCTAACCATGTCTGTCAATTTTCAATTTTCCCATATCCTCCCCAGGTTACCATGGCGAGGGCCTCAATGCTGTCATCCTCTTTGCTTCCTGTTACCTACCCAGAAGCAGCATTCCCAACTATACCTATATCATGGAACACTTATTCAGGTGGGATGGAAGGCCTGAAGGGCGCCAGGGTGGAGGATAGGGAGGGAAAAGTAAGAAAGAAACCCCTTCTTGATCAGTAGCTGACTGTAGAGTCTACAGTAAAGTCCCTCTTATTTCCCACAACCCAAAACATACACCTTTCCTGACACTGGTGTCCCTCCAGGTATATGGTGGGAACTCTGGAGCTGCTGGTCGCTGAAAATTACCTGCTTGTTCATTTGAATGGAGGCACAAGCAGAGCTCAGGTTCCACCTCTGAGCTGGATACGCCAGTGCTACCGGACTCTGGATCGGCGGTGAGCCTCAGGACACGGGGCTCTGAGCCTCTCTTACCTTCTTTTGTTCTGTTAATCCTCACTCTTCCCCGTCTTTCCATTCTTTCTACTTCCATTTAGGTCTCCCTCTTTTTTGTCCCTCTACACCCTTTTCCAAGCCTGTCTGTCTTCTGTTCTCTCTTGGGATCAGAAATGAAGTTTTATTTTATTTTATTTTATTTTATTTTATTTATTTATTATTTATTTTTAATATATTTTGTTGATTTTTTTACAGAGAGGAAGAGAGAGGGTTAGAGAGTTAGAAACATCAATGAGAGAGAATCATCAATCAGCTGCCTCTTGCACACACCTTACTGGGGGTGTGCCCGCAACCAAGGTACATGCCCTTGACCGGAATCGAACCTGGGACCTTTCAGTCCACAGGCGGACGCTCTAACCACTGAGCCAAACTGGTTTCCTCAGAAATTAACTTTTAAATTTTGCCTTTGCCAATCAGCTATGTGATTTTGGATTTGTGTGTGCGGGGGTGGCAGTGCAGGGGGATTATTTGTTTTTTTGTTGTTGTTGTTTTGTTTTTTTGGGGGGGGATTATTTGTTTTTATCAGCTCTATGGCTTTGAACAAGTCACTTCACCTTTCTGGGACTCAGTTTCTTTATTTGCAACGTGACAAAATACCTTTGCTGCTGGATATTTGTGAAAATCAAGTAAATCAGAGTGGCATATTGCCTGGCATTTAGGCACCCTTCCATTTATTTCACTTTCCAATCCATTATCTTCTTCTGCCATCCTCCCTGTCAGATCTTTCCCCTCCTTTGTTTCTCTCTTTTCCCGCATCTTCCATTGGCTCATCTGTCTCTTTCTTCTTCCCTCCTCTTTATTTTCTCCGCACTGGCCTCTTCCACCGGGAGTTTCATAAATAGGCCTGGTCATGGATGGATGGGGAAGGGTACCACAGTGACTTAGATGAGGATAGGACACGGGAAGGAAATGGGGTATCAAAGATCGAGCTGAGGGATTCTGAGAGGAGAATTTCCTAAGAATGAAGAGCATGGAGGTTGAATGAGACGGCTGGCACTGAGATTGTAATGAAAAGAATGGGGGTTAGACCCAGTTACCAGAAAAATCTAGAAATTAGAGAAGGGAAGGAAGTTAAAGAATATAGCTTCAGCCGAAACCAGTTTGGCTCAGTGACTAGAACGTCTCGGTCTGTGGACTGAAAGGTCCCAGGTTCGATTCCGGTCAAGGCATGTACATATATGTTTATAAAGAACATAGCTCCACCTGATCTTCAGGTATAAAGATGGAAGAAGAATTAGGGTGATCTCCTATTCTTCTTCAGGCTAAGGAAAAACCTGCGTGCCCTGGTGGTTGTCCACGCTACGTGGTATATGAAGGCATTCCTGGCCCTGCTCCGGCCCTTCATCAGGTATGAGCTCTGGAGACAAGGGCCCCTTACCTTCCCCTTCTTCCTATTATTTTAAATGAGTTTATTTGAGCCAAATTGATAACATAAGCCTTAGAACAAGATCTCAGATGCTCCCCACTTCTTCCCATTTTCAAAATCAAGAACTTGCCCCATCCTGATTCTTTTAGTCTTTTAACCACCCTCTACCTGTTCCATTTCCCATTTGTAAGCGTCTCCAGGAACCCTCTTCCCAGTGTACAACACAAATGGTTTATTCCCTCTTTTCAGTTCCAAGTTCACAAGAAAAATTCGTTTTCTGAACAGCCTGGGAGAACTGGGCCAACTCATCTCCTTGGATCAGGTCCACATCCCGGAAGCTGTCAGACGGTGAGTTCTGAGCTTAAGGATAGTGGTTTGGGGTGAGATGTGTAAAGCCAGTATCCATTTTCTTTTTCTTTTTTTCCTTTTTAAAAAATACATATTGTTATTGATGTCAGAGAGGAAGGGAGAGATAGAAACATCAATGATGAGAGAGAATCATTCATCTGCTGCCTCCTGCATGCCCCTACCTGGGGATCGAGCTCACAACCCAGGCATGTGCCCTTGACCGGAATGGAACCTGGGACCCTTCAATCCACAGTCTGATGTTCTATCCACTGAGCCAAACCAGCTAGGGCCAGTATCCATTTTCTTAATGCCTTGGGAGAAACACAAAGGAACTAAAAACCCAAGGTCCTGTTTTCAGATGTTTCGAAGTATCTGGGAAAGAGTGCACATATGCAGAGAAAAAATTAAGGACACTACTGTACCCAACAAAATCAAATAAAAAGCTGTACATATAAGTGCCGAGGCAACAAGGAATAAAGGAATAATCACAGAATTTAGAGGAGATTCAGAAGTCAGAAAGGGATGTTTGTTGGCAGTACATTGGAGAGACTATCCAGTTGGGGAGGGGTGCTAGGGAGCAAAGGAATCCTAACTAATGACCAACTCAAGCATCACCAGTCTTCACCTGGCTTTTCTCCCCAAACCAGTGAGTAAAACACAGGTCCTGCCCTGGCCTGGTTACTTAGTTGTTTGGCGCATCATTCTGTACACCAAAAGGTTGTGGATTTGTTCCTGGCCAGGGCACATACCTAGGTTGCAGGGTGTATGCGGTTGGCAGTTGATTGATGTTTCTCTCTCTCTCTCCCTCCCACTCTCTCTAAAAAATCAATTATCCTATATAATAAAAAGCTAATATGATAACTAGACCAGATGGTGGAATGACCTTCTAGAACGACCAATTGGTGGTGTGGGGTGGGGAGCTGCAAGGCCACTGAGGCAGCCGGCGCCACGAGGGTTAAGCCCCTTGCACGAATTTTGTGCATTGAGCCTCTAGTGTGTGTGTGTCACACACAGGTCCTGTTCCTGTACTACTTATTCTTCTCTCTCCTAGGTTGGACCAGGATCTCCATGACTCAGGAAGGACCTAGCGTGGACTGGACTAAAGGGCCTTAGAACCAAGCAAAGATAACCGTCTGCCTACACCTTTACCCCTGAACTATCTAAGCTGTTTTGTAAATCATCTCCTGTCAACCCCAGGATCACTGCATCTTGACATCTCAGCGCGCCGTTCCTCCCCAGACCTTGCCTTCGAAGCTGAGCTTTGAGGTCTGGAACCTCATCTTGCTGGTGGCTTGCGTTTCAGCCAGCAGTTGGTATTTTGTATGGGCGAGTGCAAAGCTGCGGGTCCTTGTCCTGCTTTAGCCATAGAACCTGGGGCAGTCACTTCCTCTCCATGAGTCATTTGCATCCTCCTCAAGGAAGGGGCTGAGATCTCTCTCTCCCCGCCTGGGGCATTCCCACAGTCCCCCTGCCGATGGGGGGCCATGGGAAGAGCAGGGCTTCCCTGAGCACAGCCAGCCTGCCTGTGGGAGCCAGGACGGAGTCCACGGCTCCCCTTCCCCCCGCCCACCCCCAAAAGCTTGGAGAACCGCTATGGGCCCCTCATTCCTTCTTAGCCATGTCTGCTGCCTGGGAGCCTGGGAAGGAGAGCTTTCCAAACCTTTCTTGAGTCAATTCCGATGTGTAGTGGTTAATAAATTGCGAGAGATTGGAGGTGTGTGCCAACCAGGTGACCTGCTCTTTCCTCGGCCCCTGACATCACAATCAGAGTTCTTGCTGTGGGGGTTCCCTAGGATTTCCAGCTCAGCCCCTGGGGCTTTGGGGGGGGAGGGGCGTGGCCCGCGCATCGGATCTAGATTCTAACGACCTGGCGGGTCGGTGAGAGCGGAAGGGAAGGGAGGGAGCGAGAGTAGGAGGAGCCCGGCCCGGCCTCGGTCCCTGGCCTCCCTCCCAGCCCCACACCCACCGTCCAGCCCCATGGTCCCCGCCGCCGCCGGCGCGCTGCTCTGGGCCCTGCTGCTGCTGAGCCTGGGGACCGAGGCGGTGGTGGCGGGGGCCCAAGGCCCGACTGCAGCCGGGAGACAGCCGGCCCGGCTCCGCTCCCGGGGCCCGCCGACCCGCAACTACCGGCCCTCGCCCCGCGCCGGCGGCGGCCCCCCGAAGCGAAGGGTGATAATGGAGGATGAGGACGACGAGTCGGCCACCGCCGACCGCCTGGCAGGCCCCGCCGTGGACGAGCTCTTGGCCTCCACGGTGTCCACGGACATGAACAGGTTGCGGTCCTGGGAGCAAGATCAGGACGGGTCCCTGGAGGAGGGGGTCGTGATCAACGCCCAGAAGAACAACAGCGAGGCGAGGCTTGAGGGCAGGCCTTCCACGACCACGAGGAGGTTCAGCTCGAGGTTTGCAGCGAACATCCAGGAGCCGGAGTACAGGCTGACCACCAGCCTGCCGCCCGAAGACTGGAACACGGAGCACCGGGCGCTGTACGACACCAGCCTGGCCGGCTGGTCCACCGCGGGGTCCACCCCCAGGCGCTGGTCCCGCGTCCCACTCACCTCCGCGCCCCCTCCCGAGGAGCTGCGGCTGGTGCTGATGCCCTGGGGCCCGTGGCACTGCCACTGCCAGTCGGGCACCATGAGCAGGACCCGGGCAGGGAGGCTGCAGGGCCTTTCTGGGCGCCTTCGAGTCGGGGCCCTGAGCCAGCTCCGCACAGAGCACCGGCCTTGCACCTACCGTCAGTGCCGCTGCGATCGGCGCCTGGAGGAGTGCCCCCTGGACTCCGCCCTCTGGCCTGAGACTCAGACCACCACCACCACTACCCCCACCACCACCACCACCACCACCCCCGCCCCCGCCCCCACCCTCACCGCCACCACCACCACCACCACCTCCTCTAGGCCCATGTTCAGCCATAGCACCAGATACAGCTTCAGCCCCGGCCCCAGCCCCAGCCCAGCGCTTCTGTTTTGGAGGCATGTCAGGGCGGGGCTGGAGGATATTTGGAACAGCCTCTCTTCAGTGTTCATAAGGATGCAACCAGTAAGTGTCTGGTGTTGGAGCCAGGATCTTGGTGGATAGCTCTGCAAAGTCCTGAACCAGCCCGTGTGGTGTGCTTGCATGAACTGTTCCTTACCTGTCTGCTTACTGGTTCCTCATATGCATTGGTTTATTCACGTTATTGTTGGCCATGAATTCCACCTGCTACATCTTTTTTCTTTCTTAAAAATATTTTTATTGATTTCTTACGGAGAGGAAGAGAGAGAGAGATAAAGAGAAACATCGATGAGAATCATCAGCTGCCTCTTGCACACCCCCCTGCAACCAAGGTACACGCCCTTGAGCAGAATCCAACCTGGGACCTTTCAGTCCGCAGGCTGATGCTCTATCCACTGAGCCAAACCGGTTTAGGCCCACCTGTTGCCTAACTGGTTGATCATTAGGCAATATGTATTATTGGTCACTAGATGATAATTGACCAAATTGTTATGATGGTAGATTGTGAAGAATTCTTGATGCAGGTAATTAATGGACAGGGAAGATAATTTTCAGCTTATTTATGCAAGTTTAACAGTAACAACAAGCCAACATTTGAGGTCTTGCTAGATGCACTTTACCTGGGTCAATCCTATGAGGTATTATTATCCCCACTTTACAATGGGAGAAATGACGGTTTATTAAGCTAGTAAGTGGCAGTTATAGAATTTTTTAAAAATATATATTTTAATGATTTTTTACAAAGAGGAAAGGAGAAGGATAGAAACATTGATGAGAAACATTGATTCAGCTTCTCTTGCACACTCCCTGCTGGGGATGTGCCTGCAACCAAGGCACATGCCCTGACCTTAATCGAACCTGGGACTCTTCAGTCCGCAGGCTGATGCTCTATCCACTGAGCCAAACCGGTTAGGGCCATGGTTGTCAAACTGCGGCTCTCGAGCCACATGCAGCTCTTTGGCCTCTTGACTCTTCCACAAAATACCACGGCCTGGGCAAGTCTATTTTGTAGTGGCGTTAGAAGATTAAAAACATTTCGCTCTCAAAAGAAATTTCAATCGTCGTACTGTGGATATTTGGCTCTGTTGACTAATGAGTTTGCCGACCACTGGGTTAGGGCAACAATAGAATTTAAACCAGGTTTGACACTAGTGTCAATGCACTTAACCATCGCTATCCCCAAGAATTGTTCTGGTATTATTCTCAGCAACTAAAGAATTCTCAAGGAAGGACAGTCCTTTGCTTTACCAAAAGAACTACCAAAGGCTCTGATTGACCTGCTAAAATATTTTCAATGGATAGAATGATAGGACCTTTGGGGAAAGAGGAAGGACAATAAAATGTACGCATGGTCATTTTAATGGGTTTTGTTTCTCCTGTATCCAAAGCCATCATTCAATATAAAAAGGCATCAATAGGGGGCAGTAGTGTCGAGGGAATGAGGGTTTGTGGGCAGAGGGAGAAGCAAGAAAAAAACGAAATAGGTGTCATTATAATATTCCCCCTTTTCTCTGTTTTGTTTCCTTACCCAGATAGACAGAAACCGGAGGCTAATGGCCACTTGATCTGCAAGAAGAGGTGTCAGCATCTCAACCTCTCCTCCCCTTCCAATCCCAGCACCCACTGGGTATTTTTAGTACAAAAACAAAAAAACTAGAAGAAAAAAAACAACCATTGTTTGATGTTGTGTCTTTTTACAGAGGTATGAGGGAGGAGAGACCAAAAATTTTGTGAAACTGAACTGGGTAGCTACCAGCATCTGGCTTGGGCTTCTCCTGTCCCCAGGATAAAATGTTTGTTGTTCATCTTCCTTATTTCCAATGTTGTTGTTTTTTTAAACAAGTACTTCTTTTTAAAAAAAATCTCAGGTGAATGCCAAGCAGGAGTTGAGCCCTTCGATCATTGGTGGTCTTGCCTTCACAATACTTTGCCTTCTTTTCCCCTCAAAAAGGACAAATGGTACAAAATCCCACATTAGCCACTCTCTAGGAGTTACCCTTCATCAGCCATGTCTATTGTTTAATCCAGTATACACTTGGAGTGATTACTCTGTGACTATTTTGCTTAAACTTTTTATTTGAAAAGTATATTTAGAGTCCAACACATTCTCAATATAAATTATGACTCTCAAACCCATTCCCATCACTCTAAATATTGTTAAAGTGATGGTAGCACACACATCAGAGAAGGTAGCTGAGAGAGAGAGAACCAAAGAAAAGATTGTGTCCAAAGAACTGGCATAAAAATAAGGCTAAAGATCAGGGAGACCAATCCCAGGAGCCCCCCTCTTTCTACCCTCTCCTGTCAACCCTTTCGATCTAGTAAAACCCTCATGCTTCGCTGGGCAACAAGATGAACTACTTTCAGAGCGACTCGCTTGACTGGAACAGAGTACATTTGGAATGTTATCTCTACCAGCAATCTTTGACCTTGGAAAGCTTTAAGAAATACACTGAAATGAAAAAATTAGAGCCTCGGTCACTTTAGGTGGGGGCACACTTCAAGATGGTGAAACCAGCAGAGTGGATCCTCACTCCCATATTCCTGATCCCCCACTACCACTGCCACCATGCTTCCTGTTACTGAGCTGAGAGACCCCTGCGTTCTGGACACAGAGCAGGCAGGAGCTGCTCTGTCCTGTTCTGCCTTCCTAGTCTCCCTGCAAAAAAGGGGGCAGAACAAAGCACACCTGAGAAAACGGAAAGTGCCTGAAGACCCTGCTCCTCCGTTCCTTTCCCACCTAACGCAGACTCTTCGGCCAGGTGGAGAGTTCTTCAGACAAAGCTCCCTGAGTCTTATTTGTGCCTGGTTCCAGGGCTAGGGCACAGAAACAGAGCTTCAAGTTCGGGGAGAACAGTGCTGGGGTGTCTGGCTCTGCTGCTTTTCTCTCCCTCCCCCCACCCCCCACTGCAGGAGCCCCCCCTCCACTGAGCAAGAAGGGAGAAGCACGTCCCATCACAAGCAACACAATGAATAAAAAATTGGAGATTACTAAGCCTACTTTACAGGGGGTCTAGCTCATCAAGGCTCAGGCTTAGGATGAATGATGGGATGGGGGAGTGGCAGGGATAAAAATCACGAGAAAAATATGTGGATTCTAGACCACTGGCTCTCAGTTGGGGTGCTTTTGCCCCCTGGGAGGCACTTGGCAATGTCTGGAGATAGTTCTGGTTGTGATAACTAGGGTGGGCCAGGGACACTGCTATACATCCTATAATGCACAGGACAGTCCCCCAGGACTAAGAATTATCCGGCCCAAAATGTCAAGTGTCCAGAGAGACCTTGCTGTCTCCCTGCTCCCAGGCTGTGAGGATTGCAAGATTCCTAAACTCCCAGATGATCGTTTTCACCCAATTTAACTCCCCACCTTCCCTCCTCCATGGTCAGGAAGGAAGTCCACTTGAGACAGAACTCCGGATTTCTCTCCAGCTCCCCCTTCCTCCTCTACCTGGGCCAGCAGGGAGGTGGGCAGAGGGCAGGCCAGGTCCCCAAGACCTAACTGGAATGCCATCAGGTTAAGACCCATCTCTTAAGTCTTATTCAATGGGAAACAATAAGGTTCCTAACAGGAATGAGGGTAAGGGCGGAGGCAGTAGCAGGGTGGGGGTAATTAAGAGAATGCATCTTAAATTTACTTTTTAATTAATTTTTAAAAAGGAAAGATACTGGGGGGGCTAGCAATGCTACAGAAACAGGGTTAGAGCCTACCTAGAGAAAGACGCTGGTGTTGGCAGAGAGACACTGAAGAGCCGTGAGCTTAAGGTCTGAGATTTAAAGAGAGTAGACTAGGCAGTGGTCACCCTCCCAGGCCCTGCTTGAGGTTTGCTTCAGTTCATTCCAGAAGGAAGGAGAAGGGCAGAGAGGTAGGGAGCTTCTCAGCAAAGCCAGCTTCAGCTTGGTAACCTCACCCACCTGCCATTTAAGGGCAACAAGGTTAATAGTTTAAAAACAGGTGGCACCCAGACTGTCATTCAGGAGAAGGGAACTCATTCCTGGTTTCCAGAAACTCCTATTTCAGATCTGAGAGTGTCCAGGGCTTCAGCTGAGCTCCTCTGGCCAACCAGTAGTTACGTGGTCAGTCCTGCTGCCTTGACCCCGTCTCCAGGAGGGGCTACAGCCAGAGGAAGCAGAGGGAGTCCAGCCCCCAAGCCTTTTGAGGCACTATTAGGCAGATAAGGAAGAAGGGGCCTTGAGGGCGCTGGTTCTCGGAGGATCTGGTGGAGGCAGCATCTCTTCTGGGCTGGGCACAGAGTGGAGACTTCAGACAGCAAAAACTGATTTGAAAAAAAAAAGAAAAAGAAAAAGATTAGCCTCAACGAAAACAAGGTCTCAGGGAGAAAGGCACCACCTGGTGCAGACCATTTCCACCGGGCGCTCATTTCTCGATTCCTGTCCGCACAACCCCTTTCTCTCAGCTTTTCCGGATCCCACGTGACTAACTCTCCCGGCCTAATTCTTCCTCCCCTGGCTTCCCTTCCCTGCAGAAGATCGGGGTTCAAGGCAGAGCCTCGGCAGGTGTTGGAGGTGTTCTCTAGCGACTCACCATTCCCGTGGGGGCTACAAGCCCCTAGAACTGCTCCATGGCCTGTCTCGGTTTCCCTTGGACCTCATCTGCTCCTGAACAGCACCTGTCTGTGAAAGGGCACACGTGATACCCTCCTGAGTCTTCGCGTCGACATCACAGGAAGAAATCACCCCCCGTGCCCTTCATGGACGAGGTTGACCCCAACTTCCTGAAGATTAAAATCACCTGGAAAGGTAAAAATTAATCTCCATTCTTCCAAGGGAGGTTCCCATGCCTCCCTTCACCCTGACCTTTGTGAGGATGAGATATAAATTAGTCTTTTACACCTTGGCTGCTGTGGCTCAGTTGGCTGGAGCATGGTTCCATACACCGAAAGGTCACGGGTTCGATTCCCAGTCAGAGCACATACCCACGTTGTGGTTTGATTTCCCCCATTGGGACATGTGCAGGAGGCAACCAATCGATATTTCACTCTCACACCAATGTTCCTCTCCCTTCCTCTCTCTCTAAAATTAATAAAAACATGTCCTTGGGTGAGGACTAAAAAAAAATAAATTATTCTTTGGCTAAAAAGATCCCCCCACAAAGAACCCTATCATAGTTATCTAAGCTTTGCAATTGGTGAAAAGATTCCTTCACTAACTCCATCCCCATTTCTCTTATTTTGAGAGCAAAATACATGTTAGATGTTATTTGGCCTTTTTCCTGCCCCATCACTCCCACCCACAATGTGACTTACTATAGCGCTGAGACAACAGATCTCATTGAACAGAAGGAAGGAATACATCCAAGTAACTTGGAAAAAGACATCCAAGTAACTCTTAAAGACATATACATCTCCCACCCCAATTAACAACCATCTGTCAACGATCAAGGCCAGAGACCTGAAATGCCAAGGTCCCAGGCTTATGCAACTGGTGGCCAGATCTGGAACCCTCGCTTCTTACTTCCCCATCAAGGATTCAGTTATGACCCCTGCTCGAACTTTCAAAGAGGAACGGTTCCAGGCCACAACCCCATCGCAAACATCCCCTGATTACCATGGCAAGTCCATCTCCGGCCCCCATCTCCCCGGAGCCGATGTGCGTCAGGTGGACAAAATTCATCGGTTCCCCAATCATGGTCCGGTCGATCCGTCTCCTCTTCTTCTTCTGCTTGGAGAAAAGAGGGGAGTTATGTCTGGAAGGCCCTCCTGCAGGCACAGCGGAGGAAGGAAAAAAAAAAAAGAGGCTTGAAAACCCCCGAGGGAAGAGCTAAGGCCCGGTCAGAAAGGGAATGTGGCGTTGTGATAGGGAAATAAATCGCTAGGGAATGAAAGGCAAGGCTGGAACAACACAGAGAGGACGCAGGCAGGGGGGAGGGCAGTGGCCTGCAGAGTGAGTGTGGACAAAGAAGGACACGCCAAAGTCACCCCTGGCTGATGAGGAAACAATGGGGAAAACTGACAGGTAGTAAGCTCCACCTACACCCCCCACCCACCTCACAAGGGACAGGAACAGGAAGTGGTAGCTAGGCCTCTTCACTTCTCCCATCACCCAGCCAGTCCCCCTTCATTTGGGTGGATACCTGCCTCGCCACGGAACCGATCCTGACAGAGAGAGAGGCTAGAAGTGTGCTTTTCAGACAGCAGGTCCTACATGGTGTGCCTGCGTCTCAGGACACGGTAACTGATTTCTGTACGGGGTGGGGTGGGGGTGGGGAGACTCACCGGCTGGGGTTTCTCTACCACACAGCATCCCAGTTTGTGCCAGAATTCACTCATGTTCCCCGCTGGTTCCAGTTTCACTCCGCTGCCCGAGGCCCCACAGGGCTCTTGCTCTGGAGCCTGGACCGCCCACTCCTCACTCCCTGTAACCGGGGTTCACTCAGCACCACGGGGCTGGAGGGAGGAGAGTCCTCGGACCTTCAGCTGGCCAGTAAGGCCGGCGTCTCAGACCCTGAGAAAGCAGCAGGGCCAGGGGGTAAGCTGGGCGGGCAGGCACACGGTTCTCTTCCTCGGGCTTGGAATCCTGGAGGAGCAGGAAGGGGAGAGAGAAGAAGGTTAGTGAGGAACCCCTCCCGCCTTGAGAAGCCCCTTAAGAGCTCAGATCCGTATTCTCCCTTAAAAGCCCTAGTCCCATACCCAACTCTAACCTCCTCACAGAGACTCTCAAAGGACCCGTGGGGGTTAAGAAGTAGCAGCAGCTGATACAAGGGAGAGAGGAAGGGGCTGGAAGCACTCGGGGGAGAGGGTGGGAGGGGACCAAAGCATCCTGGCATAAATGAGCAAACTTGGGGGGAGGGGGTACCACAAGCTCTACCTCCTGTCTCCCTGGGTACAGGCAGAAGGGGAGGGGCGTAAAGTGACTTTGAAGAGGAAATGGTGGTTTTTTGTTCTCACAAACAAGGCCTCCACCCCTGTCCCTCCCTTTTTCCTTACCTTACCCCAACACCTCAATTTCCCTTAAGACCTTGACCACCTCCGTCCTAGGTAACTAAGCACAGCAGGAAGACCTTCCCCAGGGAGAAAAGTCTCCCATCTCTTTCTAGTCCCGCCCTGGTTCCTCCTCATTTCCCTCCACTGAGATCCAACCCCTCCTCCCAAAGACATTGAACGGTTCCTTCGTGACTTGACCTTGAGATCTCTCCTCAAGGCTGCACTCTCTCTCTTTTTCCTGTGATACAGGGCACTCGTGTATGTTCACCGCTGTTTGCACATTATGTGAAATGGCCGTATCTCAATGGCCGTATCTCTTGTGCACAGGTTGCAGGCCAGGAGAAATCTCTTTCCAGCCTCCCCTCCCTCTTCACACGTCCGATCCTGCCTCTCTCACTCCCTGTCTCCTCCCCTCATGCTGTGACCTGTTCTCTCCTCCCTCCTCACCATTTCCATTCCCATCCTCATCAGCCAACCAGACCCAGGAACTTTCCAAAGCCTTAGTGCCCACGGAAGAACTTTCAGTACTGCCAGCCGGCGTAGGGCGCACCGAGTGTCTCTGTCCTCACTGCCTTTTCCCAGTCCTGTAACGCGGGCAAGCTCCATTTGCAAACAGGCAGCTTTAGAGTATTTATTGATACTATACGTGCAGAAATATGCGTCTCCTGTCCCTCCAGTCCCAGGCCGTGAACCCTGAAGCTCTGACATCCCAGACTGATCTAAGAACTGAGTTGTTTTAAAAAGCCCCTGGGTGAGATCACACACACACACTGAAGCTTCTAAGGAAGCGAAGGACCCAGGAGCTGGGCTTTCTCTACTTCCCTTCCCACCACCCGAGGGAGGAGCTAGGAGGCCGGTGGAAGCCAGAACACAGCTGTCCAGAGAGGGGAGCTGTGGTCAATGGGGCTTGTAGTGATGGCGGTGGCAGTCTGCCGTGAGGGCTGGAGGCAGGCGTTGGGGGGGGGGGGGGGGTGGTGGTGATGGAGAAAACAATGGAGAATCAGAGGAAACCCCCAACACCACCCGACAGGCTGTGCTGAGCCTGGACTCTCCCCAACACCCCCCCCCCCCCCCCCGGGCTCAAAGCTGAGTGGACAGAAGTGGATGGTGGGAGGAGAGAGAAGGAAAGAGGGGGAGAGGAAGGAGAGGAAGGAGAGGGAGAAAGGGAGAGGGAAAGGGGCAATGCAGGGAACAAGGACGTTTCTGTTCCTTTTCCAGGGACCTGGCCAGAGCTGGGTGGAGGGAAAGTGTGTGTATGGGACTTGGCATGAAATGACCAACGATGATGAGAACTGACCAGGAAATTCCATTCCCCAGGACCGTGGTCTGCAAACTGCGGCTCCCGAGCCACACAGTGCTCTTTGGCCCCTAGAGTGTGGCTCTTCCACAAAATACCACGGCCTGAGCGAGTCTATTTTGAAGAAGTGGCGTTAGGAGAAGATGAAGTTTTAAAAATTTGGCTCTAAAAAGAAATTTCAATCGTTGTACTGTGGACATTTGACTCTGCTGACTACTGAGTTTGCTGACCACGGGTCTAGGGCATAGGACATAAGGGTCTCTAAAACCTGGGGGAGGGGTGATGTCAGAGTGTGGAGAAGACGGGGCAGGGTGAAACTGGGGCTGGGAGGGTGGGGAGAACAGAAAAGTAAGAGTGATTGGCGGCCACTCTCATTCTTTAATTTTTAAAATGTCTAAAGATGAGTTGAGAAAAAATCTAGTCCTGAGCTGGCAAGCCCAGGAGAAGGTACCAAACCCACTGTCCACTGTTTCAGATCCGCACTGCAGGGGAAACAGGGGGAGGGATCAGGGCTGGATCACAGAAGCCCATATCCTGAGGAGTTCTGAGAACCGGGCCTCAGTCCCAAATAGGAAGGGTGGACTGCAGCCGGGAAGACACCAAGGTCACCCCGGGGCTGAGGGGCTCAGCAGCTGCGGAATTGTTGGGGGGCGGGATGGGAGGAAGGTTCCGGGGAGGAAGGATGTTCAGAGGTAGTTCCCCGGTCCTGTTCCAGCCCCAAACCGGTTCTCCCGGTCCCGCTGCCTGCAGCCCCAAGGCCTCCAGCCCGCTGCCTGACAAGCCTTCACAGGCAGCAGCTGGAGAGAGAGAGAGAGAGAGAGAGAGAGAGCGGGGAGAACGGAGAGGGCACCGAACCCCGGGCTGCCGCTGGCCCCCGCGGGCCTCCAGACACGGGGAGCCCCTGGGGGCTCTCGGGACGAAGGGGGTACACCCCACTTTCCAGGCATCCGCCCCAGGGGAGACCCTGCGGGGCTCAGGATGACACCGAAGCAGGCCCTAACGCCCCTCCCCCCAGGACGCTGTCATTTGTCTCCACGGCCGCCGACCGCCCAGCCAGACCCCCTCTCCGCTGCCCCTCCCCACGCTGTCCAGGCCGGGGACCCCCGGCGCATCTTCCGGGCATTGTCCCAGCCTCCCGGGGCCACCCGGTCCCAGATCAGACCTCCCGGGGCCCAGCCCGGCTCCGCTCGGTCCGCCCGAGGCCAGGGCGTCCCGGAGACCTCCCCTCCCGTCTCCCCAACTCCCCGGCGCCCCTTCCCTTCTCCCCCTCCGGGCACCGGGGCGGGTACTCCGGGGACGCACCCCTTTTCCCACCGCCCCAGCCGGCCGCGGCCCGGACACCCCCACCCCCACCCCGGCCCAGCCCAGCCCAGCCCAGCATCCGGCCGGCCGGCCGGGCGGGGCGCCGCCCGGGACCGGCCCCGCGGCCTCACCTGCTCGGCTCCGGCATCGGGGCGCCCGGCGGGGGCTGGCGGGGGCTCCGCTCGGCGCCCGGTCGTGCGGGGTCCCGGGCTCGCTGCCGGCGCGGTGGGAGCCGAGGGCGGGCGGGCAGGGGTGGGGCCGGCCGAGGGCGGAAGCGGCGGCGGCGACGCGATTACGAAACCCGCCCGGCTGGGGGCGGGCGCAGGCTCCCTCCCCGGGCGGGGGCGGCGGGGAGGGCCTGGAGGGAGGCCGGGGTGGGGGGGCCCTGCAGGAGGCCGGGGGTGGGGGGGCCCTGCAGGAGCCCTGCAGGAGGTCTGGGGGGGCCTGGAAGAGGCCTGGGGGGGCCCTGCAGGAGGCCCGGGGTGGGGGGGCCCTGCAGGAGGCCTGGGGGGGCTGCAGGAGGCCTGGGGGGGCCCTGCAGGAGGTCTAGGGGGGCCCTGCAGGAGGTCTGGGGGGGGCCCTGCAGGAGGTCTGGGGGGGCCTGGAGAAGGCCTGGGGGGGCCCTGCAGGAGGTCTGGGGGGGCCTGGAGGAGGTCTGGGGGGCCCCTGCAGGAGGCCTGGGGGGGGCCCCGGCGCACTGCGGAGTGGGAGGGACCTGCCGGTGGGGACCGGGCACCCGAGCAGGGCCCCCCGGAATCGCACGTTGTCTCTGCGCGCCAGGCATGGCGAGGCCAAAGGAAGCGGAGCCCCTAAACCCCCGTGTCCCCCATACCCAGCCAAGCGCGGGTTTCCCAGACGCAGCGCCTCCCAGCCCCCCATCTTCTGAGTTCCACCCCCGATGAGCGGGGCGCGGTTTGGGGGGGGGGGGCGAGCCGGGAGGGATGGATGAAGGATTTTCCTGATTTTCGAAAATACTTGGGAGCCTGCAACCCTTGAGTTGGGGGATAAAGGGGCGCTGCTCCATGGTTGTCGAGTGAAGATGTTTAAGCCATAAACCTAGAAGCAGAACCTCACATTTCCTTTAAAATAATCAGGGGGCAATGACTGCTAATTCCGTGCACCCCGGTTGGCAGGGGGCGCCGGGAGGGCCGGGCGGTACCCGCGGACCCACAAACCCGCAGCTGCCTCCGGCCCGCCTCCCCCCGAAGGCGCTCGGAGCCGGCCGTCGGGAGGAGCCGAGTCAGGCGGGAGGGGCGGGGGCGGGGGGGGGCTGCACTGCAGGGGGAGCGGCCGCCAGACAGTCCCTGAAGCGGGAGCGGGAGCGGGAAGACAAAGCCGGCAGAGCCCCCGCCGCCTTCCTCTGCAGTCAGAGCAGGGACCGAGCCTGGGGTCCTCCCTCCATCTTTGGAACACACTGGTCACCCCCTGATCACAGGTAACTGACCGGGGGAGGGGGAAAGGAGACAGGGGCTGCAGAGGCTGCTGCTGGTTAGGTGGAGGGATGAGGTGGGGGGGACAGTGCAGCAGGAGGGAAGGCGCCGCCAGGAACAACGGTAACGGGTTCACTTGTTCCCCGTTTTACACCTCTCGCTCACATCACCATCCATACATGCCTTCTAATCCTGGACACAGGCATTAATTTTTAACAATTTACCTGTAGTTAGTTCTTGGCATTTATCTCATTTCAAGTACCTATTTGCCTATAATGTATTGTCCTGTGTGTTTTATCTCAGCCTAGTTATCCCTATCTTCCTTTCAAGCTATAATTTATGTGGTTTTTGCGTGTGTGTGTGTGTGTGTGTGTTTTATGAATCTCTAGTCCTACTGTATTGCTCTAGCCTCTATTTCCCTGTTTCCTTTTTCTTTTTTTCTGTAGTGTTTTATTTATTTATTTATTTATTTATTTAGGTAGTGTTTTATTGATGTGTGTCTCCATAGGAGGCAGTTTGGGGGAAGGGATAGGAGATAATATTGAGATTAATCCTTTCATTTCCTTTAATAATCTCCTCCCCATTTCAAACCTTTGCTCCAAAAAAGCAGCAGCTTGAGGGGGACAGTGTGTGTGTGTGTTTGGGGTGTCTCTGTGTTGGAGAACTACCTGATCCCCCATATTGAATTCGTACAGCACGCAAAAGCTAGTAGGCATGGGGACAGATTCTGGGACAGGAATGCTTATCTGCAGCTCTGTGGGATAAGTGGGGGAGGACATGGCTCTGAGGAAAAGCCAAGCCCAGAACGAGGCACAGATAGTGAGATTCCGGGGTGATTCCATTCCCCACATCCCTGGTCCTTCCATCCCATGGTGGCAGCATGACACAGCAAAGCATGGTTGGTAGACCTTGGATTCCCACAGCGGGGCTGGACAAAGGGTATTTGGGCGGGTCTGTGTGGTTCAGTGAGAGAGTGTCTTTTTATATATATTTGCTAATCAAGCAAATGGGGAGGGGAAGAGCAAGCCAGCCGAAAAGAGACCTCTCGCAAAATTACTTAGGAATTAAATTCACATTGTATTAAACTTTGAAATTTCCTTATCAACGTAAAGGATATTTTAGCTTCCATTATCTGTGTAGTTAATGCTCTTGACTTGATTTTAAATGCTGTTAATACTTGTAGGAGCATCTTTCTCGAATGTATTTGGTACTCTCTCTGTAGATGTCTCGACTGAGTCATAGCTAGAGATTTTAGGCCTGGTAAATCGATATTTCGTGAAATTTCCCTTAGCTTTTTTTAATTGTCAAGAGTAGCCCTGCCAGATACCCAGGGATTAGACAGCTTTGAGGCATACGCCGACTATAAGAAAGGGAGTGTTTGTCAGAGCCTTTCCCCCTTTCTCGGATTCTAGCTTGCTCTCCACTGCCTCTTGCGTGTTCACCGTTCAGATCGGAACCACAGGAACAATCAGTATATCTGCTGACTATCTGCTCTTCAGGAACTAAGAATTCTTGCAAGTTTTGAGAATATTGGTATAGGATTACATAAAGCTAAAGGCAACTGTCTATGTACAACCCATCAAAAAAGTCCAGACTGGGAATTATGAGACCTGGGTTCTATCCAAACTGACTGGGAGGCTTCACAAGTCACTGGATCATTTCTAAGGTGTTTTTTAAAATCTGTTAATCCCGCCCCCTCTTATGATTCTTTTTTTTTTAATTTTATTTTTTTATTAAATTATTATCTGTGTACATATTTTACCATTGCCCCCCCCCCCCGCCTCCCATACATACCCACCCTCCCCAGAGTTTTGTGTCCATTGGTTGTACTTATATGCTTTTTTTTTTTTTTTAAGAGCCTACTATGTTTGCCCAGCATTATACTAGGCTCTCACTGGAGAAGACTGATAAGGGAGGAGATATAAAAGAAGCCAGCTATGTAGGCAAATAACTAGTAATATTAGTAAAATATCCCTGTTGGCAGAAGTAACATGTTGCCCCCTAAGGTTTGCTTCCTAGGATCTCTATAACCTGGTTGATTGGTTAATAGGTACAACCGTTTTTGTAACTCTCTGTGCACATGTCTCTGCAAATGGTTGTGGAGATGATCAGAGCTGACTATCTATCATAGGATGATGACCTCACCTTTCTAGCATGTTCCTGCCCTGGCTCAGTCCCTGCATCACATTCCTAAGCAGCTTCTCTGCTGGGGGTTTATTTTGGAGCTTGAACCTAAGATGACAAAGAGCAACTCAGCATTTGCTTTTAACTTTAAAAACATCTAAGTCTTGCCGAAACCGGTTTGGCTCAGTGGATAGAGAGTCAGCCTGCAGACTGAAAGGTCCCGGGTTCGATTCTGGTCAAGGGCATGTACCTTGGTTGCGGGCACATTCCCAGTATGGGGTGTGCAGGAGGCAGCTGATTGATGATTCTCTCTCATCAATGTTTCTAACTCTCTATCCCTCTCTCTTCCTCTCTGTAAAAAATAAAATATATTTTAAAAATAAAATAAAATTCTAAAAAAATAAAAATAAAAACATCTGAGTCTACCTACTTAAAACTCCCACACTCACACGTAAACATATTCTAGATTAATGCATTCTTTTTTTTTTTGGTCTTTTTTAGAGACATTTTACTTTATATGAGTTGATATGGGGTTCTGTAGGGTACTGGTTATCATGTTTATCATGTTTTTGTTGTTTAGAATATATATATATATATATATATATATATATATATATATATATATATGTTAGTCCTCACCCAATTATATTTTATTTTTTAAGGGGATGGGGACAGACACACACATTGATTTGAGACAGACACATAAATTGGTTGCCTCCCACTCACCCTGACCAGGTTCAGGGATTGAACCTGCAATCAGACTTGTGCCCTTGACCGGGAATCGAACCCATGACCCTTTGGTGCCAGGGCCGATGCTCTAACCACTGAACATACCAGCCAGGGTTAGTTAGGTCTGCTGAACACATTTTGGAACCTATTTTGGGCCACTATTTAGGCATCTCGAGGCCTGATGGGAGCCAATGGAGCGTATTGGAGGAAGTCCTTTTGAAACAGGATTCTATTTTTGGAGGCAGTGGAATGTGCTTTCTGCTCCTTTGGGAACGTTTCAACTAATGCTTCTTGCCCCTTCTCTTGGCTAGCAAGCAGCAGAGTGGAGGCTGCACGGGGGTCTAACAGTCATAGAACATCGGGGGTATGGGAGGGATGAGCAGAAAGGGTGATAGAAATATTCATTACAGCATGGACAAGTATCTAATGCTGTTAAAGCACTTTCTCCTCCCAATCTAACCTATACCTCACCTACCTGGGGTTTCTAACCCATTTGCTCTCACCATCATCAGATATATTCTAGCATTGTGACCAGAGAAGAGAGACCTGTTACAGCTAGGAAGACTCTTTTAGCACCTGGGTTTTGTTTGGAAGCAGAGGTAGGTTAGAGAGAAATGGATAGGCTGTTAAAGCTTATCTGAGGACTAATAGATGGGAGTGGCGAGGTATTCATTGTATTAAATAAAGAGCAGGAGAAAATTAATCAGCAGCCTTGAATGTCTTTTGTGTGCAAAGCCCGGGAGCTTGGGAAGAAAGTGCAAAGTAGATTGGGTTTTCCCCTTGGGGATACTCTCAGTCTCTCGAAGGAGATAAGACTATCCCTATACTTGTAACAGTGATATGTAACCCCAAACTGAGAGAGTCAGGTCAAACTACAGCGGTAAGGCAGATGCTGGAAGAAATGGGTAGCTGAAGCTGAGTAAGTTTAAGGAAGTCCTCCTGAAAGAGGTGAGTTTATAATGGGATTTTATTTTAAGGTTTTTGACTTTTTTTTTAGAGAGAGAAAGCCATACCAGTGAGGGCCATTGGGTTTATTCTTGTATGTGGGATTTAACCTGCAACCTTTGTGTATTAGGACAATACTCTAACCAACTGAGCCCCCGGCCAGGGCTGTACAAGGGCATAGGAGAGAGGGAGGAAAATGGAAAGCCGAATTGTTCATGAAAGTCCTTTCAGACGTGCCATGACCTATTAAACCGAAGGCAGGCTGAAACCGGTTTGGCTCAGTAGTAGAGTGTCGGCCTGCGGACTGAAAGGTCCCAGGTTCGATTCCGGTCAAGGGCATGTACATTGGTTGCGGGCACATCCCCGGTAGAGGGTGTGCAAAAGGCAGCTGACTGATGATTCTCTCTCATCGATGTTTCTAACTCTATTCCTCTCTCCTCCTCTCTGTAAAAAATCAATTAAAAAATCAATCAATAAATAAATAAATCGAAGGCAGGAAGACGTTCCGTATTTGCAAACATATTAGGAATTCAGGGGGGAAATTCCTCTAGGGACTTGAGTGGAGTCTTGAAACTTGGGTATTATTTTAAGATGGAAAGTGGAGTGAGTGATGAGAATAACGGTAGCAGAGATGTATTACTACTACTAGGCAGGATAGGGGCCAGATTCTGAAAGGCCTTGGAAACCAGCCTCAAGATTAACTTGAAACAGTAAATCAAGTCATTCCAAGTTGGGAAGAAGTGAGGAAATAGCAGGACATGGTAATAGAAGGTTCCCAAAGCTTATCCCAGGGAACTTGGGGCCATTGGAGATGGAAAGATCCTAAGCAGGGAAAGGCCATGAAGGGACCACAAAGGGTTGGTTGCACCCAGAAGACTGACAGGTGGTTTCTTTTCAGGAAGATATGAGGGACCCCGTGAGCAGCCAGTACAGCTCCTTTCTTTTCTGGAGGATGCCCATTCCCGAACTGGATCTGTCGGAGCTGGAAAGCCTGGGTCTATCAGATACATCCATCTACAAGGTCAAGGACAGCAGCGTTGGCAAAATGACCGGGCAAGCGGCCGGAACAGAGCCGGAGAAACACCCTGAAGGCGATGCCCTCCTTCAGTACAGCACCTTCAACTTCTGGAGGGCCCCCATCGCCAGCATCCACTCCTTCGAACTGGACTCGCTCTGAGCCCAAGCCTTCTCTCCCCACCATGCCTGCATGGTCTCCCCCTTCCAGCCGCTTCCTCCCCTTCCTTTCCCCTATCAATCTTGCTTTCTTCCCTCTATTGTGTTGAGGTGGTGCTGATGAATTTGCCAGTTGTGTCTTATTTATTTATTTATTTATTTATTTATTTATTTATTTATTTATTGTGTCAGTTTCTCTCAAAAGCCCTCAAGTCACAAAGTAAAGGGTTCAAGCAATGGAGTAGTTACGTCCTACCTCCCCCTCTTCCAGAAAACAGGCCTGGTGGGGGCACCAGAGAGTAGTGTAAAGTGGAAGGGTTGATTTTCTGACTCTTGAGGTTGTTCAGATTTTCCTAGTTCCTTGCTCTAGGGCAGCAAACACAAATATTTCTTCAAGGGCGGAAGAGTACCTTGTCCATATTGACATTATCTACTACAAGACAGTAGGATTTCTAAAAGGCTAAGGTGATAAGACGCTTGCTATTTGGCTTCTGCTCCTTCTTGTAATAAGTTCTTCTCAGAGAAATTGGGGATAAAGGTATAAGAGGAATACTTTATCTTGGAAAATGAAAATAGGGGGAAGCCCTGAATCGTTTCAGAAATAGCTACACACTCTCTCGAAAGGGGGTTTCTGTTTTCAAGCCCACTCCCTTAACTAATTTTTGTTCCTAACCGCAGGTTGAAAACTTGAGGCAAGTCACTCAACTTCAAATCTTAAAATGCCATCTTGCTGACCCTTATGATAACTAGTAAGGTTTTGATTCTGTTTCTAAAAGGCATTGGGTCGATTCTTAATGTAGACTTGCCCTCTGCACTGGCCATGTATACTGATCAATGGGCCTCAGGCACAGTCCTTCAGCTGCCTTAAGGCCACGAAATGAACAACCCCATGCTGACCCCACAGCCTGTTCCCACTCCCGTCCAAAGTGTTTGCTGCTGGTTTGTGCTGCATTGACTCATTTCTTTAATAAAGACATTCAACCCCAGGATTTGCCTTCTAGTTTTCTCTCTCCACAGGAAAAAAGGATTCCAAGGATCCCAAAAGTTAGCCTTGCTTTCACATTCAGCTGGTATATTTTTTTTCTTTCAACTTTTAAGGAAGAATGATGTTTGAGTAGCCTTTGTACATTAAAACGATTAACTTGTGGTTGAAAAGGTAGGGAACAAGGGTGAAATCAACTTAGAATTATTTAGGGAGGAAGCTGTGACCCATCCCTCTGCTTGCCCACAGAGGACGCCTGCATTGCAGGTAGTAATTCTAGGGGGCCCGGGAGGCACCTGGGGCACTAAGTCTGCTCTTCATCTCAGCCCACGTGCCTGAGACAACAAACAAGTTCGCCCAAATGTTACCCGCTTGCTTAAGACGCTCGTTAAAAAAACAACCACCACTTGTACTAATTTACAAGTCGTGTTTGGGTGCCTACTCCAGGAAAGGCGCTGAGCCAGACAATATCATGTCAATGGGAATGAAACAAGATTTTGACTCTCAAACTTTTTTAAAAAAATATATTTTATTGATTTTTTACAGAGAGGAAGGGAGAAGAATAGAGAGCTAGAAACATTAATGAGAGAAACATCCGATCAGCTGCCTCCTGCACACTCCCTACTGGGGATGTGCCCGCAACCAAGGTACATGCCCTGGACCAGAATCGAACCTGGGACCTTTTAGTCCGCAGGCCAACGCTCTATCCACTGAGCCAAACCGGTTTCGGCTTGACTCTCAAACTTAAGGGCAGCCGTACCTACGGATATGCACCTAGGTAACAGGCTGCAAATACTCCCAAAGATGACGTGAACAAGATCTAGGCAAGCTCAGGAAAGGGCGAGTCACGCAGATCGTCCTCGGAGGCTCGGAAAGGCCAACTCTCCCCGTGCAAAGCCACAATCTAATGAGGAATGGGCCAGTGATGGGTCCTTTCCTCGTGGCGCTTTAGGGTAGAGCAGGCAGGTCACAGGTGTTTGGTACATGAAACGCCCGGATGGATTTGCAAACTCATGCTCCATCGTTTCCCAGCTCCCCACTCCCTCATCCCAAAGAAACGCCTCCGTCATTGGTTTCGCTGTTCGCGTTGACAGTTGGGCTCCAGGGTCCTTCCGTTCCGGCGGCTGGACGTGGAACTATGTCCGCCATGCACAAGAGTTCATTTCTCGCGCAAAGACAGGCACGTCCCCTTCAGCTGGACCCTGGGCTGGGACGCGGAAACTAGGCTTCCCCATCCTTGGAGCTGGCTTCCCGAGAAGCAACCAAAGAACAGCAGGACCGGCACAGAGTCGCTTTCTCTCTAGCGGTTCGCCGGGTTCTTGGCGCCAAAACAAGCCCTGGGCCCGCCCCCTGCCGGGTCTAGACGGCACGTAAGGCACGTAATCGACAACCCTCCGCGTCGTTAAGTAGTCCCCCCCAGGATTTCCCGGAATCACGCTTTTTTCACCGCCGAGAGCCTCCCGTGGGGAGCAAAAGAGCCTCAGAGGTGCATCCTCCTTCTGTCAGGATAGAAACGCAGGTTCCATAATCCTTTTTTCCCCACAGATCCCTCCGCCAAAAATTGTTTTCCGCCGCCTCCACTTCCGGGTCCGCCATTTTGTCGCCTCCATTTCTCCACGAGGGGGGTTAAAGGCCCCCCCAAATATGCATACATGAAAAGGCCGAAAAGTTGCCGTCACTGACAGGGAGGCCACCCTAGAGAAGGAGACGGCACCAAACTGGCGGGTTCGGCGGAAGCGCAATCGGCGGCGGCGTCCCGGACGAGAAGGTGAGGGGGAGGAGAAGATGCGAGGACTGGGGGGCCGCGGGAGGGCTGACGGGCGAGTGGCGTGAGAAGTTGCACCGCTTCCCGGCACAGTCCCGAACCTGTGGGTGCAGACGGAGCAGCGCCCCTTCGTGGGAGCGGGGGAGCCTGGGGCCGGGGGCCGGAGAGGAAGGGGATGCTGCCGGGAGGAAGGGGAGGGGACTGGCAGGAGGTGAGGGAGGGGGTGGGTGTAGGACCTGGGGCTGGGGAGCTGGACCAAGGGAAGCCAGAGCCGTGGAGGTGGCCACTAGGGGGCAGCGCGGAGCCCGGGCCGGGCTGCTCTGCCTGAGCTGAGAGCTTGGCTTCCTGGCTCTTCCCGAAGAGACTGAGCATTGCTGCTGGGAAACTGGAGGATGTGGGGTGGAGGAGAAAACGGGGACTCTGCCTTCCCGGCCCCAGCAATAGCCTAAAGATTGTTAGGGAGCACACTAATCTGAACACGAGTCTAAGGGCCCCGCCTCCAGTTCTTTTTTTTTCTTTTAAGAGAGAGAGAGGAAGGGAGAGGAACATCAGTTTGTTGTTCCACTTATTGATGCATTCACCGCTTCTTCTTGCATGTGCCCTGGAGACCAACCTGCAACCTCGGTGTACGGGGAGGAGCATCCAGCTCTTGCACAGTCGTTTGTATAGCTGGAGGCTCAGTGGGGACATGGGTGATAGAAAAAGGGGAAAGAGAGAGACAGGAAAAAAAAGGTCAGATCATGGTCTCTTCAATTCCTGTTCTCCTTACAGTTAGCTTTCTCTCTGCTCATAGATTTCCTTAAGCCAACAAAGATCATCCCCACCCGATTTCTTATATCAACCAACGTAATTGCTCTCTAATTACCGTCTAATGATAGAGTACTTCGTTGTCGAGAGCTCAGACACTTCACCCATTGTTAAAACACGGATTGTGGAAAGCTCTCCTGTGTTTGCTTGGGAGGGGATGTGGGTGTTTGATTCATCTTCAAAGTCCTAAGAGTCGGGTTAGATCAAATTCTGTTTCTTCACTTTATATGTAGGGAAAGTGGAGATGACATACAGTAAAGGAAGAATGTTTTCCATTACATTTTTTTTTTAACAGTGATTTTTAGAGAAAGGAGGGGAGAGGGAGAGGGAAACATCAATGAACATTGATGTGAGAGTGAAACGTCAATCAGCTGCCTCCTGCACAACCCCACAGGGATGGAGCCCACAATCCAGACATGTGCCCTTGACCAGAATAACTGGCAACCTCCCAGTACACTGGATGACACCCAGACAACTGAACCACACAGGCCAGGGCTCTTAGATTAAACCTTTTATCTGGTGGGGACTGCCTGCATTGACATAGACTGGCACTTAGTCCCCCCAAAATACTGTTATTTTAAAAAATACATTAAGCCCTAGCTGGTTTGTCTCAGTGGATAGAACGCTGGCTTGCAGACTGAAGGGTCCCAGTTAGATTCTGGTCCAGGGCACATGCCCAGGTTTCGGGCTAGATCCCCAGTAGGGGGCATGCAGGAGGCAGCTGATCCGTGATTCTTCTCATCATTGATGTTTCTTTCTCTCCCTCTCCCTTCCTCTCTGAAATCAATAAAAATATATTTGCGGGGGAGGGGTAAGAAAAGAATTTAATTCTCATCAGAGCAGTGAGGATTTTTTTTTCTTTTTTAGAGAGAGTGGAAAGGATGGGGTAGGAAGGGAGAGAGAGAGGAGAAAGAAATGTCACATGAATTGATTGCCCCACACGCGCCCCAACCAGGTGAGGGGATCAGACCTGCAACCCGGGTACATGCCTGTGATGGAATCCAGTGTTCAGGCGGCTGCTCAAACCATTTTACAACACCAGCTAGGGCAAGCTTTGTATTTAATCGTGCAAAGTCCAATGTAGGTGCCACACTTCTGAGTAGCTCTCAGCTCAAGGAACTGGGCTTCCCTCGTCCTGTGGCCCTTCTGTCTCATAGTTCAGTCTTTTTTTTTTTTTTTTTTTTTAATATATTTTATTGATTTTTCACAGAGAGGAAGAGAGAGGGATAGAGAGTTAGAAACATCGATGAGAGAGAATCATCAAGCAGCTGCCTCTTGTGCACCTCCTACTGGGATGTGCCCGCAACCAAGGTACATGCCCTTGACTGGAATCGAACCCGGAACCTTTCAGTCCGCAGGCCGACGCTCTATCCACTGAGCCAAACTAGTCCTGGCTCATAATCCAGTTTTTTGTTTTTTTTTTTTTTAAATATATTTTATTGATTTTTTACAGAGAGGAGGAGAGAGGGAATAGAAAGCTAGAAACGTCTATGAGAGAGAAACATTGACCAGCTGCCTCTTGCACAACTCCTACCGGGCATGTGCCCGCAACCAATGTACATGCCCTTGACCGGAATCGAACCTGGGACCTTTCAGTCCGCAGACTGACGCTCTATCCACTGAGCCAAACCGGTTTCGGCTCATAATCCAGTCTTGATGTGGCTTCTTTAAATCCTTGGTTATAAGACTTCCGTTCAGCTAGTCTTCAGTTGGTTATTCAGGTTGATGGTTCTATAATTTTGTTGGTAATTACAATTTGGGCCTGGGAGGAAGTGAATGTAATTTCCACCTTCTCCTCAGCCATCCTTCCCCCTCTCTTCCTACCTCTGTATGATTTTATAACATGCATTGGACATTTGAAAAATATTGGTTCACCAAATTTTGCAGATTGTCCAAGTGTTGATGCATTTTATTACACAGTATTGAAAAGTTCACATTTATTAGTATCACCATGAATTTCATCAAAAAGTTTGTAGTAAACTTCTATTTATGGTAGAGGTATGTTTCCCCAAATTCTAATTTTTGCTTGAAAGCTGACATTATAATTGATAATTGGCAATAAATACTGTCGTTTGTTTGCTTTGAAGTGGGCGGTTCACTCTGTTCAGTTTTGAAAAAATATCTGCCATATACCCTGCTTTGTCTATTTGTCATTCTTTCCTGTGACATATTTCTATCCATGGTCATTTCAGAAGGATGAAATGCTGTTTTATTGATTGCTTCAGCAAGAAAGGTGGTAATGTGATGTGTTGCACTTATTATTATTATTATTCTGGAGATTGAAAGTGAGGGAAATGTTGTTTGGGGCCTGACATTTTCCCAAATATCTGATTGTTTGTGTGAGATGATGAGGAAATGCCCTACCAGAGAGTCACCTTGAAATTTGTATTATTTAGAAGAAGTCTTCTTAAAACATTTACAGACAGCTCTCCTTGTGTTTCAGTTACAGCTTCCTGAGAAGTTCCGTTCCTATGCATAAAGATGTCTTTGGTGGACTTGGGGAAGAGATTGCTAGAAGCAGCAAGAAAAGGCCAAGATGATGAAGTGAGGACGTTGATGGCAAATGGTGCCCCATTCACCACAGACTGGGTGAGTTCTCTGATTGTTTCCAAAGTGTGCTTTACCAATCTTTTCCCTTTCTTTTTTAATTTTTTATTTGTTGATTTGATAGAGGGTTGGGGAAACATCTATTTGTTCCACTTATTTACACATTCATTGGTTGATTCTTGTATGTGCGCTGACAGGGGATAGAACCAGAAACCTTGGCATATCAGAACCATGCTATAATCAACTGAGTTACCGGGCCAGGGCATCAATCTTTTTCTTTTAAAATATATTTTATTGTTTTTTTTTTTACAGAGAAGAAGGGAGAGGGATAGAGTTAGAAACATCGATGAGAGAAACATCCATCAGCTGCCTCCTGCACACCCCCTACTGGGGATGTGCCCGCTACCAAGGTACATGCCCTTGACCGGAATCGAACCTGGGACCCTTCAGTCCACAGGCCAGCGTTCCATCCACTGAGCCAAACCAGTCAGGGCACTGATCTTTTTCTTTTTTAAAAAATATATTTTATTGATTTTTTATAGAAAGGAAGGGAGTGGGATACAAAGTCAGAAACATCAATGAGAGAGAAACATTGATCAGCTGCCTCCTGCACACCCCCTACTGGAGATGTGCCCGCAACCAAGGTACATTCCCTTGACTGGAATTGAACCCGGGACCCTTGAGTCCGCAGGCCGACACACTGTCCACTGAGCCAAACCGGCCTCGGCTGATCTTTTTCTTAAAGGCTAAAAAGACTTTAATGATTTTTCTTTAGTTATTTTCTGCCTCATTCTCCTCACATAGTTTTATTTTCTTTCTCTCACCTAACTATGTGGTTTTCATTTTCTTTTAGTTTTCCAAATTGAAAGTGTCTCTTATGGATATATAGATGGTAATTGTAAATGTATATACTTATGGTTTTCTATAATGCTTTTCAGAGTATTAATTCTGTTTACTAGAAATTAGTAATTAGCTAGAAATTAAACAAAATCAGTATAAGAAAAGTACACTTCTAAGCTAATAAACTATTTATTTCCTTTTCTCTGTAATGTCCTGATTAATAAGAAATAGTTTAGCTCAATTGGTGTGGCTCAGTGGTTGAGCATTAACCTAAGAACCAGGAGGTCACAGTTTGATTCCTTTTCAGGGCACATGCCTTGGTTGCAGGCTCCATCCTCAGCGGGGAGGTATGCAAGAGACTGCCGACCAATGATTCTCTCTCATCATTGATGCTTTCATATCTCTCTCGCTCTCCCTTTCTCTCTGAAATCAATTTTTTTTTTTAAAAAGAGGAAGATGTAATTTTATGATCCTAGATAGCCAGCTTGGAGAGCAGAATTTTATTTATTTATTTTTTATTTTAAAATATATTTTATTGATTTTTTACAGAGAGGAAGGGAGAGGGATAGAAAGTTAGAAATATCGATGTGAGAGGAACATTGACCAGCTGCCTCCTGCACACTCCCTACTGGGGATGTGCCCGCAACCAATGTACATGCCTTTGACCGGAATCGAACCCAGGACTTTGAGTCCACAAGCCAATGCTCTATCCACTGAGCCAAACCGGTTTCGGCTGGAGAGCAGAATTTTAGAAGATCCAGGTCTAGATTATAATATGGGCTTCCTTAGCATCCATAGGTTTTTCTTTTTTTAAATATATTCTGTTGATTTTTATAGAGAGAAGGGGAGAGGGCTAGAGAGTTAGAAACATCGATCAGCTGCCTCCTGCATAACCTCTACTAGGGATGTGCCTGCAACCAAAGTACATGCCCTTGACCGGAATCGAACCTGGGACCCCTCAGTCCTTAGGCCAACACTATCCACTGAGCCAAACCAGTCAGGGCCGCATCTATAGATTTTGTAAACATTGCCTAATTTTAACAGTTCACTCTTTTCTGGAGTGGTTAATTTATAACTTCAGAGGCCAGCAGGTTCTTTTTTTTCTTAATCTTCACCCTAATATCTGTTCCTTTATTGATGAGAGAGAGAGGGGGGGGGGGAACGTTGATTGGTTGCCTTCCCCAGGTGCCCTGCGTCCACGACCCTGCAGTACACAGGAAGATGCTCTAACCAACTGAGTCACACTGTCCAGGACTGAGGACAGCAGGTTCTTAGCAGTTCACTGGGAGAAAGAAAGGAAACACATGAGATTAGCATTTTTATAAATAGGCCTGAAAAGAGCAATGTGAATTAAATCCAGTCAGACAGAGAGGCTGAATATATGAAAAGCAAAGTTTCAATGAAGTAGGCTTAAAAATAAACCAGCATAAAGCAAAGACAAGAATAGGTTTCTGACCAAAGTGGATGCTGATAACTTATAAGATTTACTTTGAGATGATATGGATTTTCTTATTGCTAAACATTTTAAAATATATTTTTATTGACTTCAGAGAGGTAGGGAGAGAGAGAAACATCAGTGATGAGTCCTGGCTGGTTTGGCACAATGGATAGAGAATAGGCCTTCGGCTGAAGGGTCCTGAGTTTGATTCCAGTCAAAGGCACATGCCCAGGTTTTGGGCTCGATCCCCAGTAGGGGGTGTGTAAGTAGCAGCCAGTAAGTGATTCCGTCTCATCATTGATGTTTCTAGCTCTTACTCCCTTTTTCTCCCTCTCTGAAATCAATACAAAAATGTTTTGTTTTTTTTAAAAAAAAGAAACATCAGTGATGAGTGAGAATTATCAATTTGCAGCCTCTTGCATGCCCAACACTGGGAATTGAGCTCAAAACCCAGGAATGTGCCCTGACCAGGAATCAAACCGTGACCACCTAGTTACTAGATCGACGCTCAACTGCTGAGCCACACTGGCTGGGCTTAGTTGCTAAATTTTTATTTCCTTTTAATCTCATCAGTCTTTTTGCCTTGCTTTACTGGGGTAACAAACTTCTGTTACAAGCAATTAAGTTAGCACCCCAAGATCTACATTGCAACTTTCTAGTCTCTGCCCTTTGCCTAGAAATTGTTCTGAAACTTTACCCCCACTCAGAATCCTCTTGTCTGTCCATTTATTTTATCTTCCAAGCCCTGTATAAAATCATACCCTTTAGGGAATCTTACATGATAAATCCATCTGACTTAAATCCATTTATTCCTCTATTAGTATATTAATTTTTTTAATTCATTTCTTCAGTCCTGCCTGCCCAACCAGATACTCTCTATCCATGGGCAGGAACCATAAAACTCACCTCTTGTTCATTTGTATCTCTCCAGTAATGGTTTAGGAGTTTGCACGTAGTTGGTACTCAATGAGTATTATTTCCCCACAGCTTGGAACATCACCCCTCCACCTTGCAGCCCAGTATGGTCATTATTCCACAGCAGAAGTACTCCTTCGAGCAGGCGTTAGCAGGGATGCCCGAACCAAAGTGGACAGGACCCCCTTGCACATGGCTGCAGCCGATGGACACGCACACATCGTGGAACTGCTTGTTAGGGTAAAGCAAGAATAGTGGCGGGTCCGTGTGGTAAAAAGGACACCCACCTTCCTTTCCTAAAGTAGCGGCAGGAAACTAGGTTGGCAAAGATCAAGCTGAGGACAGTTTATGGCAATGACTTGTCTCTTTCAAGAGTAATCGTGACTATGAGAATTTTGTATTCTAATCTTTTGAAAGCTAAACAGACTTCCTTGGTGTTTTCTTCATTCCCTTTCTGCAGGTGTTCTCTGCACTTATGCCTGTTGTTTTTTTTTTTTTTTTCAGACACTCGGCTCTGTTAATAAATGCAACAAAAATCTGTTCTTTTCCTCTTCCTTTCCTTTCTACTATAATTTCTCAATGATGTCCTTAGAAGACCCACTCATGGAAGGCATTATGTCTGTCAGCATCAGGATAATTTGAGAAATGTTTTTCCCTTTGATATTTCTTAAAGGTGACCTAAATTTGAATGTGTGTAAACTATGGAAAGTCTCTGTATTGTTGATGAGGTCTTGCATCTGTGCTGCTGTAACCAGTGTCTATATGAAGACATTACTTTTCTGTGGCAGAATGGCGCAGATGTGAACGCCAAGGACATGCTGAAGATGACAGCTTTGCATTGGGCCACAGAATACCACCATCGCGATGTTGTCGAGCTACTTATCAAATATGGAGCTGACGTCCATGCTTTCAGCAAGTTTGATAAATCTGCCTTTGACATAGCCCTGGAGAAGAACAATGCTGAGATTCTGGTCATTCTTCAGGTCTGTATTTTTTATTTTATTTTATTTATATTTTATTGATTTTTTTTGCAGATAGGAAGAGAGAGGGACAGAGAGCCAGAAACATCGATAAGAGAGAAACATTGACCAGCCGCCTCCTGCACACCCCCCACCAGGGATGTGCCCGCAATCAACATACATGCCCTTGACCGGAATTGAACCCGGGACCTTTCAGTCGGCAGACTGACGCTCTGCCACTGAGCCAAACCGGTTTCGGCGATATTAGACTTTTTTTTAAGGGAGGGAGATATAGAGAAACATCGATCAGTTGTCTCCCATATGCACTCTGACCGGGAACCAAATCGCAACCTATATATGTGCCCTGACCAGGAATTGAACTCACTACTTTCTGGTGCACAAGATCATGCTCCAACCAACTGTGCTACACCACCATCTTAAAAAAAAAAAAAAAAAAGATAATTATCTGGAGTATGGTGAGATTGGCGAGAGAAAGTTTAATGCTAAAGAACCATATAGTGACTTTCATTTGGCCAGGCAAGAGCCAAGAGGGCTTGAGTTAAGGAATAATAGTGGAGGATAGAAGGAGAGGCATATTCAAGAAGGGATTTAACAGTGACCAGAGAATTACACTTGATCTTAGCCAGAAGGCCAAGAAGCGATGTGACGAGGAGAATTGATCATCTGTTTTTAGCTGAAGCTCTTAGTCAAGTGGATAATTATATATGAAAAAATAGATAAATATTTCTGCTGTATTTTCAGTAGCTTGTTTATTTGTTTGTTGTTTTTTACAAATGGTTCCCTATAAACTGGTTATCTTCAACTTTCAATTCCTTGTTTAGAGACCTTTCATAATTGGGACTTTTTAAGTAGTGAACATGTTCTTATTTCTTTATTCTTATTTCTCAAACAAACAGAAAACTACTTCTGAAAGTAAAAAAAAGAATAAAATAAAGTTTCTTTTCACTGAAATTGTGCTGACATTCCTGGAAACAAAAGTGCAGCATATGAAACTAGACTCTAAAATCTGGCACTCATTTATTTGCTTGTTACATATTCTCTGAGGAATTCTCCAGGGCAGAATGGAACAAGTTGTTGGACAAAACTCTGGAGAATATTCTTCTCCATAGATTTGCTGTGGCGATCTCCTGCTAGCACATTGGCTTGTAGATAACTGATCATAGAATATTAGTGCTGGAAATTACTTTTTAGGCCACACCCCTTATTTTTCAAATAAAAATGTAAGACCCAGAGAGGTTAAGTGAATTGTAGAATACACCTTGTTTTCTAAAGGAGATATAAGCTTGAGAAAGCAACCTAGCATTTCCGTTTTCCTTGTCAGAAAACAAGAAATAAACAGTGGTCTTAATGAGAACTCTGAGCTCCCTGGGACATTGTGTGCTAGAACTAGTTCTGCTTGATAGAGCACTGGGGGTGAGAATTGGTCTTCAGTGACTGTGTAACTAAGGTTAATCAGTGTTCTGACTTTAAAATACCCCTTGTTTTGTAGGAAGCCATGCAGAATCAGGTGAATGCTAATCCCGAAAGAGCCAACCCTGTGACTGTGGCCACCCCATTTATCTTCACGTCAGGAGAAGTTGTCAACCTCGCCAGCCTTGTTTCTTCAGCCAACACCAAAACAACCTCAGGTAATACTCTGATAACATGGCGTTTATTTTAGACTTAAATGAACAGAACCCCAGGTTTTCCTGTGAGATGAATAGAAACCCTCTCTGATACCCACACCTTTATTAAAATCTTCCCAAAATAAAGGATTTATAATCAATTTTAAAGCTAATGTATTTATTCTTCCTGGAGAAAGGGACGGTCATACATAGGGGTTGTATCTGAGTGCTTATTGTGTTAGAAGTAAAATATTCTACACATTAATCTGTTGAAGGGTTATACCCAAACGCAAAAAATGAACACATAGGGGTGCTTCAATATAGGACTACTAAGGAAGATAATTAAACATTCATAATCCAAAACATGAACAAATAAAGCAGAAGAAACAAGTGGTTTTTGGAATGCTGATATAAAATAGGTACATGTGATTATTTAAATAAAATATAAGAATCTTGATTTGTTCTTGAGAACATATATAACAACAAATATATAGCACTTGTGTCCTCATTTAAGTAAGTTTTCTAGCTGACTCTTGTCTTTTTTTTGTTTCTGACTTTCATTTAAAAATAAGCAACTATACAAATGTATTCCTACTTAAGTTTAATATCAAAGGAAGATGTTGAAGTGTTATTACTGAGAGGCAGTGATGGTAAAGTAGAGCATAGATACAATAAATATAGAATTGTGCATTCAGATCTGCATTCAGATATTGAATTATTAACTAGAGGCTTCAATGTAGGAAAACTACTTCTCTAAGCCTTCTTTACATATAAAATTGAGATATAATAATATCCACTTTATGAGATTGTGAGACTTTGATATTTTGTATTTCAGGATCCATTTTCATTTTTTTAATTTTATTTTTTAAAATATATTTTTATTAATTTCAGAGAGGAAGAAAGAGGGAATGAGAGGAGCATCAATGATGAGAGAGAATTATTGATTGGCTGCCTCCTGCACGCTCCCCACTGGGGATCAAGCCCGCAACCCGGGCGGGCATGTGCCCTTGACTGGAATCAAACCTGGGACCCTTCAGTCCATAGGTCGATACTCTATCCACTGACCCAAACTAGCTAAGGCTATTATATATATGTAATTAATTTATTAATTTAAGAGAGGAAGGGAGAGAGAGAGAGAAATATCAATGATGAGAGAGAATCATTGATTTGCTGCCTTCTCTGTGCCCTACACTGGGAATGGAGTCCAAAACCAGGGCACATGGCTTAGCGGAGAATTGAACCATGATCTCCTAATTCATAGGTCAGCTGGCCGGCCATGATCCATTTTATAACAGGGCCTCAGTAATGCTAGTGGTCAGTGAAAATAACTTCTCAGTAAAGATGGACTCCATCCTGCCCACAAGGGGGCAGTGGTGACCTTCATTTTATAGCTCATCAACTTATTTAATACCACCTTGCTTTCAGCTAAATGATTAAGAATATTTAGCTTAAATATACATATACATGTAATCAGCCGAAACCGGTTTGGCTCAGCGGTAGAGCGTCGGTCTGCGAACTGAAAGGTCCCGGGTTCGATTCCGGTCAAGGGCATGTACATTGCCGCGGGCACATCCCCGGTAGTGAGTGGGTGTGCAAGAGGCAGCTGGTCGATGTTTCTCTCTCATCGACGTTTCTAGCTCTCTATCTCTCTCCCTTCCTCTTTGTAAAAAGTCAATAAAATATATTTAAAAAAAAAAAAATATATATATATATATATATATATATATATATATATATATATATGTAATCAGAACATTCACAGCCTTTTGAATTTGTAGTGGTTAAGGTCACACTAATTAGGACAAGAGCTTTTATAATTCAAAAGTCTTTAGAAGCCAGTAATGTTGTATATTCACAAACATGTGAAAAGAGCTTGAGTTGATCTTTGGTCTAACTATTGAACTTCTCCAGACCCTGATTTGAAATGATAAGCAAATCAGGATAGAGAGTCTTAGACTTGACTCCTATAGGCTTATATCAGGTTTAACATTGACAAACAAAAGAGTTGCTTTTGACAAACTACTCTTCTTTCTCTCTTCCATAAGTTGATAACTGCAAATCAAAATTGTTAAACTATCGCATAATTAAAGCTGATCTCTGTGATGTCATCTTAACCATGAAGCAGTTCTACCTAGCTCTCCCCTTTAGGGGACTGGCCTACTTGATGCTTAATCAGTACAGATAAAAGAAGTTATTAGACATGTTCAGGTTGTGTTATTCATCTGGGTTAAAGGATTTTCTTTACCTGAATGGTGGGTGGACTTCTTATTTCTCATCAACAAGTAACATGTTCATCCAATAGTATTTTTAAGAATTAACTGGTAGTATCCTAGGAATATCATATTGATACATGTTTTTTATACCAAAATCCAGATGACAGCCCAACTGGAGACTACTGTTTGATTCACAGTTAGGGCACAATGCCGGGGTTGGGGTGGTGCAGGAGGCAGCCAATCAATGATTCTCTCTCATCATTGATGTTTCTATCGCTCTCTCCCTCTTCCTTCCTCTCTGAACTCCATAAAAATATATTTTTTAAAAATCCAGATTACCAAATTTGCTTTAATTTTTCTCTTTCTTTTAAAAAAAAATATATTTTATTGATTTTCTACAGAGAGGAAGGGAGAGAGATAGAGAGTTAGAAACGTCAATGAGAGAGAAACATCGACCAGCTGCCTCTTGCAACACCCCGCACCGGGGATGTGCCCGCAACCAAGGTACATGCCCCTGACCTGAATCGAACCCGGGATCTTTCAGTCCGCGGACCGACGCTCTACCACTGAACCAAACCGGTTTTGGCTGCTTTAATTTTTCATTTGTGACTGAAGTTATGAGTCATCATGAGTGCTACCAACAAACTGCAGTGATTTAGGAGGGCAGACTAATTTAAACATTAATCAGGACAAAACAGAGTTATGAAGATGAATTTCCTGTTTCTGTAGAATCATTAGATGTACTCCAAAGCCAAATATAAATAGCTTTAAATTGGTTCATAAAGAGTACAGGCTTGGAATCTAATGAATTAGATTTTAATCAGGGCTCTGATATTCACTAGCTGCATGACCTTGGGCAAATTACTTAGTTTTTCTGGATTTAGTTTTCATTAGCTTACTGAGATTGGCCAACCATACCATGGCTCACTCTCCTAAATCCTGGTCTGAAGAGTTTATTTATATGGCACATTTTGAATAGGTAACAAGAATTGGCACTGATAATACCATTTCTCTTCCAAAAACAATAGTATCTGTGCACGTTTTACTTTATTTGATGTTGTGTCTTATATTGAGGAAAAGGAAACAATTAACATTATTAAGCAGTAAATTATTTTCCTAGAACTCCCTGAGATAAGTCTAAAGAAGTCGTTTGCATTATTTTTTTTTTTCAGTTTCAACTGTGTATGTCAGAACATTAAACCTAATTTTTTACAAATATTCATTTTTATTGGATTAAAGGTAGACTACCACCCTGACTTGGTGGCTCAGTTAGTTGCAGCTTCGTCCCATACACCAAAAGGTTATAGGTTTGATTCCCATCAGGGTACATACCTAGGTTGTGGTTCTATCACCAGTACAAAGGCAATCTATTGATGTTTCTCACATCCATGTTTCTCTCTTTCTCTAAAGATCAATAAAAAAACATATCCTTGGGTGAGGATTTTTTTTCTTAAGGAGAGAGTACCCTTAGGTTGGAATAATTGTATATAATGCTTTTCTCATTAAACAGTTCTATACAGCTGTTCTGTAGTTGGGTGGCGTGTGTGTGTGTGTGTGTGTGTGTGTGTGTGTGTGTGTGAGTGTGTGTACATCTACACTTGTGTGTGTGTGTGTGTTTTAATTGTGGCCTTGTTTTTTGATTGCTAGTGACTTACTATCACATATAATCAAACTTCCATGAATGTACATATATTTAAAAATCACTGTACCTTATTTTTTTTTCATTTTATATATATGAAATTTATATTTTTCATTTTAAATATATTTATACATATATATATATTTTAATTGATTTTTTACAGAGAGGAAGGGAGAGGAATAGAGAGCTAGAAACGTCAATAAGAGAAACATCATATGAAAAAAAAAAAAAAAAGAGAGAGAAACATTGACCAGCTGCCTCTTGCACACCCCCTACTGGGGATGTACCTGCAGCCAACGTACATGCCCTTGACCGGAATCGAACCTGGGACCTTTCAGTCCGCAGACCAACGCTCTACCACTGAGCCAAACCGGTTTCGACTACACATATATATTTTTTAATTGCTTTCAGAGGAGGGGGAGGGAGAGAGAGTAAGAGAAATATCAACGGTGAGAGAGAACCACTGATTGGCTGCCTCCTGCACACCCCCTACTGGGGTTCGAGTGCAATCTGGGCATGCGCCCTTGACCAGAATCAAACCCTGGAACCTTCAGTCTGCAGGCCGACACTCTATTCACTGATCCAAATTGGCTAAGGCTCATTTGATAGTTTTTTGTTTTGATCATTTGTGTACATATATCAGAGAGGGAGGGAGAGAGAGAAACATTAATGATGAGATAGAATCATCATCGGCTGTCTCCTGCACACCCCCGTCTGGGTTCATCGGTTGACGTTCAATCACCAAGCCAGACCAATTGTTAGTTCTTATGCCAGCATTTGTTATGATAGGCTGAGTGATGAGAAAAGCATGAACTAAGCAGAAAAAATAGAGAAAAGGCTGGATCTTGCTCTGCAAGAAATAATTAAATAGACATAAGCCCCTTTTTGGAGGTCAAGCACTGTGTTCTGCCCAGGCCATTTGGTTCCCTGAGTATTTTAGAGATATCATCCCTGTCTCTACCTTTAGCTCCACTCCCACAGTCATCGTCCAAAAGCTTTACGATAGTTTGCAGCTATGAGGAGTATTATATAAGTAATCTACCTTTTAAAGGAAATTCTAAAATTTATAAATAAGTTCGGTTACCTATAGTAATCATATCAGAAGAAGATTCTTTACTCTATAGGAGGATTTATTATAAAGAGTGTTATATAAGAGTTTCAAGTATTTTTAAAAATATATTTTATTGATATTTTACAGAGAGGAGGAAGGGAGAGAGATAGAGAGCTAGAAACATCGATGAGAGAGAAACATCGACCAGCTGCCTCTTGCACACCCCCTATTGGGGATGTGCCCGCAACCAATGTACATGCCCTTGACCGGAATTGAACCCGGGACCTTTCAGTCCACAGACCGACGCTCTACCACTGAGCGCAGTTTCAAGTATTTTTTAATATTTTACAAATAACTTTGTTTTTAATGCTTCTTTTTTGTTTGTTTTTGTTAATCCTTACCCAAGGATATTTTTCCAGTGATTTTTAGAGAGAGTGGAAGGGAGGGGGAGAGGCACAGAGAAATATCCATGTGAGAGACACATTGATTAGTTGCCTCCCACACAAGTCCCTACCAGGGCCGGGGATTCAGCCTGCAACTGAGGTACGTGCCTTTGACTGGAATGGAACCTGGAGCCCTTCGGTCTGTAGGACAATGCTCTATCCACTGAGTCAAACCGGATAGGGCTTCAACGCTTTTTAAAAAAAATGTTTTTATTTTTAGAAAGAGAGGAAGGAAGAAGGATAGAGAGAGAGAAACATCAGTGAGAGAAAAACATCATCAATTGGCTGCCTCCTGCCCAACCTCTACTGGGGATGAGCCCTGACCTGTAATCAAACTGTGATCTCCTGGTTCATGGGTCAGCGCTGAACCACTGAGCTACCCAAACCAAGCGAAAAGCTGAGGTTTTGATTAATAAGGCATCTCAATTCATCTTAGTTCATCTCAGTTTTATTCTCTTTGCTGGACCTCATTTGCCTTTTTTACTGAAATAGGTGACCCCAATGCCTCCTCAACAGTACACTTCTCACATTCCACCACCTCAGTGTTGGCCACCCTCGCAGCTCTTGCTGAGGCCTCAGCTCCCCTCTCCAACTCCCACAGAGCCGCAGGTAGGTAAGGGACAGCTGCTGGTTGAATCACCATTTTTCCTTTTGTTTTGAACTCTCCAGCAAATTTATTTTGGATGAAATAATAAAAAATCATAATTAGAGACAACTAAGAAAAAGGATGTAGAGTCACGGAGCATCAGAAAGAAAAATCACTAAGTGCTGTAATCAGACAGCTGGATATTATCAGAGAATGACTAAGTTATTCCTTTGATGATTTTTTTTTTTCTTTTGCAGTTTGAAGTTTGTTTTCTCTGACTCCACTTGCTTCAGATTGAACTATTTAGTTTTATATTAGCAGATTTTCTGGAAATACTCTTATCATAGTATTTCCTGTGCTATCATAGAATGATTCAAAATAGCAGGAGCCTAGGTACCTTGTATTATATTAAAGCATCAATATGCATGGGACTGCCTCTCTCACTCTCATCTCCGCATTTCAGATTGGCTTGGGTTTTCTTCCCCCGGAGATGTTATTTTGGTATTTGCAATGGAATTGGGCAAATACATGCTATATAGTGCCCTTCTGCTATTTACTACAACAAAAGGATTTCAAGTCAGTCAGTTAGAGATAGCGGTCTATTGGGAAAAGGCCGAGGGCTTCATGGAGGTAGAGGCAGATAGTTGTAGGTATGGCAAAATAGTTATTTGTGAGTCTTTCTGGAACCCTCTCCAGAGCGCTCCAGCCAGAATGAAAGTAGTTCTGATTTCTTTCTGCCGTTGACATTTGGGTGGTGAGAACATTCTTCCATTCCTGTTTTTCCAAGTGGCAGCCATCAAAAAGATCTCTACTCAGGTGTGTATGGGTGAGCACCATAGCAGAAGGAGACCAATACATTAAATTTGTGCTTGTTTTCTTGGATCTTGAATAAATTCCCTTTTCAAGTCTCAGTTTCTTAGTTTCTAGCATGACGGTTAAATTAGATTACCTATCAAGTCCTTTCATCTATTAACATTTAACTGTTCTTGTTTCTAAGGGGTATGAATGCTTTATTTCCATTGAATTATATGAATATGCTCTTGTGGATAGTCCATACCCCATTTATTGCAAAGTTCTACTTGTGATTCTTTAGATAGAGGAATTCCATTGTGGCAGGAACTGTTTCCCCTAATTGTTATTGGGAACATTGACTAAGCAACTGAAAATCTTGACTCAATGTAATACATGTAAACTTCTTAGGAAGGTTCTGGTACATAGTAAGGAATCAGTGTTAGTTGCTATCAATATTATTGATCTGTCAGATAGAAGAAGCCACCTCTCATTTTTGTGAGACTTCTTTTTAAAAAAATATATTTTATTGATTTTTTACAGAGAGGAAGAGAGGGATAGAGTGTTAGAAACATCGATGAGAGAGAATCATCGATCAGCTATCTCTTGCACACTCCCTACTGAGGATGTGCCTGCAACCAAGGTACATACCCTTGACCGGAATCGAACCTGGGACCTTTCAGTCTGCAGGCCGATGCTCTATCCACTGAGCCAAACCGGTTTCGGCTCGTTTTTGTGAGACTTCTTAAATGCTCTGACTACTTAACATGTTGTTAATTCACTATTAAATGTCTCTATTTCCTTCTAGAAATAGATTTACTCTAATTTATAGTTATTTTTCTAAGCTTCATAGAGTTAGACTTTCAAGATGCTTCTTGGGAAAAAAAAAAAAAAAAGGAGTTTTAAGATTAAATATGTCGGGGAAACTTAGCATATCTTATCCCATATTGGAGAATCCCAGTGCTCATTAGCTTGTTGGGGTTTCTGATACTTCCCACAAAACAAAAAAAAGCCGAAACTGGTTTGGCTCAGTGGATAGAGCATCGGCCTGCAGATTGAAGATCCCAGGTTCGATTCCGGTCGGGGGGATGTACCTTGGTTGCGGGCACATCCCCAGTAGGGGATGTGCAGGAGGCAGCTGGTCGATGATTCTCTCTCATCAATGTTTCTGACTTTCTATCCCTCTCTCTTCCTCTCTGTAAAAAATCAATAAAAAAAAAAGTCTAAACATATTTAAACCAGAATTTTGTATTTCTTTTCTCCTCTGACTTAGCATTGTCAGAGCTTGCTTTTATGTACTGCTAAGTCTAATGGTTTTTTTTTTCCTAATTTTCCTGTACTTAATATTATCAATTTCAAGGAGGTAGAAATTGCTATACGTAGATTTTTTAAAGAGCTAAAATTTTAAATTTACTTTTGTCATCTTTAGCTAATTCAGAGGAAATCATAGAAGGAAATTCTGTTGACTCATCAATCCAGCAAGTGGTGGGGAGTGGAGGCCAGAGGGTGATCACCATAGTGACCGACGGAGTGCCTCTGGGTAACATCCAAACTGCAATCCCTACGGGAGGCATTGGCCAGCCATTTATTGTAACTGTACAAGATGGACAGCAAGGTGAGTTATCCCACTAGACAGTTGTTTATGAAAAGATATTTTATCCCCTGTCAGATTGGCTCAGTGGATAGAGTGTCGGCCTGTGGTTTGATTCCAATCAAGGGCACATACCTTGGTTGCAACTCTCTGGCCTGGACCCTGGTCAGAATTCATGCAGGAAGCAACCAATTGATGTGTTTTTCTCACATTGATATTTCTCTCTGTCTTTCCCTCTCTCTTCCACTCTCTAAAAATCAATAGAAAAAAATATCCTCAGGGGAGGATTTAAAAAAAAAAAAAAAAAAAGAATGATATTTTAGACACTCAGTTCTCCTCTAAAAATGAGGTAATAAGGCAAGTAGTAGGAATGGGAGAATGCCAGATGCCAGTGGGGCAAAAAAGAACAGAAACCAGGCTGGCAAAGGCAAATTTCTCTAATATATAATAAAATTTGTAAGTAAAAACCATAATCTGGTAGAAAGAGCAAATAATATGAACCAGTAGGTCACAGAAAATACTGCTGGTTCTTAAAAATATGGAAATATGTTTAGCCTGCTTCATCTGTATAAGAAATGCAAATAAATACTGCCCCGAGATGCCATTATAATATTATCAGAGGCCAGGTGCACAAAATTCCTGCACTGAGGCCTGTGCCCCCTCACAGTGCAGGAGCCCAATGATCACCCCCAAAGAGGTAGGCCCCGTTCACCCATCGGGGGCTCCTTGATGGATTGCCCCAAAGAGGTAGGCCCCGTTCACTACATGGAGCCGCAGGACCCCAGGCGGAGCCGCTGAGCTCTGCCTCTGCACCGTGCATACAACGTCTGCACACTCCCGCTGTGCGCACAACCTCCTGGTGATGGATTGTGACGGCATGAGGGCATCTCGACATGAGGGTGTGAGGGCATGATGACCATTTGCATATTAGCTCTATTATATAGGATGTTGTCAAACGATGGTTGTTGGAGCCAATTCATCACCATCAGGAATCCTCAACTTGGGATGCAGTGAAGAAGGAAACTTTATTCAGTGCAACCAACTCAGAGATGAAAACAGCACGGCTATAGAACAGCTCAGTTCTGATACATACAGCAATGCTGTGAAATCAGCACAGTTGTGAGGCAGCCCCAAGGCCGGCCCTCTCTCCAGCAAGGCATGTCTGACCTGCTCCACTCTACACCAGTCTGCCTCTCTGCTCCTTTTCAGTGTTTCAGCTCTAGCCAGGGAATTGCAATCTTTAGTCTTCAGTAGAAAGGGCAACTGTGCTCCCCAGCCAGAGGGGAGCTGATCTGGTGGTTGCCAGAGAGGAGCAGGGTTGGGGGACTGGGTGAAAGAAGTGAAGGGACTAAGAAACACAAATCAGTTGTTACAAAATAGCCATGGGGATGCCTGGTCAGTGTTGCTCAGGGATTGGCACCTCCAAAGTTTGATTCCAGTCAAGGGCATGTACCTCAGTTCAGGCTCCATCTCTGGCCCCAGTTGGAGCATGTGCAGGAGGCAACGAATCATTAGTCTCTCTCATATTAATATCTCTGTGTGTGTGTGTGTGTGTGTGTGTGTGTGTGTGTGTGTCTCCCCCTCCCTTCCACTCTCTCTAAAAATCAATGGAAAAAAATATCCTCAGGTGAGAATTAACAAAAAAAAAAAAAAAATCTGTAAAGACGTTAGGCCTTCTTTAGACAAGTTATTCCTACAGAATAAGCTAATTGGTCATAGTTCCTGACATCTTTGTAGAAGAGTCTCAGACCTGGGTCTTAACTGCATGGCTTCCACACCTGTCCATCTCTGCCTTTCTTTCAGAGACCTTCTTAGTGCCTCTCTAATCCTCTCTGTTTCTCTCTGCAGGGCCATGATTTACCTGCTGATTCTAAAAGCCAAAGGCATATCAGAAAATAAGATATCAGAGAATATATTTCAGTTTATTTTCTAATTTGAAACAAGCAAAACGGCTTTGTTTTACAATGTATTCATCACCTTCACTCGGTGTCCTTTGGCTTGTAGTTCTAACTGTGCCTGCTGGTCAGGTTGCAGAGGAGACTATCATTGAAGAAGAGGAGGAGGAGGAGGAGGAGGAAGTAGAGAAGCTGCCATTGACTAAGAAGCCAAGGGTAGAAGAGATGACAAACAGTGTGGAGGAAAACAAGGTAATGTTTTCAGCAGTGTGGGGAGAAGAGAAGGGAAAGAATCAAAAGCCAAAACTTATAAAGGTCTGAACCCTTTAATTTTTGTGTGCTCTCTGGACACTCTGTGATCAGGAGTTCTGAGCTGGTGGTGATGTGGTTTACTTTCACAGGAAGGCACTGAAAGAGAGCTACTGCAGCAGCAGCTCCAGGAGGCCAACCGAAGAGCCCAGGAATACCGACACCAGCTCCTCCAGAAAGAGCAGGAGGCAGAACAGTACCGTCTCAAGCTGGAGGCCATGGCCCGACAGCAGCCCAATGGCGTTGATTTCACCGTGGTTGAAGAGGTGGCTGAGGTAGATGCTGTAGAAGTCACAGAGGGCGAGATGGAAGAGAGAGAGATGGAAGTGACTGGGGCAGGAGGGACCACAGAGCCTCATCGTGGAGTTTCCATAGAAACTGTTTCATCTTAACGTACAAGGGCCACAATTTGTACTATGTCCGTTTTTTCCCTTTTTTTTTCTTTCTTTTTTTAAAGAAAACACAGAGGACAAATCTTGTTTAAAAATTAAGAATTTTCTTCAGAAGAAAACTATAGCAGGGTATAATGCTTGGGCTCAGGAAGGCTCTCTATGCAACTGGAAAAATCAAAGCCAAATTTAGGGAACACTTCTTTTGAGAGGCCAAAAAAGTAAGGACCAAATTTCCCATCTTACATCGTTGCTTTAAACATAGAGGTAAAAGAATGCTGCATGTTGTAAGTTGGTTGTTGAAATAACTGACTTCTTATCAAAAGACTTTACTACTACTTTCTATCAAAAGATTTTTCTAAGATAACATTCCTAATATGAACCCACCCAGATCCTTTAATACTTGCACCATGAAGTGACCTGAAAATTTGCCTTAGATTTATGATGTCTGAATGTTACAGAAGAAATTTAATTTGGAGGGAGGAAGAGAAAGGAATATATTCCACTTCCAAAGAAGCAAGCGATCCCACTATTCAGTTAACTCTCACTGAAAAGAATTTGTGATTGCCTGACTAAATTCATTGTGTGTCCATAGCTCAGCTGCCAGTTTAAAAAACTGAAATATAATTTTTTAAAACTGGAAGGAAAAGTCGTTCGTGTGAAGAAGTGTATATAAATCCAAAAATCCTCCAGGCTGTGCTTCACAATGCTGGAAAGTGGCCAGAAAGAGACTCGTTGGGGTTCTGAAGCAATCTGGTGTTGAGATACAAACTTTGCTCCGGCTGGATTTTACAAAATTGCAATCAGGATAATAGTCCGTTGTTAGAACAACTTGCTTCCAAACGTTTATTTATGTCATATCAAGCTTTAATAGCAATCCTTTAGTTTTATAAAGTTTTGTTGAGTTTTCTAAATGTGCCTTTCTGTAGTGCTTACATGGTATCCTCTTACATGCAATAAAAGAAGGGGGGAGAGAGACGAATGTTGAGGATGTCGTGTTGTGTTGTTGCCATTTGATTTGGGATGAGTAGATTGCCCTGCTTCCTTAAGGTAGGACCTTCAGGAGAGCTTTTGTGCCTTGTAGATGCTCGGTGTGGGCTGGCAAAGGGAGTAAGGACTATCGGTGCCTGGAGTCCGGAACCAGAGATGCTGGCTAGATACCTCATCTGCCTTACTCCCTTCTCCCCCGCTGTGCCTGTCCCTTCTCCTAGACACTTTTGAAAAGTGTTTCATTGCTTGGATTCTTTGTGTGCCAGCTTGGAGATTTTTCAAAAGAAAGGTAAATGGAGAGAGAAAGGGGGTGGAGAGGTTACAGTACAGAGGAACTGGGCCCCCATTGTTCTTGACTTGCTTGCTTGCTTTGTTGTAAATGACAAGAAGAAACCAGAGGGAGATGTGCCAAGTAAACATTTGAATGACTGTTCAGAAAATGGTTTTCTCAATTAGTGATCATACGGAAAACATACATTTTTAATTTGGAATAAAACTTGACAGTTAATAGGGTTCTCTTTACCTTGATTAGTGAAGTAATTTGCCACAGTTTTCCAGAGGTGAAAAATAATTTGGGGCTCAAAATAAACTGAAAACGTAACTCCCCAAACCAGATTTCACAAACAGAATTGGCTGTTAGAGTCTTCTAGGTAAAAATATCAGTTTTGAAATTAATCTTGATGACTCGCCACCTTCGCTTGGTTTTCCCAATGGACTCGAGTCCCAAGCCTTTCCCAGGTGGCCAGAGGTTCCTCTGGGCGGTTGGGGATGATGGAGAAATGCAGCGGAGGAGGCTAGGTAAGGGTGAGGGTGAAATTATGGTATCTGCTGTCAAAATGTCCCGTCTCTTATTTGTGATGTGTTTTTCTGTCCTTTTGTGAACCAGGTGCTAATGATAAGCTGCTATTGTGTGCCATTTCAGAGCCTTAGCTTAACTGTAGATGCATCAGATGTCATGTTAGATGTGTTTTGTTTATGTTCTTAGTGTATATATTGACTTTAATTTCTTTCTTTTCCTGCCCTGTTATGGGGTGGAGGTGAATACTGCAGAAGATATCCAGGTCCAGCCAGCTCATTCTCTAGGTAGCTTCTGATTGGCAGTGGGGAGCTTCCATCCAACACTCCCTTTTGAGTATATGGAGTCCCTACTGTTTTGGGGAACTGCTTACCTGTTCTTATCTTTCTGTAGGAGGCTGTCATTCCTACACACAAACTATTGAGCACAGCCCAAGTCATTTTTTATGATGGGGTCTCTGAGATTGGGTTGTGATAGGGAGAGAGAGAAGGGAAATATCTGGAAAGGGGTAGGTAGCAAAAAGGTATTTGTTTTTATTTACTTGGAATAGAGCTTTTAACATTCCAGAGAAGGGAAATAAGATTTAGTCTCCAGTTGTATTGCTAAGAGAGAATAGTTAAGTCAGGATCCCTTGAAGTAGTTAGAAGTTAAACACTAAATGAATAAATGGCAATAACCATTTTATGAATTTGCATTTCTTTCGGGATCAGCCATGGAAATTGGGAAAATGTTGCTAGATTTTCTGGGTTAGGGGATTTCAACTGGCCTTTGGCATGGATGGATTACAGAGAATCAAGTAACAGTCAAGTAGTTCAGAGTTGGTACTTGAATAGAAAGAACCTGGAGCCTAGGATGATTGCCTACTTTCCAATAAAGCTGCTTTAATGGTATCAGTATTAATATAGGACTTGTACACTCTACCTTTGCATTTTGATTCTAAGCCTACCCCTCAAGTAGAGAAAAAAAATAAATCATTTCTGTTCTTGTTCCTAACTTCAGGAAAATTTCTGTTAGTGTGTAAGTGTACATTCTCTTCCTATCACTACCTCTGTGGGATCTCTTCATTGTAATGCCAGAGTTGAGGTCTTTTAACTGAAACCTTGGAAAACTTGGCCTTAAGTTTTCTGTGTTTTTATTCAGTTCCTTAAAGGATGGTCTTTTTCTCAGTCCGATCTGTGTTCAGTTATTTTTGGCTTTGCCTTTCCCCTTTCTTCAGCCTTACCCTTGCATCGTTAAAATTTGTGTATCTGTTCAATAATGTTAGAAATATATGGTATACAAAATTACTTTCTTTCTTTATACTGATATAAAAGAAGGAACTCACCAGAGGGCTTTCCAGTTGAAATTAGGTATCGTATGACCAGGGGTGTGTGTGTGTGTGTGTGTGTGTGTGTGTGTGTGTGTGTGTGTGTATTTAATTGGTTTTTAGAGAGAGAGCAACATGGATTGGTCTCCTCCTGCCAGGGCCTTTTCCCTATCCTCACCTAGAATATATTTAGAGAGAAGAAGAATGGGAGGGAGAGAGGAGAGAGAGATTGGTTACTTTCTATATGCTTCCCAATCAGGAATGAAACCCACAACCCAGGTATGTACCCTGACCCAGAACCATACCAGCACCTTTTGGTGCACAGGATAACACTCAACCAGCTGAGCCACACCAGCGGGGCATGACCAGGGCATTTTTAATGCCCCTTTGCTGTGTGTATATTAGTGTGTATGTTTATAAATGTGTATGTATTTTCTCACTTTTCTCTTTATTTGAGGTTCAGCTCTTAAATACCTGGTATAACCTGGATATATTTTATTTCATTAAAAGCATGAGAGAGGGTTTCTTTTGTAACCACTAAGGAGCTTGAGGAAGAAAAAACATTGCTTTGGCTCTTCTCTGAGAGTTGTGCTCTAACAGGCAGTAATGAGAAGCCTAAGGAGGGGGAGGCCCCAGGAGAGCCGGCCCCGGCTTTACAGAGATGCGGTTAGCATGTAGTGTGATGACACCGGGGAAGCCAGTGGATTCAGAGCCAAGCTGCCCTTCCACAAAGCAAGCCTCCTTCCCCCTCCTGTGACAGCTGTTCTGACCGGCACTGGTACAATCTCACACCTCCCTGCTCCTTGTGCAGACATCTCTGTGTGGCCAGAAAAGGAGTTCAAGAATGGAGTACATGTCAAGACCACCTCCATGCTGTTCTAGGCTTCTATTTATCTCCATTTTATGTGATGAATATTTTCCCCTTCGGAGTTACAGTACTCATCTTTCCTATGCCAATGTATTGAGCAAGAAGAATATGAATTAAGTAGCTTTGAGCCTCCGGTGCTGCCTTTTGTTTTATTTTTTGAGCTTCTCTAGGATTAGAGGCTGGGTGACATTCCTAGACTCTGTAGTAGCCATTTGGTTTGTTAATGGCCGGAAATTGTGACTTCCCTATCTCTCTGTCTCCTCCCCTTTCCCGTTTTACTTCTGTTTCTCTGACCCCATTGTTCTTATCTTAATGAGTCTTTCCCAGGAACTAGAATTTAATAAGTCATTTCTAATCTGTGGGTCTTGTCTTTCCTCTTTCCACTCCCCTCTATTTCTACGTTCTGTTTATTCTGAGTGGTTTGTTTCTGAGGATTTAGGTCAGACTCTCCAATAGTGTGCTTCCTAGTTGGGCTCCAGCATCTCGTTCTGCCAGTAATGATAGCAGCTCTCTCCTCTGGCTTTGCCCTGTATGCTGACCTGTCAAGGCCATTTGTGTTGGGGCAGAGGATGGGGGTGTGGGAGTGTAGGTATTGGGAGGGTGAGGAGAGGAAGACTGTGGGTAGGGTGCCTAGATACTTCTTAACTGTCCTCCATTCTTCAGGTTGTCTGACAGCTTTATGTACAGTATGTTTTAGGAAAAATTATACTTCTCATTTTTATTTAGAATTTTAATAAAATAGGGTTTGATTCTGATGAGCAGGGTTGTATATATGTATGTAGGGGTGAGTGAGCATTTGTGTGTATATACACCTATACAGATCTATATTATATATACAACTTTTGTACTGTCATTTAAAATAAAGATGTTTCTTAATAAAATATCAAAGTCTTAACCATTTATGGGTGTCATTGAGATTTTTTACAGCTCCCTGATCACAGATAAACCTCAGAACAGTCATGTGCCACATAACAATGGGGATATGTTCCGAAAAATACATCTTTTAAAAAAATTTACATCCTGCCAAAACCGGTTTGGCTCAG